TCATTGTCACATAGTCACCTACGTTTACACACTGCTGGTAATCTTCTTGTGATTTTATTTGCCTAGCAACCAATAAAATAGCTGCTAGGGGCAGTGACACTCCGGTGCACAAACTGGTTACACAGAAAACATTGGTTGGTATCCCCCTGACCTGATTTGGTCGATGAAAGGTCACACTGATGGCTTAGTGGTCTGTAGCTAGCTTGCTGCCTGTCTCAAAGGTCAAGGTGTGGCTGGTACAAGTACCTGCTTGGCTGCTGGCACACATCCTGTTTAGGATTCACTCTGTGGCCTCAGAACTCTTTGTCAGTAAGAACTAATCAGTTTATAGACAGAATGTAGTCTGAAGATGTCCAATGTATTCAGTGCAGCTGCCTGGTCCAAAATCAGTTGGCCTTTGTTCTTACCAAAGGTTGGGATGTCTCTTATTTGTCAAAGCCACCACAGGGCAAGGGAAAGAACTGTTTGGCACAGTATGGTTGTAATTAGGCACATAGTAATGTCTTTGGTAAATTACACAAAAACCAAGATTATCATGCAGGGTGATACAAAGTGCACTAAAAAGTACCAGATATCCTAGCACTGCCAAACAATTTGTCATGGAGAGCCTCTAACTGCCAAGCCGTGACAGTGGGGATAATTAGAGCATGAAGGGGTTAAACAATCAGTATCCCTCTACTCCTACAAGGGCATAAGGCAAAACCAATTTAACCCCTTAGTCCTACCTACACCAACCCAAACTTACTCCACTGCCACTACCCAAGAACATTTGACAAGGGTGTCAGCGGATACCCATAAGAAGCTCTAGTTATATTTAAAATGTTATAAATATATCAATCCATTATACAATTAACAGTCCGATGATATGAATTTCATTCTTGGTTGTGAATCCAGATACTAGAGCCAATGCAAAATTAGATTATTAATATTTTAATAAGGAAAAGACAAACAAATGTTACACAGTGCCAAAATTACATAAAACAAAACAGACAAATGCAATAAGAGAATTTCCCCCCCATAATTACCAATATTTTCGTTTCCCGCATATAGGCCATGGCAGCACTACAGATGGGTATAGCTCCTCCTACTCCTAGATTGCACAGGAACACCTCCTAATTAAACAATAAAAGAGAAACGCCTTCCCCTACCCTTATAACGCATTCATTTGCACATTTTTTTTCTGGTATTTACCGTCCTGACAGGAATAATTGTGCCCATCTGCAACTATGCGCCCGGATACTTGATAAACCCAGCATGTCTAGGGACGTCGTCTGCTGTGGATCTATGTCACTTTATAGCCCCATGGCTGCCCGCGTTGATGCCGGCATTGGCGTGCGTGTGATGTCACGTGTACGCACGTTTTGGGGTCAAAGGCCAGTTACAACCAATCAGAATAACAGGAGGATTATTTAAACTAATTTTTACTTTCTCTCATTGCCCTGTCGTGTTTTCGGCCTGCTGGTAACCTGAGAGTGCGTTCCTGATCTTGATATTTTGGTATTTGACTTTTGCTTCATTCTGACTTCCCCGATTTTTGGTATCCTTTACTTTTGGCTTTTCTCTCATCATTGTGTCTGATTCTTTATCCCTGACCTCAGCTAGTATTCTGATACGTTAAGTCCGGCCATCCTAAGGTCCGGTTAGACATTATCCGTAGTCCAAGGTGTGATACAATTCTACTTGCTGGATCAGTTAGGAATCCTGATACCTTGAGTCTAAGTTCAAAGCCACAAACAAGACATCAGAAAAAAGGATGGGACTGTAGAGCTGCTATGGCCTATATCTGGAAAACTAATATTATGTTAAGTATGGAAAAAAAAGTTTTCATGGATCCAGCTCCCAGTGGGAAGACCTCTCCTCCAAGAGAGTATAATAATCCAAAGTGTAGTATAGCAATTCCCCCCAAACCTGAGCCAAGGCTTATTGCTGGGAAGTCGTCTGTTTAATGGAAGCACAGTCACAGTTACAAACTCCTCCTCTGTGCCTGAGAGATAATTGAGTCAGGAACTGTACTAACTCAATTATCTCCAGGTACAGAAAAACACACATTTTTCAGACACCCCAAAAGTACCCCCAAAACACATGAAAACCCCACAAACGTTACATCCCCTGATAGTCTCAATCTGGGTGACCAACATATCTAAAAGTCACCCCGATCGGTTTGGGGGTTCGGGATTTCTATGGAAGTCATGATTTGACCGACCGTGCACATGGTCCTATGCACAAAACAGTTCAATGAAATCAGTCGATCAAGTTCAATAGTTTAAAAACGAACATAGTCAATAGTCCTCCCATGGAGCTTGTTCCCCTCATCCAGATGAACAATTCCACCGAACAGTGCCCTTCTAGGTGGTGTAGAATCTGAACGCAGGTAATGATGGTCCAGCGGTGTTCAGGAGTTTCCGTGTCCGATTTGAGTTCCATGAACTCGACAACCAAATACCACTGTCTGCGCTCATGAGAACAAGATGGCCACCACCTCATGGGCGTTCATACAAATTGCGGCCATCCAGACGAACAATTAGAACAATGTGGTTAACAAGCTCCTGTTTGGTCGATGGTTTGTGCGCCTGTTCGGTTCACGAACAGCTTAGGAAAATGGAACGAACTAAGTCTTTTAACAGGGCCCATAGTCTTTGGGCAGGAGGCTAGCCAGCAGGCCCCTCCAGGAACACGTGGCAGAGGTATTTCTGCCACACCTTGTAAGCCTGAGAAATGACTGTGATTATCCACCGACCAATAGTTGAGGTTGAAGCAGATTGACCCATGTCCAGAAGGGATGATGAAAACGTTAGACAAATTTCTAATGCCAAATGTACTGTCCAGGTAAATGATAGACAACAGAACAGTTCCATATAATGCCATCTCTTTTCTTCTTCCAATGAAGGATGAGAGAAGAATGCCTACAATACAATATCTTGGTTGACAGGGAAAGAGGACACCCCGAAAAGTTGGAACAGTACGAAGTATAACTCTATCCTCTTGTAGTATAAGGAAAGGAGATTCATGTTAAAGACCCTGAAGCTCTGAAATCCTTCTTCCTGACGTAAGAGCCACTGGTAGGACTGTTTTAACAGTTAAAGTGAATAAGGCAATATTCTCTAAGGGCTCAAATGGAGTACCAGGCATGGCCTGCAGGATGGAAGACCGGACCTTGGTGTAGTAATTGGTGATGGCATGACAGACCTAGAGGGAGATCCTCAGCTAAATTCTGTAATAGAGAAAAAACCACAGACGTCTGGGCCAATTTGGAATAACTGCTAGGATGGTGACATGCTCCTGTTGCATTCTTTTCAGCAGAGGGAAGATGAGAGAGGTTGGGGGAAACATATCCCGCCAAAGAGTCGAAGAATAGCGACTGTTGCCTCACCTTGCTGTTCTGAAATGTTGACTCACCTTGCTGTTCTGAAATGTTGCCATCAAGTCGACTTGTGTAAGGCCCCATTTCTGGACTATACACTTGAGTGCTCGGGAGGAGAGTTTCCACTCTGTTGACTCCGTTACTCTGCTTAGGAAATCTGCCAATCGATTGTCCTTGCTGGGTAGATATACTGCCTTGAGGCCCTTCAAATTTTTTTCTGCCCAAGGCATAAGAGGAAGAACAATCTCTGCTTTTTCTTCCTCCTTGATGGTTAAGATAAGCTATGGCGGAAGTATTGTCTATTCTCACCTTTACCCAATGTTGTTTCAGAGAGGGGAATCAGAGAAGAACTTGAAATACTGCTTGTAATTCCAAGATGTTTGATGATTGGTGCTTCAATCTGTGTTTCCACAGACCCTGGATATGTTGAGAACCCAGGTGCACACCCCAACCAGCTTGACAGGCATCTGTTGTTAAACAAAGAATTAAAACTGAATGCCAGTAGGTGTATAGGTAGTAGGTGTATGTGTAAATAGGGTGTTTCCCCAATCACCTAAAAGCACAAACAAGTACATAAATAGAGGTAAAACAACTATTCAATATACACAACATCCAGTGTCAAGATTAGAGGATTAACATATACTTAATGGTGTATCACACAGAAAATGTCCCAATGTTGGTAAAGCTAAAATATATAGGAATCTATAAAAGATAAATAAAACAATACATAGTGTAATCTGTTAAAATAGCAATAAAGTAAAAACAGATGTATGGTTACACTCACAAGTGTAGAGCTGTGCCAGGCTCTATATTGTCAGACTCAAGGTGCCAATACTGGCTTGGATAGTTGTCCACAGGTAAAGCAGGCAAGTAGAGATGGTTTCCAATTAATTTATTTAAAAAAAAAAAAAAAAGTTATAAAAACCGGACATGTGCATAAGCAGTGTGTAAGAACAATAATATACACTACCGCAATGACGTCCTTATAAAGTTATACAGCAAACGCGTTTCGACTTGAAAGTCTTCTTCAGTGCAAAGTTGATAGATGTAAGGATCTTTCCTTTTATATGTATAACTGATTGCCAAAATCAATTCACCCGGCATAACGCCGGACCACTTCCGGTCATGTGCGCACATCGGGTCGGGGTCAATATGATGTCACTTCCAGGTTGATTGAATAGTGCTTTCCTATGGGGAGGTCTAATGATCTTTAATGTACTTGTCTGTAATGTACTGAGCCCAGAAATCGGAGAAGTTTAGACATCTTGCTCCTACTCTCCAGGACAGGACTGGACCAGCGTCCCTTCAGAACTGTTTAAATTGTCTGGTACTGCCACCTCTCCCTCGAGTAACGCTTAAGGAAGTGTAACCTCTTTTCCATGGCTGGGATCTTGAAAATTCTTTCCCCGATCTAAAACGTCTATAATCTTTGTCACAAAAGTAACATCATTCTTGTGGGTGGAAAATACCTTTTTGGCCTTTGATCTTGAGGAAGAAAGACTTTCCGACCTTTTACTGCCCTTTTGATGCAATCGTCCAAATGTTTTCCACAAAGAATATCCCCTTGATAGGGAAGGGCACATAGGCTGTTTTTTAGAAGCTGAATCTACAAAAGTGGGACACTACTATATAGGGCTGCCCAAAACTTAACAATTTAGAATCTACTAAAGAGTGAATGATCAAGAATTCAAAGAGAATGTTTAATTTTAAGCCAAGCTATCTGATTGGGAAGAATTCTTCAAGACAGCTTCATTTACCGTTTGGTTACATTGTAATAATTTTATCAATTTAGATTTAGTTTGTTCACATGTGTTAATGTAGTCAATAACCCTGGATAACTAGCCCCTTTTGTACAGCGCTACGGAATCTGATGGCGCTATATAAATAATAAAATAATAAAAATACAGAAAAAAAAAAAGAAAACTGCTTAATTTAGGCCAACAGTGATGTTTTGGAATCATGTCTATAACTGGGATGCAGTCACAGCTTGGTGAATATTGTCTGATTAGTGAATAAATCTTGTTTCCTATATTTGCATAACACTTGGTCTCCGAGCTCTATGACACCCCTCTTTTAGCTCGTTTTTCACTCTCTACCGTTTAGAACGCTGCCGTCAACGCTGCGTGCTGACGCACGACGGCCGCTTTCACTCACGCACCGCCCGAGCTGTCCATGACAGAAGTGGGCAGAAAAGCCCTCTGTGCGGGACGTATACATGACTCGACGCCAAAAGCGTGATGGCGCAGGCCCCACTTCCCCTTCGCGCATGCGCACAGGCGCTGACCGAGACGTACCGGGCATGAAATGGAGCTAGTGACAGCGCGCAGGGCATTCTGGTGAGTGATGTTCGGATTGTTGTGTGTACACGGTGCGGCCACTATCATTGTGTGAGCTGCTCGGTGAGTACAGGGTGAGCCATAGCTCCACCCAGACCCCCCAGCCTGGCTACCGGCAGAGCAGGGGGGCTATGGGGACCAGTGGGGGTGTGCATGGACCAACTGTTTACATACAGCTCCTTTCACATGACTATTATTATTATTATCTATTACTACATATAGGGCGCCAACAGATTCTGTAGCGCTGTACAATTGCAGGTAGTCTTATAGCCTTTATATTGTGCAATGCTGCTGTGAATTCTATTATTAATATCAGAGTAAGTGAAATAATTTGCATTTACCAGCTATTTGCACATTGTCATTATTAAAAAATAAAATAAAAAACATTCTGAAGGTTATATTGACTAAGAAAGAGATTTTACAGTCTGTAGGTTAGTGTTGAAATCTGATATATTTTCTATTATTTTCTGTTGCCTTAGTTGTGTTTGTGCCATTCACTGGCTTGACCTGTTTCTCTGATCAGGTACCAGTCTGGGTTTTGGTTCTGTTTTGTTTGACAGTTGTTGTTGGGTGACAATGGAAGGGTCTGCATTCAGTGGTTGTTTATATAATGGCTTTTCGTTTGTGTCTTTCCTTTTTGCTGCATGTTTTATTTGCATTTTTTTTTTTTTTCACATGTAGCTGAAATTGTTGCCATGTTTGACAGGGATCGGGTTGCATTAAATTGAGTGGTGTGACATTTTTGCCTTGGTGTTTCAATATTCACTAATTTTGTTTTATCATTGTTTTAAAAAAATAAATAAATAAATATAACAAGGTTATTTTACAAAAGGCACATTATCAGGCATTCTTTGGAGACTGCACATTTCAAGCTAATGATAATAAAGCTAGCCAACTATAAAACACCTCACAGTGCAAATCTAAAAATGTATCAGTGCTCATTTGCACGTCAAGCTGGTAACTATGGGATAGTTGTGGAAACATGACTTCTTGAGTTTCTGTAATAAAAGAGGGTTCGTGGAGCTCAAAGTAGAAGAATGGTAGAAAAAGTGCATGAGGGAAAATAGGAAAATACCTCTAACCTATTTACACAAAAATAGACTGTCACTCTACTGCTACAATGTCCATCTGGGAGAATAAACTGCAGATTCCTCTTTGTGGCATCCCGACAATTGTTCGCTTGCTCTGTATGTGAATTCTTCACAAACTCCTTTAGATACAAATAAGAAGTGCAGAAGAGGAATACTACAAAAAGCAACTTGATTTAAACGTGTTTGCCTAAACAATAGTGGCTTTATGAATTATACAAACTATTTAGTTTGTATCATTGATAAAGTCACTATTTTATTTTTAAATATATGTTCCAGGAGGGATAAGCCAAATGACAAATGATTTAGGTAAACTAGAAAAATGGTCAGAATTGTGGCAACTGACATTTGATGTGGATAAGTGCAAGATAATGCATCTTGGACGTAAAAACCCAAGGGCAGAGTACAGAATATTTGATAGAGTCCTAACCTCAACATCTGAGGAAAGGGATTTAGGGGTGATTATTTCTGATGACTTAAAGGTAGGCAGACAATGTAATAGAGCAGCAGGAAATGCTAGCAGAATGCTTGGTTGTATAGGGAGAGGTATTAGCAGTAGAAAGAGGGAAGTGCTCATGCCATTGTACAGAACACTGGTGAGACCTCACTTGGAGTATTGTACACAGTACTGGAGACCGTATCTTCAGAAGGATATTGATACCTTAGAGAGGGTTCAGAGAAGGGCTACTAAACTGGTTCATGGATTGCGGGATAAAACTTACCAGGAAAGGTTAAAGGATCTTAACATGTATAGCTTGGAGGAAAGACGAGACAGGGGGGATATGATAGAAACATTTAAATATATAAAGGGAATCAACACAGTAAAGGAGGAGACTATATTTAAAAGAAGAAAAACTACCACAACAAGAGGACATAGTCTTAAATTAGAGGGACAAAGGTTTAAAAATAATATCAGGAAGTATTACTTTACTGAGAGGGTAGTGGATGCATGGAATAGCCTTCCAGCTGAAGTGGTAGAGGTTAACACAGTAAAGGAGTTTAAGCATGCGTGGGATAGGCATAAGGCTATAAGATAACTATAAGATAAGACTAGGGACTAATGAAAGTATTTAGAAAATTGGGCAGACTAGATGGGCCGAATGTTTCTTATCTGCCGTCACATTCTATGTTTCTATATGCTATATTTTAAAGAAATTGTTAGACCATAGATGCATGAACACCAAGACCATATTATAGAGAACACCACATGCATATGTTGTGAATACATTGCTTACAATCAGATAACGTGTATATACTTCATGTTGTAGGGGACACAAACTGATGCAAGTATATAGCTGGAAACGTGAAAACCTTAGTATTATCAGGACAGAAATGTGTTTTGACCAGAACTGATAGAATACTTAAGGATTTAAATGTCTATCCATGAACATTACTGCAAGGAAGTTGCTAATATATATTTTTTGTGTGCTTCAACAGTATGTAAATGAAGGGTTCCCAGGTTAGGTTGCATCATATTCCTAATTAATATATTTTAACATACCTTCCTCAGTGTTTCTTGTTCTTCCCACTGGTGCCTTCTGGATTTGTTTTGCAAGTAAATGGGAAATTTTCACTTGAGAAGACTTGTTTCACAAGGTTATCTAAAGGGCAATATGGCAGTTGAGGCTAGCTGAACACTATAGTTGCCCAGACCACATCATCTCAATGAAGTGGTCTTGGTGCAGTGTCCCTGTGCCGCGGGGTCAGAGCGTTGCCACGGGTTACCGTGTCAACGCTCCGCGCAGCACTCAGACCGCGAGACTTACAGTGGAGCTGACCAGAGACGGGAGCTGCAGGAAAGGTAAGTAACAGCTCTCTGCCAGCCCCCTCCTACACAGCCCATCCACTGGAGAGCCCCCTTCCCTGGCCATGTATCAAGCAGGGAGGCCATGTATCAAGCAGGGAGGGGAGACGAATACAAATTTAAATAATAAAATATTAATAATATTAAAAAAAATGATAAAAATATAATAATATAACAAAAAAGTATTATAATAATAATTAAAAATAAATAATAAAAATGCCCACCCCCCACCTAGGCGCTGCACTCACACACACACACGCTGCACTCATACATACATACATACATACATACATACATACATACATACATACATACATACATACACTGCATTCATTATAAAATATATATATATATATATATATATATATAAATTTACTAGTAGCTGCTGCATTTCCCACCCTAGTCTTATACTTGAGTCAATACGTTTTCCCAGTTTTTTGGGGTAAAATTAGGGGTCTCGATTTTATGTTCGGGTCGACTTATACTGGAGTATATACGGGTAATAAACATTTACCAGCAATGTTTTTTAGAAAGATCCCTTACAACTTTACGTAGTGTTTATGCCACGGCTTAAAATGTCAAACTCTGTTACTAGCCTGGCGTTAAAACCTGGAGGGTGTGTTGAAAACCCACCAGGGGTGAAATCGATCTAACTTGAACAAAAACAAACTCCTACCTGACTGTCGATGAAACAGCCAGGGAGGTTTCCTTCCTCCTTCCATTAGCTTCAGGGAGCCAATAAAAGTGGCAGACACGCTCTACTAGAGGACACCTGCCTTCCCCAACTTGGCATGTGCGCACATCCACAGGGCTTCGTTTTACCTGGCTGCATCCCCCTCCAGTTCCTGTGTCCTCTCTCTGGCTGACCTCCTCACTGCATGCACGTCTCTGAATTGAAGGCCTCTCAATGTGTAGCTTCTGATTGGTCATTTTCCCCAGCAAAATATGAAAGTCTGGGCCAGGCAGTCAGCAAAAGATGCATGCATGTTTTCGTTGGGAATCTATCAACTAAATAGTGATTTCTTTTTTTTTTTTTTTTTTTTCGTGGAGTAATCCTCTTAATATTATATATATTTTTTGTTACTGTATAAACCGCAGTATTGACGGCTTTTTGACATGTTTGTACAACTCTTTGCCAGCATTGCTCTAAAAGAGAGAGAATAACCGGTTTTCTTGCAATAATAATGATTAGCCCCCTTCAGTTGTTTATGAAACAGAAAAATGAAAAACCATATACCAGTTTTCTGTACTATATCTCCTTTCTGCCAGATATTCTGACAGTTTGCAGGTTATATCAGTAGGACACATGTGGCAGCTGGATTGCATTTGTGTTACGTTTCAATAAGATGTTAAGTGCCATACAATTACCATCTTAAAGATAGATTTAAAGTCTTTGCCAATGAATACAGCTATCATACGTTTTCTCATTAAGTAGTCTCTGTTGGCGCTGCCTGCGCCATGTGATCAGTTTTCCATGCTTTTCAATGAGCTATCCCTGCGTGCCTACCATTTTCCTTAGCTCCACTGAAAACAACACTTTTGTAATTATCACAAATATGACTGATTCCAGACACATAAGTACTTCAGCAAGCTGCAGTGTTCCTTTAAGATCTTTCCACATAAAAACTTGCATATTTGCTGCTGAGCGTGCCCAAATATAGTTCTCTTTGTGCCTAGTCTGAAATAAATGGCTCATTTTCATTTCTTGAGTAGATTGTGTGGCTGTTTAATCCAGTAACTAAGTGACTGACCCACTTAATGGCTCCATTACATTTATAAATACCAGACAAGTTCACCAGGCAGCAATTAGCAACTCCCATTATAGGCCAAGGTTGCTGAGCTGCTTGACATGCGTAACAATGCATTTATTTTTATTGTTTATATGTCTCCATCTAACCAAGAGTGCACAACATGTTTTAAATTTCAAGTTAGTTTTGGGGGGGGTTTCTAGCCCTGCATGAGCAGGTAACTGCTGAATGTAGTTGTCCAAAGTTCCATGTATATGTAGGCATTTATTAACCACAAGTAGCACCTTAGCCAATGGACAATGCTTCTAAGGGACAATTTGTATTCCATAATAATGTAGGGGGTCACATTTCCTGCTCACATAGTGGAGAATACTTTTAACTGCATGTATAAAATAATAATAATAATAATAATGTTCTGTGTTGCCAGTTAATGCTGATGTTTTGTGTATAGGATTGGACCTATTAATTTACATTAAAAAATGTTTATAAAAAAACTTTTATATGCATATAATTCTAGAACATATGCCAATCCATAAAAGGTTATTAGTAAAATAATGTAGATATAAACTGATAACATGGTTTTTCTAGTATTTTATTTTCTAATTTGACTTTCAGCTGCACTTAGGTAATCTTAAAGGAGCAGTCCTAGCTTTTTGTCTGAGCTAAAAAAACAAAACAGTAGTAATAAACAGAAATTGACCAAGGTTAAAAAAAAAAAAAAAGCAAAAACCTTTTATCCCAACATAAGTTAAAGGAACTCCTGATCCTATAGTGTTGAAAACACTATCTAGACCCCTTGCGCCCCTAATTATAATTAAATCATACTGATCTGCCTCCTTGGTTGACAGAAGTGATGATCTAAGCCTATCACAATGCTTTCACATTGGAAAGCATTGGATTGGCTAAGACTGTCAGTTCTGATGATCTTAGCCAAGGAGGTGAGCTGGGGTGGAACCATATGCCACCCTAGCCAATCAGCATCTCCTCATAGAGATGCTTTGAACCCAGAAAGGTTCAGTGTCTCCATGCAGAGGGTTAAGATACTGTATGTCAGTGCTGCACACTAGTAGCATCTGAGAACTGGACATTGGAGGTGTCCCATGGGCTGTAATGTAGACACTGCCTTTTCTCAAAAAAGACCGTGTTTACAGCAAAAAGCCTGTAGGGACTGACTACACTCAGCAGAACAACTACAATAAGCTGTAGTTCTTGTGACTATATTGTCCCTTTAAGTAATAATTCTAAAAATAAAAACTGAACATGTTCACTTATATGTGCAGTATATTTTGGCTTGATAAGTTTCATATGAAGATGTCCCCCAGAGCCGAAACGTCTGGGTTTTTATTTCTCCTGCTCTTGGTCAGTATACCTTTTTTTTTTTTTTTTTTTTTTTTTTAAATGGGTGATTGCATATAGTTCTTTATAACTGTGGTTTTTGGTACTAATAATGGGTTATGCACTATACTATACACTTTCCTTCTGTTAAAGGACCACTATAGTGCCAGGAAAACATACTTGTTTTCCTGGCTCTATAGGGTCTTTAGGTCTCCCCTCCCGCCGGGCTCTAGGTGGTGGAAGGGGTTAAATTTACCTCTTTTTCCAGCGCAGGGAGGGGGATTCTCCTCTTCCTTCTCGTCGTCATTGGCTGAATGCGCGGCACGAGGCGCGAGCGTGCATACAGCCAGTCCTAGGAAAGCATTCTCAATGCTTTCCTATGGACGCTGGCATCTTCTCACTGTGAAAATCACAGCGAGAAGCGCGGAAGCGCCTCTAGTGGCTGTCAATGAGACAGCCACTAGAGGCTGGATTAACCCTAAAGTAAACATAGCAGTTTCTCTGAAACTGCTATGTTTATAGAAGAAAGGGTTAATCCTAGCTGGACCTTGGGATTATTGTTATTTCAATTAAGTTTCATATGAAGACCTGACAATCTGAGATCTAACCTTGATACCCAGACAAACAGGCTCCATTTTGTTTAAAAAACAAAGTACCGAATGAAAATCAATATAGTTGCAAACGAAAAATAATTACAGTAAAGTGCTTCTGTAGCCATAGATTTTTATTTAATTTTTATTCTATTGGTAGAATGTTTACTAAACTTGATTATATTGTAGTGACTACTTAATGAAATACTTACTGATTTACTGACATTCTGAAGCAATTAAAAGATATACAAAGTGATCACTTTATCTTTTGTTAGCACTAATCTTTGGTTAAAAAAAAAAAAAAAAGACTATGAAAGTATATCTCTCTTCCCCCTCTGATGCCGCCATGCTTCAGAGGGGCAGGGTGTCTGGACAGAAAATCCAAAGACTAACATAACCATGTCAGTTTAAATACAATGCTTGATCTTCTTGTTGCTTAAATTCACTTGATGGTAATCTGGTGTGGTATCTAATAGTGATCTTATTTGCCAACTCTGACCTGTAAGAGTTTGGTGTCCTTGTAATACCAGTATACTAAATAGATTTGCAAAATGAACTTAAAGGGACACTATAGGCACCCAGCTAATTGAAGTGGTCTGGGTGCATTGTCTCAGTCCCTCTTAGTCCTGCAATATAAATTAATTGGAGTTTTAGAATAATTACATTGCAGGTCTAAGACTGCCTCTAGCGGCTGTCAATCAGACAGCCACTAGACACACTTCCTGGTGGTTAAGCGACTTTTAGTCACTTAACTGATGCTGAACGTCCTCACGGTCTGCATGAGGACCTCCAGCGTCAGTAAAAACCCCATTTGAAAGCACTGAAGAAATGATTTTCTATGGGGAAGGCCTAATGTTCTTGCAGCGCATGCTCATTAGCCCTGTTCACCACGTTGAAGGAGGTAAAGCGCCGAAGGAAGATCCCTGCTAGAATCAGGCAAATAAAGGCTTTTAAAAACCCTTTTTTAATGCGGGGGGGATCTGTCTTTTGTAATGAATACAACTTTGTTTTCCTTACATTGTAGAATCCCTTTAAAACTTAAACTTTACCTTCCTGTTATCTTTTTAGATTCAGTTAAAAAGAAAAGATAAACTTACCTTTTCAAACAGCAGAGTGCCAGTTTTCCACCTGGCCACTACCACTCCTTTATGTGAGCTAATAAGACCGATTGTCTCGGACAATCCAATGCTTTTCAACATAGAATCACTGAGGGACATAGAGCATGTTCGGCAATTACAGCGCAACATTACAATGACGCAGAATGTGAAAACTGTAAATTTGTTTACACTCTTCACTAGAAAGTATGTATTGTAGCTGTTTAAAAAAACTAAACAAAACAAAGGCATGCTGATTGACAAATGTAAACATTATTCACAGCTATGCTTACATTTGTCATCCAGGCATCAAGACAATTACAGTAAGCTCTATCGACTAGATACAAATCTCATGGGTGAATTTAGAATCTGTAAGATTCTATTAACCTGCAAATATGCAGAGCAATAAACTTTGTCAGATGGTCTCAACACCACAGCATGAATCAGGCATTTTGCACAATGCGTACATTTATTTTAATTGTTTTAACCTGTGGGATAGGCATAAGGCTATCCTAACTATAAGTTAAGACTAGGGACTAATGAAAGTATTTAGACAATTGGGCAGACTAGATGGGCCGAATGGTTCTTATCTGCCGTCACATTCTATGTTTCTATGTAACCCACCTTCATTGATAAACAGTACTAAGGCAGGTCTTCAATCACAGTGTTGCTGATAATGATAAAAAACCTATTTCAATAACTATTTGTAATACTCCTCAAACTTCATAATGGAACCCTATACATGTAGCATTTGCTTACCCAAAGACCCTAAACAATATTTATAAACCTGTCGGCTATCTTTTCTCTGTTCAATCAAAGATAAGGAGAGGAATTCCCAGTGAACAAGTGGAGAGATTACTTCCTCCCCCTCTCTTTAACCTACCTGCTTTAGACATATGTGCATCAGGGCTCTGAGAGGGCACTTAAAGGTGAGTATGTATCAACTTAAGCTTAATGTAGTGGTTTGGTGTCTATAGCATGTACCTGCAGTGTTCGCACTGGAAACATTGTATTTTCAGAGAAAAGGCCATGTTTACATTACTGCCTGGAAACAGTCACTTAGACGGCCACTAGAGGTGTTTCATTGGCACAATGTGCAGCACTGGCATTCGGTGTCTCCATGCTCTGCATGGAGGCTCTGAACGTTCCCAATAAAGATGTACTGATTCAATGCATCTCTATAATGAGATGTTGATTGGCGCAGCAAGGCATTTTGCCATGCATGTTCAATAGTCTCCCAATTCTTTCCTATTGGAAAGCATTGGATTGGCTGAAATTGATGATTTCAGCCATGCAGGCAGTGCCAGCAAAGAACAGGTAAATAAAATCACCTTTCATCTCCAGAGAGAGGGGGCCAGGGACCTAATGCTGCATTCTAACACTATATTGTCAGGAATATATATTTATTTTCCTGACATGATAATGTTCCTTTAAAGACAGAATTTAACACTGCGAGTAGCGTAGTCAAGGTCACAGATCCAGACATTTTGTTCTTGGCAAACACTTTATAAAGAATTTGTTTGCTCACTTTTCAACTAGATAATCAGAGATCACACTTGGTGGATATTAAATTAAGAGAAGATACATGGCAAGTGTTTAGAGGGGTTATTTATAGTTTATACATTTTGCAAGGACTTTAAAATTTTGAAATAAAAGCATTGGCACAACAAAAATAGAAGTGACAGCCAGACTGGAGTGTAGGCATTGAAAGGTTAAATGAACACTCTAAATCTCTAAAGAGGGTTGAGTGGAGCTGTAGCAAGAAGATGACATTAATATCCTATAAGGTGGTCTCGCAGGACCAACCCGGAAACCATATGAGATCCTCAAGGACATTATCTTGGAAGCAGTTGCACCTCTAGCTTAATGGGCACCAGAGAGATATCAATCCCAGTCTTCTGTAATGTCCACTTAAGCCAACTTGGGATTGGAATCCAAAATAAAAAGGGGGGCAGGTTATAATGGAGGTCTTCGACTGCACATATTCATGCAAGCAAGTCACAGGATACAGATCTGGACAAGTCTGGAAAGTATAACAGACAGATTTGATAGACGTTTAGTGATAATGGGGCCAGAGTGAGGACATATTCTGGAATCCTCTCTTATTACAGCCAGCCATCCACCTGCCCGCCTCCACTCTCCCTCAGACAGCCGATCACCATGGAGCTGACGAATCCCAAGTGCCAGTACAAAATTCATAGTCTTTGTGGCAACCTGGCTCCTGGGATTTGTCAAGCCCTGGTTTGTGGAGCAAGGATTTCAAGGTGTTGCCTTGGCTTCAAAATTCTCTAGATTTCAATCCTTATGAGCATCCGTAGGACGTGCTGGAACAACAAATCCGATCCATGGAGTCATCGATGCATCAAAGCTGTTTTGACAGCATGAGGGGGACCTACACAAAATAAGGCAGGTGGTAGTGGCAGATCATTGCATACGTAGTTACTGGGATATGCTATTAAGTAAAAGTGAATTTTCTGTTTTACCTTATTTTGTGTACTAAACCCATTGTTCGTACCTGATATACATGGTCGAAAATCAAATTAATCATCCGCTTAGATTGTTTTACCGCTTTTAAAGGGATTATCAAGTGCCAGGAAAACAAAGCAGTTTTCCTGGCACTGTAGAATTCTGGAGTGCACCCCCCAACCCATGTCACTGTTTAGACACTAACCTAACACTTACCTGACCCAGCACATGTCCCTCGGCGATGGGTCAGGCTCCGCCCATGCAAATAGCCTTGTGCGCATTAGACCTCCCCATCGTAAAGCATTAAGGTCCGTGAGGACGTCCAGCGTCAGATAACGGACCAAAAGTCCGATTTTTCATTCTGGAAGCCCTCTAGTTGCTGGTAGACAGCCACTGAGGGCAGACTTGTGCTGCAATGTAAACATTGCAATTCTCTAGAACTACGTTGTACATTGCAGCACTGGGTACAAAAGGGACACAGCACCTAGACTACTTCAATGAGCTGAAGTAGTCTGGGTGCCTACAGTGTCCCTTTAAAAAATAGAATAAAATAAGAATAAAATTGTGCAAGTATTTTTACACAAAATTACCATTTTATTCTTTTTTTCGTTTATATATCTATATTTTAATTATTAATTTGGTTGGATTGTGCAGAAACTGCAAGTTTATTTTGGTTTTCTCTACAATTGAAAATCAGTATTCATTGTTCCGAATCTGTGCAGCAATTAGAACTGTTTTTAATAAAAATGGGAATCCGCTGAACTGAGCAGAAAATGGAAAAACTTTCCAGTGAACGTTTTCAGTTAAAACCTAAATGACTTGACTTTCTGCTGCCAAGCGTTTCCACTATTTTTAATGTGTGTACATAACATCCCAAAATGCAAGATGTGCCCCTTTTGTGACTTCTACATGTAGTTTTGGGGTCTTGTATCTTGACACAGCAGAATAGTTAAATTAAGTATTTAAAGTAAAAAATGACACCATCATGGCCGACTGCTGTGTTTCATGTGAGCTCCTCGCATAATCTGAGTAATCCATACATTTAAAGCGAAGTGGCATCCCAGAGAACTACCCAATTGACTACTAACTGGACTCTGACTATTGGGAAGCCCCTTTCTGGAGTCACACTTTCTAGCCTGTGGCCTAACAAAGCTACTGAGGCCTGCTCACCCGGCGTGGACCATGGAGGGGAGAAATGGCGATCTTCCAGCCTGGGACTGCAGGTGTGAAGCAGCTGCCCCGTCTTTACCCCTCTTTCTCCCCCCTCTGGACTGGTGGAGAATATGCCGGTCCCTACTGGGGGAAAAGCCATCAAGCACTCCTAGCACTACTGTAACAACCTGCCCGCAGCCCCTCTTGGCATGGGCAAAATGGCCGATGTTTAGACAGTCATTTGTGACACAATGGGAGGCTAATTTCCTAGCTGCTTTCAACAAGATCTGCACAGCTTTCTGTCACCTGGTTGAATCCCGTACAAGGCTGCCACAACCGTATACACTGCATGGCATACAGATGCTCGCAGCAGATGTCCCCACAGCCTGTCTCTCCTCCGAACTGGAGACCAGTTTGGCACACAGCCCCCACTTACCAGCACCTCTTGCAGCACAAATAAGCTATGCTGTGATCCAGACCGCTCGCCCTTCTCCTGGGCGAATGCCCATCTGCTTCTCCGCCGCCCACGCACCTGGATTCTGATGAACCCAGGGGCCCACGATCCTGAACCTTGACGCAGGTGGCTCAGGTCTGCTGTGAACCGCTACCCTCCTGAAGCCTGGTCTAAATTAGGACACCACTCTCCCACACCCTCTGGGGATCCTCACCCACTGTAAGCAGAACCAACATCCTGGAGGGCTCCGAGATCAAGCCCTGGACACAGCTCAGGAAGAGACTTGTGGCTCAAGGGCAACAAACTGTATGGCAGCCTGGGGCTAGTGGGGTACAGATGCGCGGGACTTGAGGCTATACTGCAGTCGGGGCAGCACACATGAACTATCAGGGATAGGCTAATTAACCTGTCTACTCGGTAACACCTTCTATGCCTCGGTTTAGCCTCACTCTACTGTATTAGTTTAGGGCAGTTCTGTCTATTGTTATCTCTTCTTTGACAGACAATTCTGTGGTTGACACACGGTGGTAATCATATTTGTTATTATCTCATGATTTTATTTAGCTTGATTCAAATAATTTAGTTATTTACGTTGACAATGCTTGTCGTTATTTATGGCAATCAACATCAGTGCCTAGGAAATGCAATTGCTTTTACATAACCTATTTCATTATCTCCCCTATGCATGGTATGTTTCTCATCATTATTTTCCCTGTTACATTAATAAAAAAAAAGGGCTGTATGACATTTTCCAACAATCTTGCTTTTAATGTCATGGTGTGTGTTTTTTGTTTTTTTAAGTCACTGTTGGACTGTTTAACCTATACACTGCAAAAATTAAAGAATTAATTTTTTTTTTTTTTACATTTTTTTTATGACACTACCATATCAATGTGTAATGAAGATAAAACAATAACACAGATGAAATAAAAATAAATTAACTCTACCTTCAATGCATGGTTTAGTGATTATTTTTTTTTATTAATAGCTGTAGGCATGTCCCTCATTAGGAACAGCCTTTTTAACTCATGTCCAGGAGTCTCCCTCAAATGAGAAGGTCTGTACTACAGCAGAGATTTTCCTACCGGTCTCCTTCCAGGACAGGCAGCATTTACCTAAATAAATGAGAAATGTAAATGATTAGGCCCACATTGACTCCTTCCCTACAAGTTATGAATCTGTTACACTCCAATGGATGCCCAGTTGTCTGTCTGTCTACAATAAACACTGAGATCTATGACTGGTTCCGTGAGACTGCAGAAGCCTCTGGTAGACATTGTGATTGGACAAAAGTTGATGGCAAATTCCTCACTTATTCTTATGGATTCTATGAATTGTGTCTTTAGCAGTATTTTATGAGGAATATATACTTATGAAATACTGAAAAGTGACAGGTCTGCTTTATCAGGCCATGCAGATAAATTGTAGGATTGTTCTTAATTTTTATTTGAAATCTGAAATATGACATTTTACTTTTGTAAATGTTCTTGTTGCATCATTTCCCATTATATGTAAAATGTTGTTCTTTCAGATTACAGCTATAGAAGACTTGTTACAGGAACGTCCTTTGTACCATCATGGCTCAGTTTGGAGGCCAGAAGAATCCTCCTCCATGGGCCACCCAATTTACAGCAACTGCTGTGTCTCAACCAGGTAAAACTGCATTTTGCTGCATTTACGTTTGGTTAATAAAATGTGTTCTATGAAAATGTTGATATTTGGCTCTGCTTGGTAATTTTAATTATATGCTTCTAATTATCTGAGTATAATCCGTTCTGATTACCAAGAAGATGCAAGAGGAATATTGTGTGTCTGTGTAATCATTCTGTCAGTGCTCCAGCTAGGGCTATATTCACAACTTTTTTTGTTCTTCTGTTCTAATCCAGTGTGTGTGTGTGTGTGTCTGTCTGTCTGTCTGTCTGTCTGTCTTAAGGAGTTTTGAACCGGGCCTGCTCTGATATTTTGCTAAGTGAATTCCAGTCTTGGGGGGGTTCTTTAAGTTCTCAAATTTAAACAGCTGCTTTTGTGCCTGTGATATGTATAGGAAAATGTGGGCGCTGTCTGTGAGCATTATAAATTATGTGACACTTAACCAGGCTGGAGAGATTCCAGGTACCTATGTTTTACTGGTGGTATTTGATATATCTGTCTTTTACTCGTGTGTTTTTTTTTTTGTTTGTTTTTTTTTCCTCCTCTTTTAAGTGCTTAATTATTATTTCTTATTTTTTTTATTAATATAATATATATATTTTTAACCTCTTAAGGACCAAACTTCTGGAATAAAAGGGAATCCTGACATGTCACACATGTCATGTGTCCTTAACGGGTTAAATTACTGATGCATCCTTTTCAGCACATTATCAGCGGCCAACGCCATCACCATTTTTCTTCTGAGATAAACCGTTGTATGCCCCAAACTCTTGGTTAAGTTCTGTGTATTACATCTGTTTATGTTCAGTGTTAAACCTTGCTGATTGTCTGCTTAACTATTTAAATGCCAAAGGTGTGCTTAAGGCAATGCTTTTCAATGCATCAGACTTGTCTCCAACACTTAAATGGTTAATTCAAATTTTGTCACTTAAGCAGAGTGTGAAATAATCCTGGCATACAGAGCTGAATAATTAAAATCGTATATAGCTATCACATAAAGAGCTGACACAGGCAGTATTTGTGATAACAACCAGGAGCTCTAATAATGGTGATAGTCTTGAATTTGTGGTACAAAATGTTCCCTTTTAAGAGAGAATTTTTCCATTGTGAGAAATAATGGAAAGTGCAAATTTAAAAGGATGCTATTGTCTATTGTTGACCTCCCTTTTTTTTTTTTTTGCATTAAAAGAATGAAAAAAATTCTAGGTTTACCCAAATTGGAAAATGCCTGACATTTGTTGGCAAATCTTAAATTTCACATTGTATTAAAGGTGAGCTAAGCATATCCCAAATAATATTGCTCAACAGAATATTATGAGACATATACAGTTGCAAGAAAAAGTATGTGAACCCTTTGGAATGATATGGATTTCTGCACAAATTGGTCATAAAATGTGATCTGATCATCATCTAAGTCACAACAATAGACAATCACAGTCTGCTTAAACTAATAACACACAAAGAATGAAATGTTGCCATGTTTTTATTGAACACACCATGTAAACATTCACAGTGCAGGTGGAAAAAGTATGTGAACCCCTAGACTAATGACATCTCCAAGAGCTAATTGGAGTGAGATGTCAGCCAACTGGAGTCCAATCAATGAGATGAGATTGGAGGTGTTGGTTACAGCTGCCCTGCCCTATAAAAAACACACACCAGTTCTGGGTTTGCTTTTCACAAGAAGCATTGCCTGATGTGAATGATGCCTCGCACAAAAGAGCTCTCAGAAGACCTACGATTAAGAATTGTTGACTTGCATAAAGCTGGAAAGGGTTATAAAAGCATCTCCAAAAGCCTTGCTGTTCGTCAGTCCACGGTAAGACAAATTGTCTATAAATGGAGAAAGTTCAGCACTGCTGCTACTCTCCCTAGGAGTGGCCGTCCTGTAAAGATGACTGTAAGGGCACAGTGCAGACTGCTCAATGAGGTGAAGAAGAATCCTAGAGTGTCAGCTAAAGACTTACAAAAGTCACTGGCAAATGCTAACATCCCTGTTAGCGAATCTACAATACGTAAAACACTAAACAAGAATGGATTTCATGGGAGGATACCACAGAGGAAGCTACTGCTGTCCAAACAAAACATTGCTGCACGTTTACAGTTTGCACAAGAGCACCTGGATGTTCCACAGCAGTACTGGCAAAATATTCTGTGGACAGATGAAACCAAAGTTGAGTTGTTTGGAAGAAACACACAACACTATGTGTGGCGAAAAAAAGACACAGCACACCAACATCAAAACCTCATCCCAGCTCTGAAGTATGGTGGTGGGGGCATCATGGTTTGGGGCTGCTTTGCTGCGTCAGGGCCTGGATGGATTGCTATCATCGAAGGAAAAATGAATTCCCAAGCTTATCAAGACATTTTGCAGGAGAACTTAAGGCCATCTGTCTACCAGCTGAAGCTCAACAGAAGATGGGTGTTGCAACAGGACAATGACCCAAAGCATAGAAGTAAATCAACAACAGCATGGCCTAAACAGAAGAAAATACGCCTTCTGAAGTGGCCCAATCAGAGTCCTGACCTCAACCCGATTGAGATGCTGTGGCATGACCTCAAGAAAGTGATTCACACCAGACATCCCAAGAATATTGCTGAACTGAAACAGTTCTGTAAAGAGGAATGGTCAAGAATTACTCCTGACCGTTGTGCACGTCTGATCTGCAACTACAGGAAACGTTTGAAGTTATTGCTGCCAAAGAATTCTACCAGTTATTAAATCCAAGGGTTCACATACTTTTTCCACCTGCACTGTGAATGTTTACATGGTGTGTTCAATAAAAACATGGCAACATTTCATTCTTTGTGTGTTGTTAGTTTAAGCAGACTGTGATTGTCTATTGTTGTGACTTAGATGATCACATTTTATGACCAATTTGTGCAGAAATCCATATAATTCCAAAGGATTCACATACTTTTTCTTGAAACTGTAGTCTTGCAGTTGACAGCATTTACACGCGTCATATAAGATAAATGGGGCTGCTATAAAAGCAGAAATGTGAGTGATGTCAGGTTACGTATAGCTCCATTCTCAGATCTGCGAGTTTACAGCCTTTCATTGCCTTCCAAGGTTACACAGATTTTGATGTAAAATATCCGATGAGTCTCCTGTTTTGTCAAACCATTGGAAAATGTTTGACCCGATGCTTGGATCGAGTCATTGGTTTGGCTTCTGCACATTCTGACCCCAGAACTCTAAAATGACAACATTCATTTTCCAGCTCTTTCGCTAAAGCAATATATGCGTTGTATGCGCATTGTTGCTTATGTATGCAATATACCACACCACAGCAGTGTTTCAGTACTTTTCATTTAGCTTCCTACTGCCATGCTATCTTCCAGCTGATAAGTCACAAATTCTCTTCTGTAACTTGATTTAATAAAGGGCTAGATCTTCATGGGTTGTGCATAGGGGTACATCTATTAAAATACTATTCTGAATTTAACCCTTGATTTGTTTAACAAGGTTAAGGGTGCTATGGTGTAAACCTCTCTCAGCACAAACAAATTGCACAGATTCGAGTGCTGGAGAGCTAATTGAAGGATTGGTACAACATATTCACAGGGATCGGATGGAAAGAGAAGTCTGATTCCAGAGTCATTGGTACATAGTTAATGTTTCTTATAAATTTTCCTTAGAAAGACTGCTATTAAGTAAGATCAAACGTAGCTGACGTTTTCTTTAAAAAAAACAAACAAAAAAACATTTGGGAGATTGTACGGCAGTAGTTCTGCTATTAAATATATTATTCTCCTACACACTCTATGTTTCTGTCTGCTGTTCCTGTGCTGTCAGCCCCACGTGAGCAGAATTGATTCTGTCATTCTCGCCATGCGTTACAGATAGGATACTTCCTGCGCTTGTGGCATACGATAGATAGGAAACTCATTCTGGAATATGACAAGTGACCGGCAACTGAGGGTTGTAGTCAATGGAATATATTCGAAGCTTGGACTGTCACTAGTGGCAGGATCTGTACTTGGACCCATTCTCTTTAATATTTTTATTAGTGATATTGTAGAAGGTCTTGATGGTAAGGTATGTCTTTTTGCTGATGATACTAAGATATGTAACAGAGTTGATGTTCCAGGAGGGATAAGCCAAATGGCAAATGATTTAGGTCAACTAGAAAAATGGTCAGAATTGTGGCAACTGACATTTAATGTGGATAAGTGCAAGATAATGCATCTTGGACGTAAAAACCCAAGGGCAGAGTACAGAATATTTGATAGAGTTCTAACCTCAACATATGAGGAAAGGGATTTAGGGGTGATTATTTCTGATGACTTAAAGGTAGGCAGACAATGTAATAGAGCAGCAGGAAATGCTAGCAGAATGCTTGGTTGTATAGGGAGAGGTATTAGCAGTAGAAAGAGGGAAGTGCTCATGCCATTGTACAGAACACTGGTGAGACCTCACTTGGAGTATTGTACACAGTACTGGAGACCGTATCTTCAGAAGGATATTGATAATTTAGAGAGAGTTCAGAGAAGGGCTACTAAACTGGTTCATGGATTGCAGGATAAAACTTACCAGGAAAGGTTAAAGGATCTTAACAATTATAGCTTGGAGGAAAGACGAGATTGGTGATATGATAAAAACATTTAAATACATTAAGGGAATCAACACAGTAAAGGAGACTATATTTAAAAGAAGAAAAACTACCACAACAAGAGGACATATTCTTAAATTAGAGGGACAAAGGTTTAAAAATATCAGGAAGTATTACTTTACTGAGAGGGTAGTGGATGCATGGAATAGCCTTCCAGCTGAAGTGGTAGAGGTTAACACAGTAAAGGAGTATAAGCATGCGTGGGATAGGCATAAGGCTAGGGACTAATGAAAGTATTTAGAAAATTGGGCAGACTAGATGGGCCGAATGGTTCTTATCTGCCGTCACATTCTATGTTTCTAAGTATCTTATTCAGTCTGCCTGTTTTTCATTCCTGCAAAATGGCGTCTCACCACTGCTATATGAGAAGAAGGGATTTGAACTGTGAGCATAACTCCCTCCATTGAATGTACAGATTCATTAACATGATCAATATATATTGTACGTATATTTACAAATTTGTGTAGCAATTACAATCTGTTTTGCTTTGGTTGCCTTTGGTACCCAATCACTTACATGCACATTGTATATAAGCATGCAGTTTTTCTCAGTCTTTCTGGAAACCCTAGTAATGTGCTAATGTAAACATGGTGTCCTGTTCTCTTCTTAGCTCCCCTAGGGGTCCAGCAGCCATCGTTACTTGGAGCCTCCCCTACAATCTACACTCAGCAATCGGCACTGGCGGCAGCCGGCCTCACCTCCCCATCTCCAGCCAACTACCAGCTGACTCAAACAGCAGCTTTGCAGCAACAGGCAGCCGCCGCTGCAGCCGCCGCTGCTCTGCAACAGGTAAACAATCAACGTCTTGTATATAAATGTTCTCCCTGGTTTAGCAGTTTGCAAAAAGTGATTTACAGACAAATATTTCCAGACTTTTTTTTTTTTTTCTTTTTTTTTTTTACTACGTATTTGTTGCAGTAGGGTAAGGATGCATTGCTTGTTGCATGGATTTACCTGTGATAAAATTGATAAAAGAGGCACTTTAGTCCCCTAACCAACTTTAGCTTAATGAAGCAGTTGTTGTGTATAGATCATTCACTGCTATTTAGGAGATAAATCACTTCTTTTTTGTTTTTGTTTTTTTGTTTCTGCAGCCCTAGCCACACCTTCCTGGCTGTGACTGACACAGCATGCATGAAACCAAAATGGATGCACTTTCAATCAGGTGCAACTTGCTTTGCAAGATTTTATCTCCTGCACTGTAAATTGAGTTTTAATTACATACAGGAGGCTCCTGTAGGGTCCAGCAATCTTTTAACTGTGCAGGAGATGATAAATGATCAATTAAACAGAATTTGCGGTAAAGGAAGTGTAAACATTAATGACTCTTTACAGGAAGTGTTTAGGAAGGCTGTGTAAGTCACGTGAAGGCAGGTGTGCCTTGGGCTGCATAAAGTGATTTAACTCCTAAATGGCAGAGAACTAAGCAGTGTGACTGCAGGGGCATGATCTATACACCAAAACGGCTTCATTAAGCTAAAATATGTTTGGTGCCTATAGTGTCCCTTTTATTAATGGTGCAGTCCTTGCATCCAAGCCAAAGCATTTGAAAAGTTCAAGTGGAGGAATTCTTGTGCACGACCTGCTGTTGGACTATTAATTCCTTACTTGGCTGAGAGTGATGATGATTTTAATCACACAGGAATTACAGGGACATGGTTTTCATAAGTCTGCAATTTCTATTGCTGTTATTATGTGAAAACGCCCATGGTTAAAGTAGTCCACTACCATTTGTAGAGATTTGATATCTTTGCTGTTGCTTGGTGCAGTCCCTTCCCCAATGGAGTATAATGCTACTCAAAGCTTATGGCTTACTTTACATTGCAGTGTGTCACTATTGGCCTCTACTGTTCTTTTCATGATTGCCAGTGTGATAAGCAGAACATCAATGACACTGCAGCTCAATGATTTGAGGGAATAAAAATCAACCTTGTTAAATCCGAATCCACCCACTGTGTGAAGACAATGCTTGCTGACAGAAAGTGTTATTAATTGTGTTCCCATTTTATTTTAGCAGTACACACAACCTCAGCAGACCATATACAGTGTACAACAACAGGTATGTATATACTTTATTATCAAACATGGCAGGAATAACAAGATACATTGATTTATTTATATTGTTTTTAATACAGTATGAGCAAAACCATTTTTTTTTTATTTATGCTTTCTCACACAACTTTTTGACACTTTAAAATATTTCTAATCGAAAACCATGAACGGTTACAAAGTTGTTTTGTTTTTTGTTTGTTTGTTTTTGTTTTTTGTGTTTGCTTTCAAACCAAATAATTTTTTTCAATGTTAAGTTAGATGGGACTTTTTGTTTTTAACATATAACACTAGAGCATGTCTTGGCATTATGCAATCACTTGCCTTCTTTATTGCTGTTTGAAAATTGCATGAGTACATACATTTAAAAAATATAGTACACATTTCACGATGAAAGTTTTTTTTTTTTTTTTTTAGAAATAACTATCGATAAAACAACCACTGAAAACAATTTGTAACATCTCTAGTGTATGTAGTGGGTTCCAATAAAATACAGTATATTATGTATGTATGTATTGATATGAATATTGCATTTTTTATTTTTATTTTTCTGCTCGGTCTTAAATATTTGCTTTCATTAAAAAAAGTATGTATTTGCTCTTTGTAGGTGAAATATAATGTTTATAATGATATCGTATTTTATTTTTATTTTTTCGTACAGTTACAGCAGCCACAGCAAACTCTATTAACACAGGTGAGTATGCAATATTATTTCTTTAGTGTCAGTCCTTTATCTGCTCTGTTCTTTCTCCCTTTTTTTGTACTTTTGGACTGACTGTTCTCATTACACTGTTTAAACAGTCTGACCACATGTTTTTATAGAGGTGGGCAGCTACTCTTGCATTCCATTAGAGTTCTGCATTACCTGCCTCTCTCTATGTTTGATACAACTAGGGAATACAATCACATTTTTGCTTTAATGAATAGTAATGCAGGTCTAGCAAGGATGGATGTGAGATCACCTGGGGAATACAATAAGAGTATCGCTTTGACAAACAATAGTGCAATTCTAGCATGGATGGATATGAGATGGGCGGTATGTGGGCCACTGAAGGGCTGGAGATGATGGGCATACAAAATGTGTTTTGTGTTGTCATTGTTGTATCACAGTGAAACAAAACGTGTGTTATTATTAATTTGTAAAACTCAGGGATCTTTACAAACACTCCATACAGTCACAGTGTAATGAATAAGATTAAGAGGTGCGTGGGTAGTGTCGGAAATAACAAATGCATTTAGATAACCCATTTTCTGGAACATTGATAAGAGCGTAAATTAAATAAGGGGATATAAGAGAGACAGGGTTATTTACTAAAGTAAGAATAGCCAAACTGGAATTCAGATATTCTAGTTTGGCTACTTTGCCATAAATGAGAATTTCCCTTTAAATTCCTGACAATACTCACTTTAATAATAAAAAATAAAAAAATAAAAAAGTTATGGAGAGTTGAAGAGTTTCTCAGGTTTGGTTATTTTGCTGTAAATTTGTCATTCCTCCATTGTTTCCACTCTAGTGGGGTGGGGGGGTGGGGGGGAGGAAATGTTAAACTTTGGATACCGGTATTTCTGCATTACTTTTTTATTTTATTTATTTTTTTACCCTTAGACATGAGATCTCTGGGATTTATTCGATGGTCCCAAGAATAAGAATGGGAGTTTCAATTTCTTGCCATTATATGTTTAAACCTTGAGTTATCAATAACAGGGTTTTTTTTAGATTACGTTAAAGAGCACAATCTACTCTGTTTTGTAGCAGACTGTGACCCTACCTACGAGCCTTGCGTTGTCCACTCCCCAACAGGCTGCACAGATAACTGTTTCATACCCAACACCACGATCCAGCCAGCAGCAGACTCAGACACAGAAGCAGCGTGTTTTCACGGGCGTTGTGACCAAGCTCCATGAAACCTTTGGGTTTGTGGATGAAGATGTATTTTTTCAGCTTACGTATGTATTTCCAAATATTTATTTCTAATGTGTAAAGTATGATGGATGCTGTTGTTTATTTATAAAAAAATTTTTTTCCTTCACGGTAACATTTTACATGGGATGCAAATTAGTTTAATCCTTAAGGAAAGCTAAAATCAAAAAAAAATTTTTTTTAAATTAGATGTCCAGTCAGATGTGTTGTTTGGTTACAGAGGCAAGTCTTGTTGCCTAAACTTAATGTTTTTTGCCAATATCAAATAAAGGAACATTGCAGACCTTATTGACAAGCACAAGATATTTTATGTCAATCATAAATCTAATTACTGGAAAATACTGTTGAGTTTTTTTTTTTTTTTTAAATATCATGCATCTGTTTAGCTCTGTAACCAATGGAATACAAACTCAACATGTTTACAGTAGAATGCTAACATAGAGGATTGTATTCCCTCTGGTCCCCAACTTGAAATGCTCTGCATGCACACAATACTTACCTAGGTATCCTAGGTGTAAAAAAAAAAAAAAAGTGGGCCTGAGATTTGAACCCTTCCAATTATAAACTGACCATAAAAAGGTAATATTCCGCCATATTGTGAATTACATCAGGACTTGCGTTCTAAGTCTAAAAAACAAAAATGTGCGAAATGTTTTTTTTATATATATATATATATGTATGTATGTGTGTGTGTGTGTGTGTGTGTGTGTGTATGTTCATGCACCATGTGATGTGCTCTTAAGATCACTTTTTGGTCCAAGGAACTAGGACAATCCTGAGCTGAGAAATTGAGGTTTCTGGCACAAAGATTGCCCCCGTGTTTAGACATAAGTAAAATAAATATATATGTAAAATAGTAATGTAAAAAAAAATCAGGATGAGGGGGCGGAGCTTGACCACCAGCCTGTACAGACACCATGCTTGTGAGCTCCTCCACACAAACACAAGAAAACGCAAATAAAACAATAGTGAAAACCCATCCTAACCCCAAAGGCTACCAGCTACAACGATCAAAGTCTCCCGAGGCGATAGATGCCCTTTTTGTCAACAAAAGACCCAGCCAAGACGGAAACGGAAAACCGGGACCTACCCCGCGTTGTCCCTTCTGGGCCTGGAGGCGCTACTCACGCGGCAAGTGAGCGACTATCCTCAAACCTTACCCGACAGCCCAGTCCATATGCCAGCTATGAGCCGCCGCTCGCAGAACATGACGGCGACGGAACACATGGATATTAGGACTATGATCCAACAGCCCGCACAGCCCCAACCCGCTCTTGCGGAGGCTCCACGGCCTGTCGCTACCCCGCAGCCTAATGCTCACACTCACCCAAACGAGCAAACAGGGGCTGAACAATCGGTAGACACTCACCCAATGGCGCCCGCAGCTCCCACTTACTGCACACTGATGATCAGGCATGACCTGAAGGTCCTATTGGCAGACTTTCACAAAATACTAGCGACTGAACTCGCTCCTATTAAAAACTACATGAAGGCCATCACAGACCGGTTACAGGCCTCGGAGAGAGACATTGCAGACGTCCAAACGCAGATGACTAAGCTCCTGAACACAGTGCATCAGGTCTGGTCCCATCAAAGAGCCATCACCACACAAATCACGGCCATGGAAGACTGCCAACACCGCACCAATATTAAAATAAGGGGCATCCCGATGAGTCACGGTAGACGAACTACCTCACAATGTCAGACGTTTGCTGACCTCCATCCTGTCCCATGCAGTGGCCAAAAAAATAAATATTGAAGGAACTTACCGTTTAACAGGGCCCACTGGGGCATCAACCACGGCGACGAGAGACGTCATTCTCCGGTGTGCCACGACAAAATACTAATAATGTTGTCAATTAAGGGAAAAACACCCCTACACTTCGAAGAAGCCTCCCTGACGTTCTATCAGGACCTTACAAAGGCAACCCTCCTGTGACGTAAAACGTTCAATCCTGTGACCAGCCTACTTTGCTCAGCCAACATGAGCTACAGGTGGGGAATGAATGGATCCCTGACAGTGACCTGAAATGGCAGCTTACACACTCACCTCGATGGAAAACGCAACAACGTTCCTGATGGCCCTGGGCCTGGAGCACTTGCCGGAAAACACACAAGCGAGAGTGCCCGTCCCCACTTCCACTTGGGACCCAGCCCACGCACCATCCTTTTGTCCCGAGGTCGGCGACTGCGGGGCGGCAGTACCGGGAACAATCTCCAGGGACGACCCGATATGAGGCGCTAGCTACCAGACCGGAGACCCGCCTTCCGGCCCTAACTTCAATATGGGACTGTCTGCCCAGGACTTTACATATGGCTCTCTACAGATAATGTTTACCCCTCTGTCATCCCTATTTTTCCCTTCCCCCTCTTATAACTTACATTGCGATTTTGTACTTAATTCACACAAACACTGGGGTAATGCCAGCTACCAGACACAACATCTAGGGTTAGGGACCCAGTAACGACAAATATCCTCACAATAAGGATTGTTACCCTTCCACTACGCACAGAACCTGGGGCAACCCTGAACCTTCTCGAACACCTCCCACCCCCCCGCTACTCCCTCAGTTAGGAGTAACCAAACACAACACATAGTGTGACTGGACACCCCACGACCACCAGACCTTGGCTCATCCCCACGTGGATACACAGCTTCTTGGTCTGCACAACGTGTATTTAACAAAGCTACATCACACGTCAGTACGTGAACACACAAGCTGACCACTCCAGCCTCAGGACCCTCTGCTTACAACCTCGGCGTACTGAAACCTCACGCACTTGACAGCAAGTGTACACCACACCTGAACACCCAACACCCTAAGGGCGACTCACCAGCTGTCAAGACTTACACAAACACGTTAAAAATAAAAAGGTGCTAGAATCTAATGTGAACCTGCTTGCACACTAATTACATACTATCCACTCTCTGTTGAACGCTGTAACGTTTATGCTTTGCACTGAAAAAATAGATTTAAAAAAATAATAAAAAAATCAGGATGACTGTAGTGTGATGTTGGTGGAGTGATTGAGCACTCTGTCAGGTATTTTATTTATTTATTTTCCTGCTTACAGTGCTGTCAAAGGAAAATCTCCCCAAGTCGGAGATCGCGTGCTGGTAGAGGCAACTTACAATCCAAATATGCCATTTAAATGGAATGCACAGAGGATACAGACCCTTCCAAACCAGGTATTTAAATGCCTTTCTCTACATCTAAATTGCCTCCTTTCCTTATTCAATTTTCCTGTGTTTAATATTGCTCCTGTATTTTACCGCAGAATCCAGCTCCAGCACAGTCTCTGATGAAAAACACTCAATCTGTAATGCCCCCAGTTGCTCAGCAGGGTGCATTTGCTGTTCAGTCTCAGCCCCCTCCTCAAGCCCAAACTTTGCTACAGGCTCAGATATCAGCTGCTTCACTCACTCCTCTTCTTCAGACACAGCCATCTCCACTTTTACAGCAGCCACAGCAAAAAGGTGAGCATAATGCCAAACCCTGGCTAGAATTTATTGCCTGTTATGTAGAATTAAATTTGTGTTTTAAAACCCTTATTTGTTATTCTTGGCAAATGGTTTGGAAAAATCGTGAATATGATTCTGTTTTCCATGTAGCTTAACATTTATTTCCCTAGCTTCAGGAATATATAATTATCAGAAATAGGTGGCAAAAGAGCCAGGGGTTTAAGCCCAAGAGTACATTTTATATAGAACGTATAGAAATGAGCTCCACCCTAGCACTCAACCGTTATGGAGGTGTATCTAATTTGGAGAAGGTCCCTAAATCCCTCTAAAAATACATACACTAAAAGCCAAAGCAAACCATGCACGCTCAATTATATGCTATCAAGCAAAGAGTATTTTTATTTAAAAGAAAAAATTGGTGTACTGTTATATACTCCCAAAAGTAGAAAAATACTGTTTCATAAATATGGAAAAAGATAAACAAAATATAAGGATTTGTCTTAATTGAGACAATACAATAATACCAAAAAAACAAGGGGAATGTGCCCATGTATGAAAGAAAGCTGTTAATATTAGAATATACAGAATTGTATAAACTAGAGTAGTGAAGTTATATAACGAAAACTTATAATATAAAAAATATAATATCAATACTGATTATACAAATGTCAACAGTTATAGGATAAACATTTAACAGAACCTTTCTGTCAAAAGTAAGACTTGGTACTATAGGTTAAATCCATCAGAGGAAAACATAACCGGTAAACAATGATCAGTATTGTTGTTGGTCTTTGGATCCCAGATCATCAGGAATGGAGTTGAAATAAGATTGTAACACCCATAAGTTTGATTGCAGTACTAAACTAAATGTCACTGTGTACATAGGTATGTATTATCTTTAAGTTCAACCAGAGTAGTTCACTTGTTTCAGTGAAGAAATGCAGTAATGCCTATCCATAAAAATAAAGGAATCTATACATCAGTTGAATATTTACAACAAATTGCGTTCATTACATTTAAAAGTATCACGTTTTCTTTGGTTGTTGCTGTGTGGACTGAAGATGCCACTTGTTCATCTTGTCACCATGCCTGACCAGTGATCCTTCTATGTCCTCCTTGCTAGCCATTTCAGTTCTTTCAACAACTTTTGTCTTTTCTCTTTCTTTCCTGAATTTTTTTTTTTTTGTTTGTTTGTTTCCTTCTTCACACTTCCCTTTTACTCTCCATAGAAAATGTTCGAGCCTTGCCTCCATTCTGCATGCTTACCTGTTCCGATGTACAAAAGGGTTCTCACCCCTGGTAGCCTAAGAATAAAGAGAGCTCTGCCACCTGGGGTACAGATCTTTTGTGGCAGAACTTACCACCTATTTGTGTGTTTTATCCGTTCGGTAGTACGTAATACAAACAAAATCCATTTGTCTTCTGAACGAGGACCACCACTTTACCCCATTAGAACGTTTACACGAGCAACTTAAGTGCGAAAAACGCAAGGGACGTAATTAATTAATTCTTCCCCTGGGTGGCCGCCATTTCGTATTACTGAACACGTGGCGGACAAAAGAATGGCGGCCATCTTGTCTCTCGAACGTGGGCAGCAGTACTTGGTCATCGAGTGCCTGGAACTCTTTTCGGCTAGGCACTCACACGAACGCCGGTAAAACTTAGAACGCTGCCCGTTCTATTTCCTGACCACATATATGAATGATGTTCGGGGGATATGAACTACCGAACAGGGGAGCATTCGTATCCTGAAATGAAGAAATTCCCTTGCTTGGTGTTCGCACAGGAACCCCACAAACGGAGACCGTCCAGGGCACCTATTTTCCTGGAACTGTTTTGGGCTAGCGCCTAGTGTCTGGCCGGTGAAAACTTCACCTCGATGGCGTTCCCGTTTAACAGAACAGAGTGATCTTTGGATATGTTATGCAGTCAGATTGGGGCTATCCGGGGGGTGTACTTTCTGTGGGGTTCCCGAGTATGGTGGGGACACTTTTGGGGTACTGTATGTTTTGTATGGATTTTCTGTACTTGAGAGATAATTGGATTAGAGTTTTTTTCTCATGCAATTATCTCTGGCACAGAGGATCTTGGGATTGAAACCCCTGTTTTATTGTGTTGGAGAACCCATGTAAAAGCAGTTTGTGGTCTGAATAAACTGTTTATTCCCAGAACTATGTTTCGTCTGGTTAGTGGGGGAATGGATGTCTGCTTGTGTTAATAGTTCCAGAGTGGCTGAAGGAAGGAATTAGCGGAGGTAACCAGTCGAGTTACTCGTGGTCAGCTACATCTTTATTATACTGATCCCTTGTTGAGGCTAACGGCAGACTGGTATAAGGTGCAATAGGATCCCAACACACTGTGAGCAGGAAGACTGCGAGGGAAGAAATCAATTTAAATGCGTGCCACAGAAGTCACAGATCTCCTCTGTCTCTTGAAAATAGCAGATCAGATACATAAGAACTAGAGTTTCCCCAGATTTCTTATCTCCTTGCGTTGCTTGGTGCCACTCATTACAGCAGTGCCCTAGTAGTTCTAGCTCTAACAAAGTATCAAGAGCTGACAATAAATGGCAGTTACATCAGGGAATAGTACAGAAATTTAATTTTCGCATGGAAACAAAACATCTTTCATGCAGAAAACATTGTGTGACTGTTAAATCAAATGTTCTGCTAACCTAAAAGGGGAATGGTCAAGTCTCATGATTTTTAAAATTGTTTATTTATAACTCAATCAAATCTGCCTTAGCAAAGTCTGGGGGAAAAAAAAAAAACGAAATGTTGAAATCCAGGCTCTTGTATGTAGCTCTGTCCTGTGACCGAGGTCCTTCATCTTGGCTCCATGTTAATCATTGTTTTTTGCTTTGCTCTTTGCACTTGTCAACACATGGAGAGGAAGAGAAACCAAACCACAATGTTTCTGTTTTCCTCCTCTAATGCAATGTGGGCCGTTGCTGTACCAAGACTGAGTGGGATTGTGGGATTTCAGTTACTTAGCTTCTACTATGCATTAAAAGAAAACCGATCTGCTCTCCTTATTCCCTTTTTCGCCATCTATTTTATTTTTTTTGGTTAATATCTGTTTTTGTGTTTTATTGTTATTATTTATACATTGTCTAGTTCTCAAATTGAAAACTTGCATGGAGAAATGTTTTACATGATATTCTTTTCATAGTTACTCCTTTATTCTGTAAACCTACTCCTGTTATAAGTGCTACTGTCCAAATAGTTCTTGTTATAGGTTTGCTGTTATTGAACAAAAATGCAAACGTAATCAATAAATAACTTGGGGGAAAAAGAAACTGTAATGCACCCACCCCACTCCAGCCCCACTTCCATATTGTAAATGGTCAAACCATTTTATAATGAGTTGACTTCTTACACGGAGGTGTCAGTCCCTGCCTCCCCCTGTATGGAGAGACGGAACCTCCTGCTTAGCTCATGTAGAGAACTTGACATCAACGGACAAAAACAAAGTAAAAAGTCAGACTGTTGGCAACCCCTTCACTACTACATTGGAGAGCACCAATGCCCTTCTGGCACCATAACCACTGCAAAGCACTGTATGGTTACGGTGCTTGGATTGTTACTTTAACATGCATTATAGATAACTTTCATTAACATTTAAGAAAATAAGTGTTCTATCAAATCTAAATACATTTGCTAACCCCCCAAAATACTTCAAAATATTGCCTTCCACTTGAGGTATAGATGTAAATTCAATATCCATTCATATTCCACCAGTCCTATTCCTTTGACTCACGGCTGCTGTTTTCTACAGAAGCGTCTCTTACAAACTGATACTGTTTTCTACATACATTGCTTTGACATAAAAACCTAACCGCAAAAGGCCGAACTTAAACATTTAAATGTATGGGATCTTTCAAGACATTCTGTATCAGTGAAAATGCATATTGCTGCATTGCAAGTATGTTAATCTTAGTAAAGTTGGTGTGCTATTATTTTTCCAGCTTGGAATAAAACATCTAAATGTATTTATTTTAGCTGGACTGTTACAAACCCCTGTTCGTATTGTGACTCAACCACAGCCAGTTCGTCGATTGGAACCTCCCTCTAGATTTTCTGGTAGGAGTGAAAGAGGAGAGTCACTATCAAGTAGGAAGGATGACCGGATGTAAGTTAACATACTTTGTTGTTTGTTTATATTACACGTATATAAAGCTGAACTACACTCCTTACGTCATGCAGGCTGTTAAATCCTACAATGTCCCCCAAATTTAAGTTAAAATAATTCAAATGGGATGCGGTATTTACAGATTCTCACAAACAAGTGTATCTGTACAGTGATAATCAAAACCAGAGAATACTGGGAAGAGTTTAACATTCATAAACTATAATCGCAATGCAAATGCTTGTGTTTAACCCCTTAAGGACACATGACATGTGTGACATGTCATGATTCCCTTTTATTCTAGAAGTTTGGTCCTTAAGGGGTTAATGGTTCTGTGTCTTACGGCATGTGTGTAGGGAAGTGTGTGTGTGTGTGTGTGTGTGTGTGTGTGTGTGAGCTTTCATATCAATGACTAATAATTCCATGGTATGTGTATCAGGATCAACGCGTTACATTTTGTTTCCCCTTTTTAGCCGAGAAAGAGACAGAGAGAGGCGCAGATCACGTGACCGATCACCTCCAAGGAAAAGATCAAGAGAGAGATCACCACGTCGTGAGCGAGAGCGATCTCCACGAAGACCTAGACGAGCTACACCTCGCTACACTGTTCAATTTTCCAAATTCTCTCTGGACTGGTAGGTTCCATTTTTGGCTTCTGGAACAACTTACTGCTTCCCTAAGGCTAAACTTGGCAAAAGCATTATTTGTCAAGCAGTTCATTACATTAGTTGCTTCTTCTCTGGCTCGTATGTATGAACTAGAATTTGTTTGTGAAAGGAAAATAGGCATTACCATTTCTCATTCACCTGAACAAAAATGGTTTAATTCATTATTGCATATGATTGGAGAGAAAGCAGTGGCTGTGTATGACATCAATTATTGCAAATGCTTTTGTGCTGTGTCAAATAATTTTACCCACACAGGTGAGCAAGATGCCGCGTATTAATTGGGGCTAAGCCAAGTTGTTATTGCTATTTATATAGTGCCAACAGATTCCGTAGCGCTTTACAATATTATGAGAGGGGGGATTTAACTATAAATTGGACAATTATAAGAAAACTCATAGGAACGATAAGTTGAAGAGTACCCTGCTTAAACGAGCTTACATTCTATAGGAGGTGGGGTATAAAACACATTAGGACAAGAAATCGCAATCAAATAAGGTCGGAGTGAAGCAGAGCTGGAGGAGAGAGTAGAGTGCTGCCCTTTAGGAGAGAGCAAGAGACAGGTATGTAAGGTAGAGGTTACTCTGGGAGGCCATAAGTTTTCCTAAAGAGATGGGTTTTAAGGCACTTCATAAAATATGCATGACTAAGGTATAGTCTGATGGCGGTAGGCAGGCTATTTCAAAGGAAGGGAGCCGCCGTGAGTAGTCCTGCAAGCGTGAATTGGCCATACACGTGCGAGCAGCGGACAGGAGAAGGTCACGGGCAGAGTGGAAAGACCCAAAAGGGGCATACCTATGGATCTGTGAAGAGATATGAGGGGCTAGAATTGTTCAGTGCTTTATAGGTATGGGTTAGCACTTTGAAATGACTTCTATAGGATACAGGAAGCCAATGTAAGGACTGACAGAGGGGAGAGGTGTGAGAGGAGCGACAGGAGAGGAAAATCAGTCTAGCGGCAGCATTCATTACAGATTGTAGCGGGGCAATACAGCTTTTGGTCCTTGATGATTTGGAATGACCTAGTAGGTGGTTCAGATTAATTTTGAAGTATACATAAATATGATATTCAGGAGCATATATTATTTAATATTTCTTTGATTTTGTTTCGTGTTTGTTTTTTGGGTTTTTTTTTTTGTCCATTTTTTTTTACATATATACGTCAAAAATGTTGGAATCCTTTTAAATTTCATATTCTGCAGTTTGAGTTAGTAGTAAATTGAAGTTAAAAAGGTTACTTTTCCCGTTTAGCTGATAAATATAACTTGTCTAGTAACTGGTAAAAAAACATTCATATTTAACCCCTTAAAGACACGTGACATGTCATGATTCCCTTTTATTCCAGAAGTTTGGTCCTTAACCACTTCTAGGTTTCCTTTGGCCGTTAGTTTAGAACTTTCCAAATATTTATCATTTATCAGTGCAGTCACCTCAGTGCATTATTTATGAAAGTCAAAATTATCAGGAACTGTACAGAGAGTTAGACATTTTAGTCAAATAGCCTTGTAATTGTCTTGCAAATATAACATCGTTCTGACATTGGTAAATATCCACAGTTAGTGTTTTTTGTGTTCAGAGGTTCGTATTATGAGGGATAGTTGGGTTATAGTAATAATCAATATCCCAGTTAGTACTTACAAACTAGTGAAAGCTGTATGTTCCCTGGATAAATAATATGCTTCCTTGAAGCGGCTTTTAGAGAGAGGGCAGCTTAGTGTAACACTATCAAAATATCATTGGTCGGATGACTTTGGAAAGACCATACAGAAATGAATCTAATCTACCGAAATTAATCGAATATTAAATTATGCAAGTGGCTGCAAAAAGACTTTGGGTGCTGGGAGAGTTTTTTTTTTTTTTTGCTTTATTTTGTTTTAATCAAACCGCTCCAACGTGGTTTGACAGTTGATGTGTACAGCACACTCATCCGAAGCATAGTAGCTGCTACATCACAATGTGCTGGTTGTCCTGTATATAATAAAAACACTACAAAAGTTTTATTGGATTACCTCTCTAGGAATAAAATGTCAAGACTCGAAACTTTGGTTGAATGGTCATTCCAGTACAATGTATTTCAAATAATACTGTTTCTGATTTGGAGGATCTGAGTTTTAGCCAGTTTAAAAACGAATGCGTGGCGTTTTTACAATATGCCAGCAGAGGGTGCATGAGACTGCATTTGTAAATTATGGAAATCAGGGCTGTGTGTTGGATACATGTAGTGTCAAAGTGGAAAGGGCAGTTTCTGACTAGAAAGCAACAAAGTTTTTAAACATAATTTATTTTTTATTTTATTTATTTTTTTATTATAAAACAGGTGATGATTTATATGCTGCCTGAACTTTCATTGTTTGTTCATGAATCTTGTCTGATTTTTTTTTTCTTTTTCTTTCTTGAAAGTCAATAACCGCTTATGTTCATGTCTGTATTTGCCCCACATTCTGTCATGTTCAACAATGAATATTTGAGTTGCTTTGCTATTTTTTTAAATCCAAATAACGACTTTAGAAAAAAGTTGGTACCATTAAAAGAACATTTGGACACCATAACAACTTAAAGGATCACTATAGTGTCAGGAAAACAAACCCGTTTTCCTGACCCTATAGTGCCCTCAGTGTCCCCCTCCCTTGGCGCCAAAGGGGTTAAAACCCCTTCTGCAGGTCACCTTAATACAGCGCCGGGCTCCCTCGGCGCCGGTGACCTCTCCTCCCCCGCCAACGTCCGCTCCTGAGTGCTTTTCTATGCACTGTCTGCACGCTGGATGCGAATTTCACATTAGCGGCTGTCAGGAAGACTGTAGTTTGGATAGAATCTGCTACAAGTCATTTTAGAATATTCTGTGACATTTCTAGAAGGTACAGGTACTTCACTGTACAAAATTGGATAAAGAAAAGGAGGTTTTGTGCACACGTTAGATAATGGTATGCTCTGTAACATACAGTAATCATCGAACAGTATGTAATGAACAAAGTATAATAAAAAGTAACTTGGAGCACTCACACTTCAGAGAGCCATATAAGTCGGCTCTCTACTGTAAAAGTATGGCTCTCTGAAGTGTGAGTGCTCCAAGTTACTTTTTATTATACTTTGTTCATTACATACTGTTCTATGATTACTGTTTGTTACAGATCATACCATTATCCAACGTGTGCGCAAAACCTCCTTTTCTTTATCCAATTTTGTACATGTAAGTGTTTTAAGGTGACTAAAACACTGGTTTGGTTTTTAGACGCACTGGGATTTATTGTTTTTCATTTAGTACATATCGCTTAGCGCCATTTCACCTACTTTTTGTGTGACAGGTACTTCACTGTTACCGCGGCAATACATTTCTTCATCAGTACTGCATTATTTATTTTATTTTTTTCACAGCCCTGGATGTGACACTATGGAACTGAGACGACGTTACCAGAATCTTTACATTCCCAGTGATTTCTTTGACGCTCAGTTCACTTGGGTGGATGCTTTTCCTATTTCACGTCCGTTTCATCTCGGAAATTACACTAACTTCCATATAATGCACAAAGAAGTGGATTCACTTGAGAAAAACACTGCCGTCTTGGATCCTCCAGATGTAGATCACACATACAGCGCAAAGGTTAGTGTTGAGGGATCCTTGTATTAAATGGGCAATGTTAAGTTCCAATGTATGTACTTGTATAGATATGGAAGGGTTATTTACAATTTAGATGTAAAGTGCTTGAAACCTGCTGATTGTATCTTTACCTGTAGTGTTTAAAAAGCTTGATTTCGATGGAGAGTAGCTCAAAAGCAATATACTATGTGCTGTTTTTCATATGCAAAGAAATACTTAGAAAAGGAGTAGGCAACATTTGGCACTCCAGATGTTGTGTACCGCAAGTCCCCTGATGCTCTTACAGCGATGTTTATGCCTGCAAAGAAAAGGGGAGATATGGTCCACCACCTTTAGAATGGCAAAGATTGCCTTTTAAAGATAATCAGTTAGTGTTTGAGTAAAACCAAACTCATTCAGTTGTCCCGTAGGCCTGTGCTTAAATCACTTATTCCAGCTTTGCTGATAGAATGGATGACTGTGGTATGTATGGACTTACAAGGACACACTATAATTGGCAAATATTATTTATTTTATTTGTTTATTTTGGAAGTGGCATCCTCCTCATAGAGAAGCATTGGTATGTGCCTCTATGGGAGACTTTAACTGCATTTGGTCTCACCATAATGCTAAATGCCAAGACTGTACATCTATTAATGGATGCAGACACTACATGGAAATCTCCTTTACCATCTGGGACATATAATAGTGTAGAACATGTTTATACCTTTATATATTCCCCTCCACTGCAAACACCCTCTACACTAATCATACACACTACAAACAGCCCCATATACACACCATCACTGATGCACACAAATAGCACTCCTAATAGTACAAGCAACCCACACGAGTATACACTTAACATTACAGACCGCTCCTCAAACCACACACCGAAGCCACCCACACTATTTCAAACAGCCAACATACATACTACACACAATATCACAGGCTGCCAGCACCACACCCAAAAATATTACAAGCATCCCGCACACATCACATGCAGTATCACAAGAGCACACATACATACACAGCACCGCAGACCCCCCCACTATACACATACTGCAAGCAACTCACATACACATAAAACATATACTTCACACATTAGGCATCCCAAATACATACACACACGCATAATACCACACACAGTCGCACATATAAATGCCAGAAACCGCGCGCACACACAATATAGCACCAAAACACACCCAACTCCACAAACTGCTCCCGCCACACACACACGTACACAATACCACAAATGGCTTACATTCACAAGTAAAACCCTACACTTCTCACACACAATACCACAAATAATGTGTACACAACACTACACACAGCCCATATATACAATCATGTTACCCCACAGAAATCCCACACACATACATACAATCTCATAAATTATCCACCGCATCCATACAGAACACAAGCCCAATTTCTCAACAAACTAAATGTAACTTTGAAAAATAATACTGCCTGCACCATAAGGAACTTTAAACATTAATTTGACAGTGTTACCAAAAGGTTGCTAACCCATGCACTAGAGGTGTACTGCCTGTCAACATTGCCATTTTCCACAAGCAGCAATGCTTACATTTTTTACAGGGTAAGGACAGTATCTAGGCACCAAGACCACTATGATAAGCATTAATGGGTATTGGGGCTTAGTAGCCAGTCAACCATTAAATAAACTAGTGTTACAAAAAGGCAGATTATCGTATTTATTTTAATTTTTTTTTATTGTTGTATATAAATGTTTATGCTAAAGTGGAACTGTCCAAAAGTTAGCTGTGGGTAATGCATGTTTTTAATGGGTTACTCCAACCTTTATTTTATTTATAATATCCTATTGGATATTAGTAATTAGGACCTTCCCTTATATTTTAAAACTGTAAAATAAACTTTAAACCACCTGGAATTCAGCTCTGCAGAAACATCTCTTTGTTGGAGCTGATGTCGCTTTGTCCCTCTCTGTGGTCTTATTTGATCAGACTGCATGCAGCGTCTGAGCTAGGGAGGGAATTAAGGGGGTAAGGGGTGGAGGCAGAGAAATTATAAGATCTACAGAAAAGCAAGGATAGCTCAAATGAGAGAGGGATGTGAGGTGCAAGAGGAGAAGCTGATTAAGTCTGTCTCCAGTGCTCTAACACAGATGTCATTTTTGCACAAAATTAACATTGGGCAGCCCTGAAAAGAGTTATGAGCTGTTTAAGTAATGTTTAATGTGGGGCTTATCTAGCCCCTGGCACAAAAGTGCAAATATTTTTTAAGTAGAGTGGGCTTTAACGCTGGTAGAATGGAAACGTTCTGAGCGGGTTTAAATCCCTTTCACACAAGGAAGAGATCTCCTTGGTCAGTTGGTGCCATATTTAGTGGCTCCAAACTAGTAGATGAGCTGTATGCAGCGCTTTAAATTAATTTAAATCCCCACGTCTGTGCGATCGCATTCATCCAGGGCGTTTCTGAGCCTGATGCCAGTTGAGAGAGACATGTAGGATCCGAAAAGACCGTCAGTGTCTCTCTGCATGCCCCCGTTTTAATTGTGATTGACAGGGGCAGCTTGTAGTGGTTGCAGCACAATTGTGTGAATTTGGGAAATTACTGTGCTGATGTATGAGGTTTACAGAGTTTGGTTTAATGCTGTTTTTGGGTTGTGGATCGTGTAGGGTTAGGGTACGTGTACGGTTAGTTTGTGTAAGCATATAGGTTGGGTTAGGGATTGTTAACTACCAAAAATTAGGATTCTAGACATATAAGACATTTAACAATTAGGACTGGTTTGTGGATCAATTTGGCGTTTTTCTTTGGTTGCACTTGATGTGTAAAAATGCAGATTTCCCCTCTCATTTTATTCACACTTAATGTTAAGTCTGTATATAGGATATCGAAAGAAGGCTCTTACTGTGTTCAGTGGTAAAAAAAAAAAAAAATGTAATAAACCACAATATAGAATATGTACGGGAGCACTTAAAGATAAACCATTAAATTACAGTTGAACACATTCTAGGTTTTTAAGAAGTTTGACAATTGCATCCATCCTTAACCCCTTAAGGACCAAACTTCTGGAATAAAAGGGAATCATGACATGTCACACATGTCATGTGCCCTTAAGGGGTTAAGGTGTTAAATTAACCCTGCAGTGCTATACAGCATTATGGGACAGCAATGTTGTGGTGTGCAATAGTCTCATAGTATTTATTGGCTTGAGGGCATGAGACAATGTCATGTCTAGAAAAGCAACAGTGTTGCTTTAATACCCTTTTCTTAATGTGTTTAAAGCCAGACTGAACTCGCCTTGGACTTTCCTAATAGTCTCTTTTTCTTAAATTAGGTTATGCTGTTGGCAAGTCCTTCTTTGGAGGATTTGTACCATAAATCTTGTGCTCTCGCTGAAGACCCAGTAGAAGTCAGGGAAGGATTCCAGCATCCAGCAAGACTTGTTAAGGTAACAAACTGAGGAAAAGCATTCTGGGTAAGCCCCATGCTCAAACCTGTGGGTTTGTGTGATCGTTTCCCTAAACTGGCAATAAATAGACACTAAATGTACCTTAGATTGTGTTTATTGTGTTTTATAATCATTCTGCTTGAGCAGTAAGAACCACTGACTCCACGTGGACCATTTCATTTTACTTCTGTTCTCACCTACAATTTGCATTCATTAAAAATGTACAGGCTCTTTTGAAGACAGGAAGCAGAGGATTACTGGTAGAATACATTCTGTCTATTCAGGTGATCTTTAATTACCATATGTTAGAAATAGCTGGATAATGCCAGTTCTCGATCAGTGCAAACAGTGAGTGATGTCATATGACAATGGTAAACAAGTGAGAAAATCCACACTTTCTCTTCACTTGATCCTGATGTTACCAGTCACCTTAGAACACAATGACTCAAGTGTAAAATCCATTGCTATGGATTGTGACTTACAGACTTGAAGTACTTACGGCCCACCTGTATAATAGTGGTGATGGTTGCACGGAATAGTTGCAATCATTTACCATCAGCAGTTAAATTTCGGTGGAAATATTTTGGTTTTCTCTATAAAATGTTTTCAACTAACATGTGCAGAAACCACTACGTAGCAGCTAGCTGCACGGCTATTAGACCTGATGTTTCTTTTTGCATTAGACCTCTTTTTCACAGGAAGAGTATCTGAATAAATCAAACATGCATTTAAAAAAGCTAGGTAGAGCTCAGAGTAAAGAAATAAATAAAAAAAAAAAGCCAGCCCAATGTCAATTTTCTCACATTTATTTTATTTTCCTTTAGAACAATTCTTTTTTTCTTTTAATTTTATTTATTTCTATTTTTACGCATAGAAAAATATAATAATATACTCTAAGTGCATCAATCAACAAAAACATAAATACATTTGAAACACAAAAATAAAAGATAAAGTACACATACATCTAATATTTGTCAATACCAATATAGTTCATCCTTACTCATAATGAACATAGCTTCATTATGCTCAGTAAATGTAATTCATAGATATGAGAGAAGTCAGAGTACTTGGAAAGGTGAATCGGTTGCAGTGGGAATGATGGGACAGATTTGTTATAAACCTAGTGATGTGTTTAAATCTGGTGATAAGACCCCTTATACTTGCTGTATTTCACAATTCACAAACACGCTGCCACACAGACATAATCCACAATTGTTAGATATGTATTGATTAGATTATGTAGTAACACATAACCAGCTATTGGGGGCAGGGGGTACTCTTTGTCCCAGAAAAGGTGCTAAGGGTGGAACACTCCTTCCCACTAAATTCTATAGTGAATATATGCATTTGTCCTGATGGTTTTAACTAATGCTTAAAGTGAATGTTCTACAGATACCTGGAAAACGAAACTCCTTGTGTTTGTTACATTTGCAGGATATTATTATCCTTGCACTTCAAGGTGTCGTCGTCTTCTTTTTTTTTTTTCTTTTTTTTTTTTTTTTTTTTTTTTTTTTTTTTTTTTTTTTTTTTTTTTTTTTAACAACGGGAAGTTGATTGCTATAACAATCGATTTTTGTAACGTTTTATAGTCCTAATCTGGATGGTGCTGCGTCCCTGGCTGATATTGATTGGAAGACCAAGAAGTAGAAGTCTGACAAACCCAGACTGTAAATGAACAACGGAGATCTTTTCTGACATTCACAAGGCGCATCTAGATCCAAGATGGCCACCTACACGATCCAACTCCTCTGTGTCCTGTGGCATGAGAACGCAAAACTGCCTGCAACACCAGCTGGTCCAACGGAGCATAGATTCCAGGCCAGTGACAACAGCAGCCCTGTACAGAAAAACATCCTAGCTGATGTGGCCTTGCTCCGCACTGAGCATTTACAGGCCTTATCAGATGGCTGGGTTATTTGGAAACGTTGTCTGTGGGGCCAAGACCAGAAAATTACTTTACTTGAAAACGCAGTTCAAGCATTCAGCAACAGAAAACATTTGAGCAACGATTTGCAAGCCTAGAAGACGAGTCGCCACAATAATTTGAAGATTAGGGAAAAATCAGAAGACGTACCAGCAGCAAAGCTTCCACATTTCCTGAGGCGTTTGTTTGTGGTTTTACGGTCGCTTAAACAGGCAAAGTCCATCACATTTGACGGTTACTTTCATCTCCCCAAGTCACCGAGAGTTCCAGATACACTACAGAGAAACCTAGTGGTGCTCTTTCAATCCAGTAGAAACAAAGCGGCAAGCCATGCCACCATCAAGGTGACTTTTTATTACACTTTTGAGAGCTAACCTGTTATGTAAATCTCCTCAGTGGCACACAGGAGTTTTGGAGATCTCCTTTACATCACTACTCAGATCGTGGTATCTGCTATAGATGGTGCTTATTCCGCACTTGTCTGGGTTCACATGGGGGCTTCTCATACCCAGTTCAAGATCTGCAAGGAGCATCTACAAAGATCTCCTGGAGACCCTTGGCCTTCCAAAGGCTTCAGACAAGAGAGCTAGACCTTTTTCATGCTGTGACTATTCTTCATGTTTCTTTTATTTGGGCATTGGACAGCCCTTTTAAGTTATCATCAGCGTATTTAATTTTGTAATTTGCTTACTGAAAGTTCGTAATATATTCTTGGTGAATCATATAATGTTTTTGGAACCTTGACTTTAAATAAACAAGAACTGTAATTTTCTTCTACTCTAGTTTTTAGTGGGAATGAAGGGTAAAGATGAAGCAATGGCAATAGGAGGACACTGGTCTCCTTCACTAGATGGATCCGACCCGGTTAAAGACCCTTCTGTGCTCATCAAGACGGCTATCCGGTGTTGTAAGGCTCTGACTGGCATTGATTTGAGCTTGTGCACACAGTGGTAAGTAGAAATTCTGGTGTGGGAAATGCGTGCCTCTGTTCCCTAACTCGCCCATGGATCTTTACATTGCAATTGTTTTTCACAAGGATATATTAAAATTAAAACTCCACAGGTTCTACTTTTGGTATAAATTCCTTTTTAATGATGACGTCGGATTCTCAATTGTATGTACTGATTTTCTGTAATGAAATATTCTTGTAAATTATGAAGATTTCTATTTTTGGTTTTTATGGGTTTTTTTTTTTTTTTTTTCTTCACCCAGCTCCAGATCATCGAAGAAAGCCTCATACTCTGGCTCTGACATAAAAATAAAAATTATGTGGTCGTGTTTTCTAATGGTATTTCAAGCTTTGTTGTATCAGCAGATTATATTAGTAGTACACTAGTAGGTTATTTAACATTTTAATTATTTTTTTTTTTTACCATTTTTATGGTTTAAATATTAGCACGATATTGAATGCTGCCCTCAAAACAATGCTTCGACTTGCCTGAAGAAAACTGATGACTTGTATAATTTATGATTATTATTTTAATTTTTTTGTAGATAACCTACAGCTAGCTGTTCTTGATGTGCTACAAGAGAACTAGGCTCTAAATATACTTTACAGATTTTGTTTTTCCAACATGCTTCTTCCCTTGCGACAGGTATCGTTTTGCAGAGATCCGCTACCATCGCCCTGAGGAGACCCACAAGGGGCGTACGGTTCCTGCTCATGTGGAGACAGTGGTTTTATTTTTCCCGGATGTTTGGCATTGCCTTCCCACCCGCTCAGAGTGGGAAAACCTGTGCCGTGGATACAAGCAGCAGCTGACCGACAAGCTTCAGGGTGAACGCAAGGAAGCTGATGGAGAACAGGCACTGAACGCTAATCCCTCTTTCTATTTCCGCTTCTCGCAGGCACAGGAAAACAGGCATAACCACAGCACACACTAAACACACACTTCAAATATGCCTTGCGTCGACCGCAGTGTAGTAAAACTGTTTACAAGTTTCCAAACATTGGGAGGGGATAACTAAATGATTGACGATAAAGATTCAAACTGATTTTATTTAACTTTAAATTTGGTTTCAATTTATACTAGACTTAGTTGTGGGGAGCTGACTTAATTTAGCAAAATGTGGCCCAATCCAACATATTGCATATAAGATTCACATCTATCATTTTAATCCCTTATTACTGCAATATTATTGTCAACAATCTTTGATTTTTAGGCATAACTTAAAGATCAAAAAAAGTAGCGAAAAATAAAATTAACATAAGGAGTTGTGAATCTGTACACTGTAAAGTCATTGTAGACGAGCAGTGTCGACATATCCAGGTTTCATTCATTTTATTCATCGTTCTTTATTTCACAGATCTGGCTTTGATTGACTTAGTGGTCAGTGAAAGTGGTAGAATGTGTCTGTGCTCCTCAACAAGAGCTGTAGGAGAAGATAATGAGGAAAAATTGTGACCTTACTACTTGCACGGACCTGCAACAGAATACGACTTTCTGGAAATCGATTATTAACCTTTTCTTTTCTTTTTTTTGCTTTAGGAAGAAGAGGAGAAAGAAGATGGGGAGGCCAAAGAAATTTGTAATCCTACTCATTGGTCAAAACTCGACCCAAAGATAATGAAGGTACTTTGATCATAGTTCTAACCTGCGTTTGTAATATAAAATTATATTTCCAATTTATTATGAAATACATTTGTTCTCTCATGGGGACACAGGGTTAACCTTGACTCTGTCAACTACTGTTTATCATGATGAGAACTGGTAGTTGTATGTGGTGTGTTTTTATTGGAGTTACAAACTTGATTGAAATCAGATTCTATCAAAGATTGAGGAGAAACTGAAGAAAGACATTTATTTTTTTTTCATTCTTTATTTTTTCAGTGCATATATATATAACACAACGCGCATGTGGTACCCCAATGGCAATCCACATGCTTTTCAATAAGTCATAACAGTGGGATACCTGGTAATACTTGTACAATTTTATATGAATACGAGAGGTCAGTTCTATTTCGAGTAGCTTATGTGTAGATTTAGTGAGTGTAACAAGATGTTAATTAAGGTTATGCATAGAGACTTGTCAATCAGTTTTTCTTTGAGACATGTATAAGCTAGTACGTTCAGTAAGAGTAAACATGCATCCCCACAGTATGAGTAGATAGGACGTGGCGTATACTGCCAAACTATGCCTCTTCCTGTGTTTTTAGTAAATTAACGTTAGAGGCAGAGGAGTATGTCGTCACGACTAGAACACATCTATGGAGATATATCCATCTAGTCTGCCTAGAGTCATCGTGTATGCAGGGGGAAGAAAGACATTCTTAAAAGGCCATTACATCAGTGTTCAGGGTTATTTTTTTTGTTGTTTTGTTTTTGTTTTTTTTGGTGAACTAACCTTAAACTAACCTTCATGGTTTCCAGTTATCTTCTTTTGGAAGTAACAAATGGGGTGTCAGTTCATTTACATCGCATTTCTCACCTCAACCCTTTGCTCCCAGGCCATCTCACAGAGGCTGGTTTTACACTTCTGTGGCAATCACCTTTATTTCGCCCATGGTCTTCTCGGATTGTCCTGTTAGGGGACACTTCTCCAACCAGTAAAAAAAAGAACAAAAAAAAAAAAAAAACACTCCTCTGTGACACTGACATGACATGCTGGCTACATTGCCAGCATCTGAATAGTGATGCCCGTCACTCAGTTCCATTACTACCTAACCAGCACTAGCAGCATCTGTTGAAGAATTGATAAGTCGGAGAAAGACTTTTTTTTTTTAAATGTATACATTTGCTATCTCATTGTATAGAATTTAATGTTTTTAAAAAGCGTTATCAATGGGCACTTGTGCTTGAATCACTCTTATTATGCTGTTTAATGTGCCTTGTTAACATATAGAGTAGATTGATGATATAAGTGAGGATTGTTATTCATAGGAGACCTGGCTAATTTGGTAGCCTATAAATATTGTAACGGATGAGCATGTGTGAGGTCGACGGCTACTTGATGGATGACCTGAGTAGAGCAGCTGTCCGTAATAGTGTCTACTGGCTAGTCTTTTCAAAGACAAAAGCCCAACTAGTCACTGTGAAATAACGCAAATGATTATAGTTGTACCTGTAAGGAAGAAACCCAAGACCGTAGCTCATTAGGCATGAAAACAAAGTCCTATGTTTATCTACCTGGGGGTCCATATGGCAGGAAGACTGAGGAGGGTGGATAGGCCGGGCAGCCAAGTCTAAGAGAAAAACTGCTGGAGCAAGTCGTTTGTTTCCATGGTTATTGCTCCACGTATAGCATTTTGCGTTAGTATTTCTCTTTATGTATATCCCTCATAATGTCTTTCAGGTAAATGATCTTCGTAAGGAGTTAGAGAGTCGAACTCTCAGCTCTAAAGGTCTGAAATCACAACTTATTGCACGTCTGACTAAGCAGCTTCGAATAGAGGAACAAAAAGAGGAACAAAAGGAGCTTGAGAAATCTGAAAAAGAAGAGGATGAGGAAGAAGAAAGAAAATCTGAAGATGACAAAGAGGTTTATAGCTGTTCTAATTATTTATAAATAACGTGTAGTATAGTATTCACACCAGGGTGGGTTTTAATGAAATAATAATTGCAATCACTAGTCAAACTTGATTTTAAATCCTGATTTCTCTGTGTAAGCACTCATTTTTGTTTGTTTTAAATATTTGCAGTCAGTTGAAAATTTCATATTAAGAATAACTTTTCATATTTGTTTGCTGTTACATCTGATCTGATTTATGTTACATAGATAACGATTAAATATGAAGGTGAACTATCTATAGATTAATAGGTTATTAACTCCTATTCGGGGAATAACTTGTTCTGTTTAGCTAAAACAATACATTTTATACAGCATACATATTTTTTAATTTGCTGAATCCTCAGTCTTTAACTGAAGTGGTTATATTTGTTGGGTAGATTAGGAAAGAAAGCAAAAATTAAATACTTTAAAACTGTCTAAGTCTAAATATGTATTTGCGTTTCCTGCTAGGAAGAAGAAAGAAAACGGCAAGAGGATATAGAACGCCAAAGGCGGGAGAAGAGATATGTTTTACCAGATGAACCAGCAATCATCGTACACCCAAACTGGTTGGCCAAGAATGGAAAATTTGACTGTAGTATCATGTCTCTTAGTGTCCTTTTAGATTATCGAATAGAAGACAATAAGGAGCACTCATTTGAAGTAAGTTGTGATTCATTCTTGGCAGTGTCACCCGTAAAAATACCTTATTTTTATTTAATGTTTGCTAATATCCCGATCACTTGTAATTTCAGGTGTCTTTATTTGCGGAGCTTTTCAATGAAATGCTTCAAAGAGACTTTGGGGTGCGAATATATAAGGAATTTATAACTCTCCCAGAGAAAGATGAAAAGAAAGAGAAGGAGAAGAAAATGAAAAAGGAAGAGAAGAGAGATAAGAAAGAAGATAAGGATGAGGATGATGATCCGAAACCCAAAAGGAGAAAATCTACAGAGGACAAGATCAAGCTGGATGAGCGAGATGAAAAAAAGGTCTCTAGTGTATATGTGCTATATAACTTTACATATATTTGTAGAAGTGTAATCATAAATTGTAAGCACAGGTTCAGTGATGATGCTTTCGGGAGAGGTGCACAACCTTTTAAGAGAAGGGATCAGATGACTGACTGAAGTTTTTACCAGGGACCAGTGCCATATGATGTCAGAAAAGTGATATTTCTGAAATCCAAATTTATTTATTTTTCTACCGTAACCTGCGGTCTGTGTGTCTCCCTTAAACAATCCCCTCCACATGTTTGTCTCTTCTAAAACTCCCTTCTGTGTGTGTCTCTCACATTCCCCATTTCCCTTTGCAGACCCCCTCCTATGTTTTTTGCCCTGCAGCAGCCCTTCTCTGAAGATAAACGTACATTGACATGTGCTGTGCCAGCCATTGAGAGGCAGGTTATGATCTATCCATTTTGGATTCTGATTTTTGGTTAAACTTGGCAGCTCAGCTCAAGCTTCATAAGGTTTAATGTTTTCTGCAATCATGTCCTCCTGTGTTCAGTTGCCCCAGCAAGGAAAGTTCTTTCTTGTTAATGTGTAAATTAAAAAATTAGACATTTTAAATTTACAGTTATGAAACCAAACATTAATTTGCATTTATCTTCTATAATCTTATGCAGACCTGATGCAGCTTTTGCAATATATCTTTCTGTTGAAATAACCCATTACATTACACTGCAGAGAGAGGATCGTAGAAAAGAGGATTCCCGTGATGAGGAAGAAATGGAAGATGAGAACCAAGAGGATTATGAACCCATTGGAGCTGAAGAAGATGATGGTGATTTTGATGGTCAGTTTAGTACCATAAATTAACACTCTTAAGTACCATAACCACTACAGCATAGACAGTGTGCTGACTTCAGTGAGAGTGGCACATGAAATATATATAATTGTGTAATTCTTGTAGAGACATATAGTCACACACACAGACACCACAGATCCACTCTTCACCTCTCTTCTCCCCATCTCTCTTTACCATCTCCTTTTTAAATCCATTTTCTCTTCCTGTTTCTATTCTCACTTTTATTAAGTATTGTGCTCACCTTAGTTCTGTTCCTCTCCATATATGTGGTGAGTTCAGAATACCTCTTGTGTCATTGGACTTTGCTCATAAGAAAAGCAGCCGTGCTATTTAAATAACAGACTTCTCTATGATATTTTCCAAATATAGATGCACAATAATATTTTTCTAGTACATGTAGGGTTATTCACTAAACAAGAAATTATAGGTAAGTGACCAGAAAATTGCAAATCTTAGGGCAAGGTGGAGATTTTATTTTTTTCCAATTTGGATTTTCTTAGCCTTTGTGTAAAATGCCCAACCATTCTCGTTTTGGTAAAAAAAAAAAAAAAAACTTCCATAGTAATGTATATTATGTCTGTAGACCGAGAGGATGACGACGACGATTCAAGCTGCAAAGATAAACGTGAAGACAAGAAAGAAAGTAAAAGGTGCCACAAGGAATGGCTGCACAAGGAGAAGGTATGGTTGAGATCGGATTTGTCATTGTGTTTTATAAACTTTTTTTAACATTTGATTATTCTTGAACAAGTGAGTCTTGTATAAATAGAAGTGCTGTTGCAATTTAACCCTTTCTGAATGTTGACAGGACACCTTGTTTTCTGGTGAGCCACTGTAGGCTCATACTAGCCTGATTGTTGCACAATAGTGCTTTGTGAAAAAATAAATTCTGTAAAATGAGGACAGTCTGTTTACATTCATGCAGAGCATTCCTGGTAATTGATCTTTGACATATACAGTAGAATGCTCTCTGAATATACAGTACTACAAAATCGTAATTTTTTTGTGTGTCTGTTTATGTGGGACTGTGTATATCACACACTACCAGACAGACACATTTGGACATACGCAAGTACGCATTCCAGATACCTAGGCACCCTGCCCTAACACACATATTGCTACATATATGCACACACATTCACAGTAAAACTATTTTTGCCCCCATCTTTTGTTTGTTTTAGCAGCAGGAGTGTGGCTTTCCTGGGGACAGGGCTGGCCATTGTCAGATCACTGATTTTGTCCCACGCTCTAGCATCCTTTCTCCCAGCGCTGCCCATCACTGTGCATCACCATATCCGCTAGTGCTGACCACATGGTAGGCACTAGCGGAAATTAAAAGCAACATCCTTCCCCCCTCCAATTCGTCCCTGTGGGATCCCGGTCAGGCTTGTTAATGATCAGATCAGCTGATGTAGCCAGCATGTTTGGGTTTGTCTGTCTACACGCTGTGCAAAGGTACCTAGTGTGCCATAGGTTACCACCCCTGCCCTAGATATATGGGCAATATCTCAGTCCCCTATGGTAATTTCAACTAACCATGAACAATCTAACAGCCAACTACTGCTGCAAATTAGATTGTTTTACATGTTTGTATTGATTAACCTGATGAGCTGCAAGGTGACATGGAATGGGAAACATTGTGTATCTACAAAAAACAAATGTTTTGCATTGTTCAGACTCCATAATTAATTTCAGAGTTTTGTTTCTCGTTTTTGTTTTTTTTATGCCCAGTGATTTTCTATGGTTTTAATCTAGGCTGAGAACTGATGCTGTAAAAAAAAAATCCTGGGCAACGTATTCTGCAATCGGTCATATCTGCACAGAGCTGTGTATATGAGCAGGCATTATATCTAGACCAGTCTGTTCATTCCATCTGCTCATTATTTATTTGAGCTGTCTGTCTCGCTATCTGTGTCATGTATGAGGCTGGTCATTTTCTTTCAATTAATGGTGATATGTTATTGTATGCCTTTACACCAGTAACTATAGAATTAAATTAATATTATCGTTGACAAACTAATTTTCATAATGTTGCCAATATTTTAGGAGAAAGACAAGAAACAGATGGTAACCGTTAACCGAGATCTTTTGATGGCTTTTGTCTATTTTGACCAAAGTCACTGTGGCTACCTACTGGAGAAGGACTTGGAAGAGATCATGTACACTCTTGGACTACATCTTTCTCGTGCTCAGGTATTCTGTCATGTAAATGTAAAGGATAAATCTGGCTTTATTTTCATTCATTATTTATACAAATTACTTTTTGTGTTCTAAATACAAAAAGCAATAAGTTAAAAGAATTATTTTGTTCAGTTTTACCCTATGACAATTTATTTCCACCAATAAACTGTTATCTCGTGCAATGACCCAAATGCATATATTTCTAAAGTTTTTCAGATTGTTCCAGACACATTTCTCATTTGACGTGTTTTGGCACCCCACCAATTTAAATCCGATTCACAATAGACTATAGATTTAAAGTAAAAACACCCCAGTGTGTTTCTTTAGATTATGTTGTGCATTTTTTTAAGATCTAACCTACACTTAGAACCTAGATCTTATTCTATATTAGCCAATGAGCTAGCCCTGCATGATGCTCAGACTTCAGCTTAGGAGAACTAACTTAACCTCCTGCTAGGTTCCATCTGCCTGACGTCCATAGTGAAGGCAGGGAACAGTGCCCAGCTAAACACCGTTAAGTCAAACCATTCTAAATCGGTTTGACTCCGGACAGTGGTGGCCACCAGGGTATTAGAGGAAATTAAAAAAAAATCTATTGCCTCCTTTGTTACACGGAAAGATTGAGATATAAACTACAGTTCTGCTGGTGGTGAGTACTCATGCAATGCACACTTTGTAATCCAAGGGTTCACTTTGAGAGTGCAACAAGTGTGTTGCTGATGTGTGCAGTGCATAAATCTGTCTTTGAACAATGCAGATGGGTGAGTTGCAAAAACATCAGCAATGTACATGGATTAAGTTCTATATTTGTCTAAGAGATAGATGCATAACTATATCTAGATCTATATCTAGATTGATATCTATATCATTGTCTGTAAATAATATTTATTTCTCTACCTGACTCAGACCTGATCATTGCCAAATTTGTGCACGTCCAAAGTAAAATTATTTTTGTTTGCATTTTGATTAAATGGCAAGTATGATGTTTATATCTCTTAGCTGCAGTTACGTTCGTTCCACCTCTATTGCCATATTACCTTTTATTTTCTGTATTTAAAATAATTTGGAATTTTTAATTCTGAATTGCTTTTTGGTTGTTTGTTTTTAAAGGTGAAAAAACTGTTCAATAGAATGTTGCTGAAAGAATCTTGCTTTTACCGCAAACTTACGGACACTTGTGCGGAGGATGGAAGCCATGAAGAGTTGGAACCAATGCATGACGATGTTCTAGGTAATTAGGCCTTCCCTAAAGCTGAGTCTTTTTATACAACTTATAGTAACTGCATGTTAACGTAAATAGGCCAAAATATATTTTTGGTTGTTTGGCTTGTTCTCTCCATGTTCCTCTGACCTATTAGAATAAGTTGTGTTATAGCTGTATGAAGGGCAGAACAAAATATTTTGACTACTTCTGTGGCAATGCAGTCTTGTTTTCTTCTATCAAAACAAACCTACCTGACCTTCACTGACCTTTTAACCAGTTTCTTGTCAATGTTTAATTTTCATTTTTGAAACACTTCACATGTAATCTTTAGTATGTGAAAGCATGTCCTTCACATTTGTCAGTTTAGGCAGGAAGACCACCTAAAGATGGGGAAGTCAGGTTCCACATGAAGGACATTGAAATCTCATGTCTTGATGGCTCTTGGGGCAATTACATTGTTTATTTTTAATTCTCCTGTCATCATTTATCTCACATGGAGCATCAACTGCACAATTTTGTCACTGCTCATTCTACTTCTCAAGACGTGTCAATATAGTAGCTGCCTATTCCTGCAAAGCTAAAACATTGCTGAACAGAACTAACTTTGGCAGCATGGAGAACGCTGATATCATTCTCTTAGTCCACTAGAGATAATACAAGTTGTCTTACCCTTGCCAAGTCACTGCTGGTGTGTGTAAAGCAATTCCAAGTAAGCATAGTTAGGGAAGATTCCTATTAGATGTGGTTTCACAATAACAATGACTTTTTTGCTCTCCTTTACCAGCAAACCAATTTTTGATTCTACTTGTTCGTTCCACCTGTAGGAGTGTTAATCTGCTCTGTCTGCGACACATTTTCTTAAAAATTCCACCGTTTATATGCATTCTACTGCTCCCCGTTAACAGATGGTTTCAGTTTTGTACAAGAAACTTCTGGCCAGTACACAAAATAATTTCTATGTATCGCTCTGGAAAGATTAAAAAAATTGCAAAGACATTTGGTGAGAGATCTAGCCCCAAATGTTACACATATAGAAAAGTGGCCTGCTGAAAATTAAATGCCAAGTATCTGTTTCACTATTCCATTTTAAAATCTGTTTTGTTTCAGGTAACTGTTTGTTTCTGCCATCCAAAGCTATGAAATCTGGAATGGCACAGGTAGAAGATAAAGGAGGCCTTATTGTATATAATGGTGCCATGGTTGACATTGGAAGTCTTCTACAAAAACTAGAAAAAAGTGAAAAAGCCAGAACTGAGCTAGAACAGAGACTTCAGTCCCTGGAATCTAAAACAGGTATGGTACATCCCAATGCCATTTCATTCATTAAAGGGACACTCCAAGCACACTCTTACAGCTTATTACTAGTTTTGGTGTAGTTTCTCCATTCTTTCACTGAACCATTTTCAAGAAGCATGACAAAGCATTAAGAGTTTTCCAACACCCTAAGCACGCCCCTCCGTGTAATTTCATTCACCGCCATATCTGTATGCAGAAAGTGGGAAACTTACAGATGAAAATCACTGTTTAATGTATTAATGTATCTCCGCCACCAAAGCGATACAGGTGACTTTATCAAAGGGATTAACGGCTATTACTACTTAGCTTAAACCCACATATAATTGGGTTAAATGTCCTTATGACTCAAGCTGAAAGGTGGACTTTTGTTGCTGTGGAATAACCACCCCAAATTTAATTTATTTATTTTTTAATTTAAACTGTACTTCCCATGATGCTTATCAAACCTTTAGACCACTATTAGCCATTATTCTGCTAGAAGGACACTCCACTGTCCAAATAAGAATAATAAATAAATATATATAAAACTCGCTGTTAAGTAAATCTAGATCTCTTGTCTGCTGCCTTTGCTAGGTTTAAAGTGTGCTCCGCACTCGCTGCACATGCACATTCCGGGGGACGGGTAAATATTTGAAGGGCGAGAGGGACACTATTGTGTTATGAATAGAGCGTTGTATTCTTAACACTATAGCGTTCCTTAAACTAGAAGAAAAACAAAGCAAAAAATGTTTGCCATCGTTTGCATTAAAACTGATTGCAAGTACTGTTGTATTAGATGAATGTATTCAGATATATCCTTTGCACATTTTTTTTATTTATGGAATTTATTTTTATTTTATTTAAATTTTCTATTTGACTTGTCACAGAGGAAGATGAAAAGACAATTTCTCAACTAGAAGTTTCTAATAAAAATTTGTCTGGGGAGTTGAAAGAGGCCAAAAACAGTGCACTTAATTTACAAGCGTGTTTGAAAACAGCAGAAGATACAAAGTCACAATATGAAGACCAGCTAAATAAAACCATAAAGAACCTCTCTACAGCCATGGAAGAAATCCAGGGAGTTTTAAATAGGGTGAGTGATTACATTTTCCTTAATCCTAAACCTCTAAGGAAAAGTTATTGAATTTAAGGGTTAGAAATAGGTGAGTGTCTATGTGATGGCTCTTCAGCATGGTTTGATCAACCAGTGTTCATGTAGGAGCATCTGTAAATGTCAAGGAAGAAATGCTTTTTGCAAATGATTTTTAAAAAAGTTTTTTATATATTTTATTTTTCACGTGCAAATGGTAACAAGCATGTTTGAAATGCCACAATAGCTGTATCAAGCGTATTACTATCATTCAACTTGGGTCAACAATATGGCATCTTGTATATACTGCACATTTTATATTTAAGTAACGTTGGCACTGAGGATATTCAACTAGTGGTGGCACATGTTGTGTTGTGTTCAAGCGTGGGTCTTGTAGTGGGTAGTGAGTTGGCTGGACAGTGATAATTGCATGCCTCTAGTGTGGGTCATATCTAAGTGTCCATGGTAAATGAGGCATTCCATGTGTTTGTTGTGCGAGATCTTCTTGTGGGCATTGTGCGTGGGATGCAACTATGAATGGGGTTGGGTGGCTTGTGGACTGCTATGTGAGGTAACCCGGGGGGAGGGTGGGTAGTAGAAAGAGAGAGAACGGGCTCTTAATGGTCTTAACCCTGTCTGGTGGCTGAGTGGTTGTGAATATTGCTGGTTCAACGGGGCTGGTTGGTGCGTGTTCCCCTCGGGCGTGTGTGACTAAGTGTGCCCCCTGTATTGGTCCCTGTGAGGACCATTATAGCGTGTTTAGTGGAAAATAAAATCATATAACCAAAAGCTAGGAAGTTAGGCAACTTGAGCATGTGTGGCTGTTATGCGCCTAGAGTTCTCTTACATAAGCCCTAGGGGCTAGTCCGTGGGTCAGTAGGACCATGTAGAGTCAAGCGTGGCTTCAATTGCTGTCGCAGACCCTTCGGGCAGTGGTTGCAGTGCTTCTCCGTTAGATGTGTGAGAAGATATATCCCCAGTTAACTAGGGTTGCAAACCTTTAGGGAAGTGTCCAGCACATTGGACGAGATTGTCCTGGTACGGGTTTGTGGTAGCATCTGCGTATGCGGTCTTACCCATTCCCCGTGGGATGAAGGGGACGGTCTTCACTGGGTCCCATTGTGGTGCGGCCGTTGTCGTTTTTGGTGCAGTGATGGGTGGCAGCCCCTCCAGTAGCGGGCCCAGTAGGGCTGTTGCTTCTTGGATGTCCGAGATGGAGTAGACCTGGTTGGCATGCTGTATTTGCAGTTTGCGCGGTGCGCGCCAGCGGTAGCTTAACTGCTGATCTTGGAGCAGTGTGGTAAAAGGTTGTAAGGACCTGCGCCACTGCAGTGTCTCTCCTGACACATCTGCAAAGAAGGATAGGCTCATAGATTCAAAGCTGTAGGTGGCGGACCCTTTCAGGGCTGCTGGAGCACCGTCTTCTCGGTCGAGCTTTTGAACTTCACCACCAGGTCTCGGGGGGGGGCTGCCTCCGGGGCTCTCCAGGGTTTCGGGATTCAGAAGGCTGTCTCCAAGCTGATGTTCCTGGCTTGTTTAGGTGTTGGTAGAGCTCCTGTGAGCCGCCTTACGAGATGTGGGAGTTCCTCTTCCGGGATTCTGCGGATCTTTAAGTTATTGCAGCGCCTGGCGTCTTCCATAGCTGCAAAGTGTGGTTCATTCTTGGCTTGCTGTTGTTGAAGAGCCTGTATTTCTTGTTTTTAGCTCTGCGATGTCTTGTGTGTGTGCCGCGTGGTATTTGCTTTGACCACGTCGATGCGGCTCACTAGGCCCGTGAGGTCTGAGCGTAGTTGTGCTACATCTGCCTGCAGGGTTTTCTGTAGGTTGCCCAGTAAGGTCTTCAGCAGCATCGCCGTTACCAGTTCCGTGACCGCTGGGCTCTGTGCCGGTTGTTGGGGTCTCGCTGGAGGCAGGCTGCCAGTGGCCTCATCTGGGTTGAAGTCCCCCGAGGAGTCAGAAAAGTCCTCGTGGTCAGCGGCCATCTTGGGGCCATATACCCCTTGCGCCTGGTGGAATAAATCCCGTATGCTGGCCCTCTGCTTGGGTCGGTCCGATTTTTGCCATTTCGTCTTCCTCCCAATTGCAGGTCAGGGTCGTCTTGGCATTTTTATTAGCAGTTGGGTATCCGAAAAATGTTAGTTTATGCTGGGTATCTACAGAGCCCATCTATCCTGCGTCTGCTTGGCTCGGCTGTCTTTGCAAATTTGGAAGAAAGGCATTTTGACTGGAACGCTGGTGGGTTCTGTTCATATTTTTGGTATCTGGATCTTTCACCTTGTACCTTGTATGTAAATCTTATTTAGGCGTGTAAATACCGTTTTTTATAAACATGTTTGTTTTTTGTTTGCCAATATGAATTTAATTATTTTATGAATCTATGGATTGTTGTTGAACTGGATTTTCTAATATAGATTTTTTTTTTTTTTTTAAATGTGTTTTACTGTATGATGTTTATTTTTAGAGTATCGATTGATTTAAACTTTGGATGAAGATCTCTGCAGCCCAGTCTTTAATACAGTTTGTTACACTCCAGTTTAAACATATCTTCTTATACTAGAGATGGGTGGCTGTAATAGTTTGAGAGATCAGCTGATGCCATCACTGATTGGGCTAATGGGGAAATATTAGAGTGATAAGCAGAGAGGGGTGAGGCTGCAGGCCCCATAGATGTTCTCTCAAACACAATCCATTAGTATACCATTTTTACTATTGAATCGAGAGCTGCCGCCAGGGCAATCTAGGCACCATACCTACATCAGTGTAGTTGAATTGATCATGGTGTTTAGACTGTAGAGTGTCCCTTTAAGCAAAAGTTAAACATGCTTTGAGATTCCCACGATTCCAGTTTTATTTACTATTGTAGGAGTATTTTGCAATAAAAAAAAGAAATTGTTCGGGAGCTTGCCGCATGCTGTCAGGCAAAATTCCATGCTCATGGACTTATTTCACTCCTGTATAGCTTACAACCAGAATAAGAAGCCTACTAACTTTTATTGCATTTTCACCATAATAGCAAGTGCCAGTTGGTTAAGTACAAACAAGAGAAATCCAAAGACTATCCTATTTCTATTAGGTATTCAAAAAAAGTGATTCTCAAGAAGACAAATAGTAGAGGCATCCATAGCCAAAAGAAGCCAAATAGATTATGGGCGTTTTTCAAAATATGCCTCTTAAAAAGGTAGCTTGTGCAGCTTTTTATGAAATTTCCCACTGTACTTTTGTTTTTTGTTTTCCCCCTCTACTTGTGCTGTTTCACGCTCGCTGTAAACACAAGACCTCTTCTTAAAGTAAATGGCATTATTTAAATTTCAGGCTCAGCAGTGCTTAAGAGTACCGTAAACATCAGTAATTTATAGTACTACAGCCACCCTTTCTTCTGTAATTGTTTATACTAACTTGTCATGCTTTTAGTGCAGGTCATTATTTCAAAATGAATTTTCCCCTGATACATATATCTATGCGATTTCTGGATCTGCCCTGGGGATAGCAAATTTCACAGATAAATTATTGTCCTCCCATCCAAGGTCACATTCCTAATGGAACAAGGAATGATTGCAGCCAGAGATGGTCCAATTTCAGCAAGCCACGTACCTCACTTATTAAAAGTAATTTTTTTTTTCTTTTTTTCTTTTGTGTTTTAAACTCTAGAAACTTTAGCTTGAAATGGAGTTTATTTCACGTGTTAATGATCAGTAACAGAGTCTGGGTGCCTGTTTGTGTAAAATGTAAACGGCAAATGTTTTGAGGAGTGTGTGTTTTTGCTCAGCATATACCCTGTAGCACAGTGTACTCGACTGCAGTTAGGCATAAATTATTAATGACAGTGTAAACTGCTGAGCCATTACAAAACACTTTAGAGTAGTATAGCAACCATTTGTATTCTTTATTGATTTCTGTAGAGTTTCTTTGTAGTTGTCTGTAGCACATTACAGATGCTGTTCACAGTTCACCTGGTTGTTGTTTTTTAAACACCTCTTAATTATTATTATAATTTTTTTTAATTTATAAAGCGCCAGTTTATTCCGCAGCGCTTTACAATAAGAGGGGAATTTACCATTACAAAATGTAACAGGAACAATAGGTAGTTGAGGACCCTGCTCAAACGAGCTTACAATTTAGAGAAGGTGGGGTATAAAAACACAATAGCAAGGGTATTGAGGGAGATGGCAAATAGACATGGTGGGAAGTTAGCAGAACTGAGGTGAGAGTGGAGTGTTGCCCTATAGGAGAGAGCGAGAGGAAGGTTTGAGAGATAGAAGTTACTTTTGGAGGCCATAAGTAATCCTGAAAATGTGTTTTTGAGGGGCTTCTTAAAGGATTGAAGACTAGGGGAGAGTCTGACAGAGGTAGGCAGGCTATTCCAAAGGAAAGGAGCAGCCCATGAGAAGTTTTGCAGGCAAGAATTTGCAGTAAGGGTGCGAGCAGCAGACAGGAGAAGGTCACCAGTAGAGCGGAGAGACTGAGAGGGGGCATACCCAAGAATCAGTGAAGAAATGTAAGAGGGGCTAGAGTTGGTTAGGGCTTTATAGGTGTTAGTATTTTAAATTGACATCTGTTGGGTACAGGAAGCCAGTGTAAGGATTGACAAAGGCAGCAGAGAGGTCAAGAAGAATTAGTATGGAGTAGTGGCCTTTGGATTTAGGTCATTAGTAACTTTAATAAGAGCAGTCTCAGTAGAGTGGAGGGGGAGAAAGGCAGATTGAAGTGGGTCAAGAAGAGAATTGGAATTGAGGAGAGGAATATGAGTAAAAACATATCTTGCTAGAAGTTTTAAAGAAAGACTTAGGGATATGGAACGATAGTTGGAAGGGGAAGACTGGTCTAGGTATGGATTTGTTTAGGATGGATACAACATTAGCATGCTTAAATGGAGCAGGGACAACACCAGATGAAAGAGAGCAGTTTTGGATGTGCGTTAAGGATGGTACAAGACCAGGGGAGAGAAATCTGATAAGGTGCGAAGCCACCTCCTGTTCTGTAGCTGGGGAGAAGGCCTGTAGGGTAGGGAAGGTACGGTCGATGTGTGGTTGCCAAAGGGGTGGGAGAATTCTTTCCTTAACTGTTCAATCTTGTCGGTAAAGTAGCATGCAAGGCTATCTGCCGAAAGGTCAGTTTGAAGGATGGCTTGAGGTGGGCAAAGGAGAGAATTGAAGGTATTAAAGAGACGCCTGGGATTGCGTGAGCATGAACTAACACGAGATGAAAAGTAAGATTGTATAGCAAGGGTGAGGGTTGTGCTATATGAAGACAAAATTAATTTATAATGATAGAAGTCTGACAAGGTGTGGGCCTTCCTCCAGCAGCATTCTGCTGAACGGGAGCATCTCTGCAGGTAGCGTGTTGATTTGGTGTGCCACGGTTGGAGGCGCGCCCTTGGAGCGGGGCTGCAATGTCTAGGGCAGAGGTGAGGGTAGCATTATATAAGGAGATAGCCAAAGAGGGACAGGAGAGGGTAGTGATGGATGAGAGTTCAGAATGGATTACAGTTGATAGCTGCTGGAGATCAAGATAATTTAAATTCCTCTTGAGTTGAGGGAGATTAGGTTGAGGATATTGGGTGTGGGGACACTCAAGAACAAATGATAGGAGGTGGTGGTGTGATAGAGGAAATAGAGTATTACAGTGATTGGAGACTGAGCATGCATTTGAAAATAAGATCTAGAGCAGGGGTGGGCAACCTGCGTCTCTCCAGATGTTTTGGACTACATCTCCCTTGATGCTTTGGTAGCATTATGGCCCTAAGAGCATTATGGGAGATGTAGTAAAAAAAACATCTGGAGGGCTGCAGATTGCCCACCTCTGATCTAGAGTATTGCCAGCTACATGTGTGGGAGAATTGGCCCATTGCGATAGGCCAAAGGAGGAGGTGATTGAAATAAGTTTTGAGGCTACCGATGACAAGGGTGGGTTTATGGGAATGTTGAAATTCTCAAGAATTAGGGATGGCATATTGCTTGTAAGGAAGCCAGGCACCAAAATGGTCAGGGAAGAGACAAAGAAAACCGGGGGGCCGATAAATAACTGCAATGTTTGCAGATATGGGTTTGAATAAGCGAATTCAGTGAATTTCAAAGGAGGAGAAGGGAAGGGGATGGGGGGTGGTTAGAGGCTTAAAGGAGCAGTGGGGTGAAAGCAGAAACCCTAGATCACCACCTTTACTGTCAGACTGTCTTGGTTGTGTGTAAACTGAAGACCACCGTAGTATATTGAGGCAAGGTTAGCCATGTCAGAAGGAGAGAGCCATTTATCAGTTAAAGCGGGTACGTTAAGGGAGCGTGAGATGATGAAGTCATGGATGGAAGTAGATTTAGTTATGTTGGACAGAGAGCGTGCATTCCAGAGGGCATAGTGGAAGGAGGGTTTCAAGGGAGAGTTACATGGGATGGATATAAAATTGGAGAGGTTTCTAGGGAGGACACAAGGTAGGTAGGTAGAGGCGGGACCAAGGTTTGGAGAGACATCGCCAGCTGCCAGGATCAGAAGCATAGAAAGTAAGAGAATGTGGGAGTAGGATTTAAATGTTATGGTAATTATATTATGGTTATATATTATAAATTATTTAAATTGATGGTTTAATTCCTTTCTCTTATCTCTAATTGTTTTTGTTTTTTCCCCTTTCTTGATTATTTCCCCCATTTTAAGTGCCATACTACTTGTTGCTAAAATAAGTCCCCATTCTCGTGATTAGTAAACCTACTTTGCACTATATCCAGTAATGGATCAGAAAGAGTGTGTCTGTCGGCTTACAGGGACACTATAGTCACCAAAACTGCTTTATTAAGCTAATGTCCATGCAGTGTCACTGCTCAATTCTCTCCCATTTAGGATTTAAAGGACCACTATAGGCACCCAGACCACTTAAGCTTAATGAAGTGGTCTGGGTGCCAGGTCCATCTAGGTTTAACCTTGCCTGCTGTAAACATAGCAGTTTCAGAGAAACTGCTATGTCTACTCTAGGGTTAATCTAGCCTCTAGTGGCTGTCTCATTGACAGCCGCTAAAGATGCTTCCGCGCTTCTCACTGTGAAAATCCATAGGAAAGCATTGAGAATGGACTGACTGAATGCGCGGCTCTTGGGAACCCGGCGCTGGACAAAGGTAAGCCTTTAACCCCCTTCCTCCCCCTAGAGGCCGGCGGGTGGGGGGGACCTATTAATACTATAGTGCCAGGAAAATGAGTTTGTTTTCCTGGCACTATAGTGGTCCTTTAAATCACTATTGTTTCTGTTTATGCAGCCCTAGCCACTACTCCCCTGGCTGTGACTCACACAGCCTACATTAAAAAAAAATTCAAAAAAAAATAAATTCAATCAGATGGGAGATTCCTTTAGAAGTTTATATCTCCTGCTCTGTAAATGTAACTTTAATTACATACAATAAGATCCTGCAAGGTCTAGAATGCTATTAACAGAGCATGACATAAGACAATCTACATTAAATAGAATGTGTAATAAAGGAAGATTAAAAATTAGATGACTCTTTACAAGAAGTGCTTAGGAATTCAGTTTGTCACATTCAGGTAGGTGTGGCTTGGGCTGTATAAACAAAGTGACTTAACTCATAAAAGGCAGAGAATTGAGCTGCAAGACTGCAGGAGCATGCCCTATACACTCTTGTTTTGGTGACTATAGTGTCCCTTTAATGGATGGCAAGCATTTTTGTTCAAAATTGAATAGAAAAATATGATAAAGAAATAAGGATTGCAGAAGTAAAGAAATTAGCGGACTTGCTTGTATGCTGCTGCTTCTACTACAATAGTAGTTCTTTAAAGATTATTGTAGATGGCAATGTACCTTTAGCAAACCTTATCACTGATCTTTATCTGTGGATACAGAGATTTCACCTGACATTGAAGAAACCCAATTGTTATGATTCAGAGGAAATAATTATACATTTTCATATTAAACATTGTTTAAAGTGTTATCGTGTACGTTCTTATGTTTTTTTTTTTTTTATTCTGTGTAAATAGCATCTTGCAATGGGCTGTTTACATTTGTTAGAAATATTTAATTACCTACCTGTTGTCTCCAACAGGTAGAGAGGACCATGGTAGACTTCTAACCTAAGATTTATCCCTTCCACACACCAGTTTCACTAATAAACATTACATGTGGCCATTAGTGATGTGGACACTACTTGTAGCTGAACCAGGATTTGAAAATCCATTTATATTTGCGGGTTGATCTAAGTGGTGTCTTCCAAGTCCAAAAATGAGGCTAAATATGAACTTAGAAATACATCTTTTATAATTTTACAAGCCAATTACATATGTATAGCAGTGTTATAAGATGCAGAAGTTACAGAGTGGAGTCTTGTGAGTCAAAAAAGCTCTATGGAATTTACACAATTTAGACGAAATTAAAAATGTCTCCAACTCTTAATGTATATCAAAATAACCAGGTTATCTATAGAAACTGACCTCTCCTGCCTGCTGGGTGCACAGGCTATCTTTATATTGTGGGATGCAAAAAGATTAACACAGAAAATAACTTGGCAGCCAAGAACATAAAAAAAAATATATATATATATATTTATTCTTATTCCACAGAACCCAACCACTTCTGAAGAGCAGAGTGCAAAAGAGAATGGATCCACTTGTTGATAAAACGACTGACTTCCTGATGGAGAAGTAACCTTGTTAAATAATGTAATGCAAATCACTATGCCAGCAAGGTGGGAGGAGCAGTGTGGAATTTTTATTTTGGTTTTGTTTAAAATAACAAAAATTATTTAATAGGGAAGATGTATAAAGTTTTATGGATGCGTGATTTAATTTGTAGTGACTGCTTGTAATTCATAGCTCTATGCAGAGTAAACATTTTGCAATGCAAAATGGTTTAGAATCAATGTTAACAAATCTGAACATTTATATTGTAGTAATAATCTGCATGTGTGTAGATACCTTCATATATGTACATGTCTGAAAAATATAATATTTTGCCACCTGTTTATTTTGTTTGTCTCTTAAGTTTGAAAAAGCATGCAATCCATTTTAAGGGTGAAGTCCACCTTTTCACTTTTTTTGTTTAATTGTTTCATTATTATAAAGAAACAGTCGTGTATAATTTTGTAATGTCTGTAGTTTCTATAATGAGTTTTCTACAGGTGCAAAACAGCTCCTTAAGAGATTTATTAAAGGGTTCTGATCTAAAAAGTGAACTAAAATTGGGGCAAACACTATAGAAAATTCATGGAACCTGCCAGCACATCGGATTATCATCGCCCAACGTTTTAGAACAGAACACTTTAGTAAATATCTCCCCCCTTGTCTCCGTCCCTATACTGGAAGAGCAATGTGTTACAATTCATCTCAATCTATTTCCTTTTCTGTTTGAACATCCTGTGGCTAGTTAAGACGGTAACTTAGAATTTGTGCTCTTACAAAAGCAAGATGCCCTTTTAATTAACACCAAAATGTATATGAAAAACCTGCCCGGAATAACATGCTGTCAGATATACATGAAATTGAATCTACAATATGTTTCTTTAAAAAAAAGTTACATATAGATGTGTAACTGAGCATGTTCCCCCTGTATGCCCAAACAAAAGCCCACCCATTACATTGATATCTATAATGTAATAAAACCATTGGTTCACTGAGAGGTTAATGGATTTAGAAAAATTACGCAAAGTCTGTTAACATAGGGAAGCAGGATGGTCATATTTTAAATGGGGAGGGGGGGGAATTGACGTTTAAAATATTGAGATGGACATACCAATATACACTGGGGCAAACTGCTGTATACACAAACTCAAGCGAGTTTACGACACATTATCCCTACTGTAAAGCCACAAGCCTTCAGACAAGTTATACTTGTGTAGGTTAGCTGTTTGTTCAGTGTTTTTATTATTGTAAATGTTTTGCCAGTATGGGGATGATGAAAAGGGAGGGTTTGGGGGCACTAATTCCCACTCCCAACAGTTATTTACAATTTATTAAAGTTCTTTTTGTTTTGCTGCTGTTGTCTGATGATCATCAAGAGGAAAACACTTTAAAATAAAACCTGTAAAATAACATATGAACCGGGGAAAAAAATGCTAAATTAAACATTTTATAAAGAGATTGTATTTTATAATTGGGGAGGTGAGCCTTCCCTTTCTTTCAAAATGTGCTGTGTCTGTACCAAGCAATAAACGTGCAAACAAAAGGTTTTACCAACTTATCTCATGCTAATCAAATCAGTCACACATTTGTTTCCTTTCATCAAATCAACAGTATTCACAATGCACTGTGTAAAAAGGCCAGTAGACATTAAGGCAATACCATGCTACAATTGTAATTTAAATTTTCTTTCCTTAAATTAAAATGTAAAAAAAAAGTCCTTATTTGTGTGTTTGAATCACATTCATTTTACAGGTTCCTGGGTTTTCCTGCCCCCCTACTGAAAATTTGTGAAGTCACTTACAGCTTGTGGCCATTGTGTCTGATATCCAGGTCTCAAGTGAAAGAGCCATGAACATGGGTTCCATGGCTGTTAATGTTGCCAGCTGTAAATCACAACATCGTTATTCGATATAGAGTATCTCCTTTGTTTCAGAGTGATAACTTTTATACCAAAGTGCATACGTGAACATTTTGGATCAAAAGAAGCAGATGTACGAAATGTTGGACTTTTTTGTTCTCTCCCCTGAACATGGGGGGTGGAGGAGAGCAACTGAATACCTCTCCCTGTTCCTTGGCAGTGAGAGACAGATTGGAGAAGAAAAAAAATTACTTTGTAAATAGGTTTTTCTCTCTATAAATGTCAGGAGTATTCACTCATAATTGTGTCAAATCCCTTCCCTTAGTATACATTGCCAGGTAATGTTAGTCAAATTAGGGAAGGTGTTGGAAGAGTCGGAGATTCTTTTCACCTCATTGCTGTCATAGGATGTAAGTCTGCAGAGAGAGGGGGCATGTAATTCTGTCATGAATGCATGCCAGGCCGAATGACAACCACACTGGGTAGGCAGTGGGCTTGACTGCCCTAAATGCAGCTTGCACAAAGCAGGTGCTTCTAATGATGAGCTCACTCTGCAATTAATGGGGACTTATTTGTTGATGGTCCTAGAAGCTGGACAACAGAGACTAAAAACAAGGTGTTGGACCAGGACAATAAATTAAGGTTGGCCCTACCCAGAACAAAATGGTTGAGATTCATCTTCTACGCCACTAAATGTATTTTGACATGAGGCAGTATCTTCCATAGTTTTTATAAAATAAAAATATTAAGTTGCCAAATCCAACATGGTGAAACATTGGTCTGATTATTAAGAGTTATCACTAACGAGAACATATTAAAAACCTACCAAAACTAGATCTAAAAAAAAAAATATATATATTCTGCTAGGTTATAAGAATGAACGCGTTATCAGTGGAGAACTATACTTTCTGCATCAGTACCTCCCCTCCATTAATCTTAGTGGTCATACCATGCACATTCTCTCTGATTGGATGTGCCTTAAAGTTTATGTTCTACTTGGCAGCTGCACACAGTTTTAAAATATATTTTTTAAAATTTACATATTGTATATAAATGGGGGTGGGGGGGGTGGGAGAGGGAGGATATCTCCTGTTAACAGCTTATTATAATTTGTGTATTAGAGCTTCACAGAATCACTGTTAAATACAGAGGATGTGGTCTGCACTATAATGCTTTGTTTAGCTGTCTCCTGGAACAGGGCACCTCCATCTTGGCTCATTGTCAGTCCTTGTTATAAGCTCGGTCCTCTGAAATCTGCTGCTTTAAGGTGACTGCCAGGTGCAAGTAGTATGCCATGACAGACTGGTATGCAAAGAACAGATTTACTTCAAGACTGTAATAAGCGGAATGCAGTCCTTAAAATGTGTTTAAATTTCAGAATTCAAAGTCCCGTCTGGCAATTGGCTAGCAGTATCCATGTCTCAAGAAAAGCTTCAGGTAAATATAGCACTTATAAGCTGCTGAAGGTAAAAACAAACAAATAGATGTCCCGAATCACTGGAAATTTCTTTTTACAATGATTGTTCTACGTTCATTGCAATATGTACCCTGGCTGTGTAGGAATTGTGATGTATATTGAAGATTTAACAATTGATATTCAAATGAAAACTGCATTACTTGAAAGGTTTACACAAGTTATAAGTGACTTGGTGTATTCAGTAATTTACAGGAAAGTGTGGTTCTCCTTTCAAAATGGAAACGGTAACCTTAATTGCTTCTAACTGGGCATGGCCTCAACCACTCTACCAAGATATTTTGGTGCTTAGCCCACTTATTCCCTGGCATCCCCTCCAGCCAATGCAGGATTTACAAAACGTTCTGTCTAATAATACAACTAAAGAGAGATGAGGTAACTTACTCCCTCAGTAGCACACAGATTCTTTGGACCGTGTTATGAGTTATGATTAATAGATAAGGTTTATAAAAAATAAAAAAAAAAGTTAAAATTAAATCAATATGGTTGGAATATGTTATAATCAGATTTTTTTAAAAGCTTAAAAAAAACGGGTCCAATGTTGTTGTATTGTCATTTTTAGATTACTTTGCATATTTTGCAAAGTTCTCTGAAGATGACATTGCCAATTTGTGTTAGACAGCCAGAGAAAATGTACATGATAGGTCGGCTTACCTGAAACTTGCCCTTAAGACGCGGTCATCTTCTGCTCCTGCTGCTTCATCTCCACATAATAAACCTCCCAGATAGCAGGATCCTCCAGAGATGACCATGTGTTCTGCTCAAGGAGATGCATCTCTGCACAAGAGTTGCAGGTGATGGCTCTTGACAACGGAAATGCTAGCTCTTGTCAACTCATGTCAATCTTGAAATTTACAAAGACAAAGCAAGCCCAATTTTGTCCAATATAGGTGCGCTGGAATTTTAATAAAATTCCAACACGGCAAGTGAGAATTTGTCAAGTGTCTTAATGACAAATTTCATTTAAAGTGGCTCTGATATATTTCTTGCAAACAGCATTTCACGAGAATGGTTAATACCTCTTCTAAACAAATTTCTTTCCATTCAACCTTTGTAACAAACATTTATTAATTGAAGATGACATTTTGGTACATCTTTTCTTTACACAAACTCAAAGAAATTTTTAAAAAATTATATAAAAGTTTATCATTTACAAAAAGTCATATACAAATTTACAGGAAGTAAATACAAACACTGTAATATTGTGAATCAATTCTATAAAACTTGAGACTGAATATCAGTGTTCGAAAATACAACCCAAAATAGAGTTTGGAAGAAAGCAAGAGACATTCATGTAAAACATGGGCTAAAGATGGCAAACTCACTTACAGGAGACACGTCTTAACTTCTGATTATTGAAGTACTTAGTACAAAAACGTTTGAGGTTCCAAACTACTGGCAGTGAAGATTAAGATACCTGGTAAAAAAAAAAAAAGTCTACAAGTACTATATAGAAATTAAAACTATACTAGAATATCATTACCAAGGTATTTGTACAAAAGTGAACTTTACTGAGGGATTACATATAATGTTTTGTTATGGGGTGTCAAAATGGAATTGGAACACTGTCTGTTAAGGAAACTTGTCTCCCTTACCAGAACAATCATCTCTACTAGATCTTAGTTTTCTCATAAATATACTCTTGCTAGTGAAATCCAGGCACTTGTTGATGTCCAAAAGAACAGTCTTTAAAATGCAACAATCTGACCATTTCAAGTCACTTTTAGGTAGTCCATCTGTGGAATATTTAATGGATGTATCAGCTCTGTAAGTATAAATAGATTTAGAAGGGGTCTTCATGAAGAAGAAGAAGCTGCCAGCAGAACAGTCTTAATTCTGAAGTGATAACTATAGGACCCTACACATTCACAGCAGGTGTTAGCTGCATTAAGGAACTTGCAGTCAACAAGCCATCATTTTTAGAATTGCTGTTTATTTCCATGGTCTGTAGGAAAGTTCTTCTCTTCAGTTGCTCGAGGATGAGAGAGTTATTGGAAGCAAGACTTATCCGTGTTCTGCAAATGAAGACAAGTCGGGTGAGTGGGTTAATTAAATAGAAATATAAAATAACTTGTTGCTGCTATACAGTTACACAGAGAGAATGCTCATAAACAATACTTTGTCACTAAAGCCTATTTTTTAAATTAATATTTAACAGATTTTAGACCAGTTTGACAACTTACGTGGGGGCCACTGGGTACCTGCTCCTGGATTCTCGTTCAAGAAAAATCGGCTTAGCTCCACTGAACTAAGCAGGGTCATGCTCATTGGCTAAAAGCAACAGGTGAGCACTGTTAGTTAATCAGTGGGGTCCTATATCGGATAAGTTTAGTGTAGACAAACCGCTTCTCCTGCAGGAGAACACTGGATTTGGCATGAGGGTCTAGAGGACTTGAGTAAGTTACCAGACCATTACTCTGGCAGGCAGTAGTGTTTATGGTGGTTGCAGTGTTCCTTTAAAGAAACTTTGACAACACTGTTTTATGAAAGATTAAATATCTTAGTAGTTTTGTTAGTAAATGTAGAGGATGTATGATTTGTATTTTTGATGGATGGATTATTTACACAATTTATAAAGAAAATGCTTATGCAGGAGTATGTACACATTGCTTTTGGAATGTTTGGGTTCCAAAGAGTAGGTTTGGAATGCTTAACAGTTCAGCAGTGGGGCAAGTTGTCATGCCTATAAAAATGTGAAAGTGTACACATGTACAGTCTCTAGGTTTAAATCCTTAAGAAGAACAAAAAACTCACCGTGGAGATTCAATACCACTATCTCCTGTCGTGCTTTGATTTTCATTCTTTTCCTGTTGACTTGTTTCCAGTTGGCTCCCCTTTGAATTAAAGAAGTTCACCTTGTGTTCAAAACACTTCCTTATTTCCTCCGACTGCTGCCCTGACGCGACATGCTTCTCGCTGTTTCCATTAACAGATGTCTGTACAGTCTCAGCCATGGAGTTGCCATCACTTGAATTACAATAATCAAATATGCTGCCATCGACAACTTCAGGGGAGTGTAAAAGTTTGTCTGTATCACCTTCTACATCTAAATGGCATTGGCTATGCACCTGCTGCAATAGTTGCTCATCAGAACAGTCATTCATATGCAAAGGAGGATTATTGTTACCTTGTGAGTCATCTGAAGAAAATACTGAAGAACTATAATTTTCCCTGTGATCAGTCAGTGAAGACGCTATTTGAGATGTATAGGATATTTTAGGACTCCAGTGCCTCAGAGATGTTTCAGGTGCACTATGGTCTTCCTGTAGATCATTCCAGTTTAGTACATCATTGTTAACCTGTTTTTCAAGAACTTGACATACCTTAATATTTTCATCAGTGTCATCTTCAAAGTAAAAGGAGCTACATGCTTCACTGCCTTGTGCTGCTCTCTGAAACAATGTCTTATCATCAGACAGTTCTGTGTTTGGAGATCTTGTAAACCCAAGATATTGCAGATGGTCTTTCAAGCCACTGGTATGATTCCATAGCTTGTTGGACTCTATTTTGCCAGATACTCCTGTGCAGGGTCTACTGGTTGCACCTTTACAAGAATTTGTTGTGGTTTGCTGTAATAACCCACCGGTTGATGTGGTCTGATTCCCACAAATTCCTTTAGAATGTACTATAACCCTCCCATGCTCTAAAATAGCTTCTCTTTGACTTAATGCCTTATCTTGAAGGTTGCCAAAAACATGATTTCCTTCCTCCGTATGGAGGCCAAGCACGGAGTTGCTTCCCTTGATCTGTTTAAATTTATCATCAATTCTCAGAGTACTAGATTGGGGATAGTTGGCTGGGTATCCTCTCAAGTCATCTTTATCAGGAACAAGAGGCAGGATCTCCCCATGTATTGACTCACCTGTATCATATAACTCTACTTGTCTTTCACCATTTGAATATCTAGTTCCATTATCAGCCTTTTTTTCACCGCAGTCCAATGACCTTGCTCTGTTCCTTCTATGCTTTCCAGAATTATCCCTTTTCATTTCTTTTAGAGCTTTGTGCCCGTTGGTACTTGAATTACCTCTGTATGAAATACCTTCAAAAGGGTTGCGGATTTGTTTTTTGTAGACAAGATCATGCTGAATAACATCCCCGCAAACTGGATACAAGCCATCAGAAACCATTACTTTATCCTTAGTATTGGTTTCGTCTTTCTTTACTAGTTCGGCAATCCTTGGCACACAGGAATCTTTCTGTTTTTTCTCTTTGTTGGCCTGCAGTTTTCTATGATACTTCGAAAGACGGCTTTTCTTTCTGCAGCTCCCCTTAAGGTTGTATCCCTGTTTATTTCTAATTATGTCCGTTGATGTTCCCTTACTAAAATACTTTTTTTGCTCTTCAGCTTTTTGCATCATCAATGTGTGTTTCATTAAATTGTCTACAGTAAGAACAGGGTTGATGCGTTTAATGATTTCATGTTCAATGTCGCGTGGGATATTATCTAAATTGTCCTCATCTCTTACTGGCCATTCCTCGGGGGGAAATTGTGCAGAAAAGGTTGAAAGTTCTTTTTTGGGTTTTTCTTTCTTGCAAGCATTTCTCCAGAAAAGACTGATGCCAAATTTTTTGTTGCACTTTTCTTTCTCCTTTAATAAGATTTGTGGCTTCCCCTTTCCACATCTGTGCTGGTCCTGGCATGTAGAAGTAGCCTGGTTTTGAACAGACGGTCTCGACTCCTTAATAGTCCTTATCACCTTGTCATTGCTTTCATTTATTGACTGTTGTCCTAATATGTTATGTGTAGAATATTCTGAAAAGCAGCTGCAAGATCTGCAGTGGGATATGGAAGGTTGTTGCGATCCTTTGGTTAAATCCGCACAACTATCCATGCTCACGAGATAGGTGATAGGTGGAGGAGTGGGTGAACTAATCTCTGCTGCCACACACTTACTGTCTGGAGTCTGTTTCCTAGTGATAAAATAAGTCTGTGGAGTAACAATGAAATATCCTTCACCAGTGTGATAGATTTTTCTTTCTTTTATAAGCGTTCCAAGTGTATTATAGAGAATTTCTTGTGATGGAGTGGCTATACCTAAAAAAGAAAAAAAAAAAAAATGTATATATCCATTAAAGATAAAGGTCAGATAAACATTTCTATTTAATATACCCAAGAATACCTATAAGAACATTTTGGAAGTTTGAAGTGCTTATAGCTTTTTAAATTATACTAACACTGTTAAAAATAAAATGTGCTTTAAACGGCTGATATAATAAATCTGTTGTTTGCAATAGGTGCAAATCATGTTAAGCTACAGCTTCTCAACTCAAAACTGCAGACATATGTCCTTAAAATTTAATCTCTTGGGCCTAGACCGGCACAACTGTTGGAAAAGATATTTAATGCAACCATACACCAAAGGCTATAGTTTTGCTATGAATGCATCTTCTAGAATTGATGAACATTCATTGGTGCGGGAACATCAGTGCTTCCTAATGCAATGGCAAAGAAATTCTATTGTATACCATTTTTCTGACGGATCAAAAGTAAGAGTGAAGTATTGAACACATTAAAACCATTTAGTGACTGAGGGTTTGACAAATACATGGTGCCAGCTCGCCATGTTTACAGAAATGGAACCTAGCACTTCTTATTTGGTACTTTGGTGATTTTTATTTTTTAGGAGGAAGAGAGTAACTAGTATTTTGTTTGCATCTTAAATCAGACTATCACCACTCCATAGCCACTAGGTCCATAGCTACTGATCTCCCTTCTCATTCTTACCTTTGTATATACAGTTGAAATAAAAAGTACGTGTACCCTTTGGAATTATATGGATTTCTGCACAAATTGGTCATAAAATGTGATCTGACAACTCATCTATGTCACAACAATAGACAATCACAGTCTGCTTAAACTAATAACACACAACAAATTAAATGTTGCCATGTTTTTATTGAACACACCATGTAAACATTCACAGTGTAGGTGGAAAAGTATGTGAACCCTTGGATTTAATAACTGGTTGAACCTCCTTTGGCAGCAATAACTTCAACCAAACGTTTCCTGTAGTTGCAGATCAGACGTGCACAACGGTCAGGAGTAATTCTTGACCATTCCTCTTTACAGAACCGTTTCAGTTCAGCAATATTCTTGGGATGTCTGGTGTGAATCGCTTTCTTGATGTCATGCCACAGCATCTCAATCAAGTTGAGGTCAGGACTCTGACTGGGCCACTTCAGAAGGTGTATTTTTTTCTGTTTAAGCCATGCTGTTGTTTATTTACTTCTATGCTTTGGGTCATTGTCCTGTTGCAACACCCATCTTCTGTTGAGCTTCAGCTGGTAGACAGATGGCCTTAAGTTATCCTGCAAAATGTCTTGATAAACTTGGGAATTCATTTTTCCTTTGAATGATAGCAATCTGTCTAGGTCCTGACGCAGCAAAGCAGCCCCAAACCATGATGACCCCCACCACCATACTTCACAGTTGGGATGAGGTTTTGAAGTTGGTGTGCTGTGCCTTTTTCGCCACACATAGTGTTGTGTGTTTCTTCCAAACAACTCAACTTTAGTTTCATCTGTCCACAGAATATTTTGCCAGTACTGCTGTGGAACATCCAGGTGCTCTTGGACAGCAGTGGCTTTCTCTGTGGTATCCTCCCATGAAATCCATTCTTGTTTAGTGTTTTACGTATTGTAGATTCGCTAACAGGGATGTTAGCATTTACCAGTGACTTTTGTAAGTCTTTAGCTGACACTCTAGGATTCTTCTTCACCTCATTGAGCAGTCTGCGCTGTGCTCTTGCAGTCATCTTTACAGGACGGCCACTCCTAGGGAGAGTAGCAGCAGTGCTGAACCTTCTCCATTTATAGACAATTTGTCTTACCGTGGCTTTTTGTGATACTTTTATAACCCATTTCCAGCTTTATGCAAGTCAACAATTCTTAATCGTAGGTCTTCTGAGAGCTCTTTTGTGCGAGGCATCATTCACATCAGGCAGTGCTTCTTGTGAAAAGCAAACCCAGAACTGGTGTTTTTTTTTTTTTTTATAGGGCAGGGCAGCTGTAGCCAACACCTCCAATCTCATCTCATTGATTGGACTCCAGTTGGCTGACATCTCACTCCAATTAGCTCTTGGAGAGGTCATTAGTCTAGGGGTTCACATACTTTTTCCACCTGCACTGTGAATGTTTACATGGTGTGTTCAATAAAAACATGGCAACATTTCATTCTTTGTGTGTTATTAGTTTAAGCAGACTGTGATTGTCTATTGTTGTGACTTAGATGATGATCAGATCACATTTTATGACCAATTTGTGCAGAAATCCATATCATTCCAAAGTGTTCACATACTTTTTCTTGCAACAGTAGCTTTTTGAATGATATATATATATATATATATATATATATATATATATTACATTTTAGCAATAAAGCTACGTTTTAACAACTACCAGTCTCTACAGTTCCCTAGATCTTGTATAAAAGACACTCTGCTCTTCTTTTTTCCTTTGGCTGTATATATTAGATGAAATGGTAGTTGTAAATTTAAGGATTATGGGTTTAATTGTATTTGTGGCAACTTCATAGCTCAGACTCAAAACATGTGCATAAATATATTGTTATCTTAAATAAACTTACTCTGGTGTTGGTTCACTAAAGAGGGGATTGTGGAAAATAGCTGATCTAACAAAAGGTTTCCCAATTTATCCATTTTGACCAAAAATTCAGTTAGCTGAAAACACTATACAGCATAATTAAAACTATAATGGAAATGATTAATTTTGTTTTATAAAAAACATTAATACTATTGATATGTGTTATTTTTCAATATTCTTTTTCTCTAAAAATAAAAATGAAAGACATTACCAATACGTTGTATCTTCTTTTTTATACATTTAATGTAGTGTACAAAATACATTTTCTGGGTGTTCCAACACTACATGCGGAGAACTGACCAGCTGTACACAAAACCTGGTTGGATGCTCTCAGACGAGAACATGGTTTCCTGCCTTGACCAGTAAAGGTCTCTGAGCAGGATATGAGGGTATAAACAGATGTATGTCCATGAGGAACCACCTTGACAATGAATGAATGGCATATCTTTAACTTGTAATTCATGCTGTATTTACGAAGACATGGTTAATAGAAATAACATTTATCTGGTGACTATATTGATTAATGTAGATATTCAGGTGCGCTATTTAAACCATGGGAATCTACATATGGATAATATACCTTGGTAATGCTTAATCAGATGCTCCAGTAGAGATTCCTGCGTCACTAATGTCTGAGAGGCATTCATATCGGAGATCGCACAGCAAAGCACCTCTGCCAGAGGAATGAACTGAGACTGGGACGCTGGACACATCTGAACTGGGGAGACATCACCTGCAGAGACAAAAATGCAGCAACATTACAAAAGAGAAATGGATTGACGTATAGAACATGTTTTTTAAAATTCACTTTAATTTTCGTACAATTGACACCGTACAGTGAATAACTATTGGTGTGTGGTTACTGCACTTCTATAGAAGTCCAAAGCTAAAAACAGCTACACAGTGTGTTTAAAATAAACACAAAAGAAAGTGGATTATGTAACAGGGCTGACAATGTAATGCTTGTGCTATACACACGCTCACGCTGAATAAATCACAGATCAAAGATTGTATTTCTAATTAAGAGCCATATTAATAACAATAAAATAACGGTGTACCTCAAATTACAAGCATTAGTGTAGATCCCAGAGAATTATGGGAGCTGTAGTTCAGCTATATCTGGAGCCTGGAGGGCCAGAGTTTACAGAGCTGGTTTTAGAGCATCACACAAGTAATATAACCATATTCCTTTTTGCATCACAGCTCCATCCCCAAACCGTCTACATCAAAGAGGCACTCCTGCACTGCATTTTGTCATTCACACTAGTGGCCTTTCATTCACCGGGGGATTGGTAAAGAATGGCCAACTGTATACTTCCATTCAATAGTGCTGCGGATAAGGAAAATAAGTGCTAAAACCAAAAACCATTTCACAATGTTTGGCAATTTGTATAAATGAATTGTAATGAGGAATACACACACGAAAGAAAAAAATAAATAGTTTCCGCTTGTATATATATTTTTAAACTATACACATATTTGTGCCGAAGGTCATTCCAGTTTATCACATTTGATGAAGAAAGAATGTGTGTAACTGATACATTAGGTTTAAGTGCATCTATTTAATGCGTTGTTCAAGAGCCAACAGGGAGTTGATATATGATAACATTACTTTTCTTTAAAAGGCCGGAAAGGTACAGGGCGGAAGACCTTTTACTAAAATGTTCTGCAAGGATAGGTTGGTTATTAAACTCAGTTATGTGAGTTTAGCCACAAAAACACTTTGTGAGCGAATTAAGAGGAGTTCTTTAAGGATTGTTCCGTTTCTGACAAGAGTCACATCTTGGGGAAGTAGTTAAATCTCCGTTGACCTTTGTTTTACAGCCAGTCATTGTGAAGTTTAACAAAGACTGTTTATATAGAACTTTTCAAACTCCTTTCATCCAGGACAGTTGCTACGATACAGCCTTCAGGTGTATAAATCAGGGAGAAACGCTTTGTAAACGATAAAGGCAAACTTGGGCTACCTTCCCTCCTGTGCAAGCCTATGTGAGCTGTGAAACACAATCCCCACAGGCCTTGGCCAAGAATGTCCTAAAACCAGCAAATTAAATAGATGAAGATGTAAACAAGCTTACACTCCCAGTCACAACACGTAAAACAAAGCTGTGAGGAATGGCTAAAAAGCTACTTATCTTGAGGGGAAATGTAGTGGGTTACCCAAAGCAGTTTAAAGAATTCACACTGAAAGGAAAAATATTAACCATGGGCGGTGCCCATTCACCAAGGGACGTTCTTTTTTTACACCCTCTGACCTGCCTAAACAAATCATAGTGACATAAAACAGCCTGGAGACCGTGTTTGTAAATTCTTGCAATCTAGCATAATTCATCCTTTCAAATAGTGTAATCTATACTCCAAATAGCTCCTTTCTTCATTCAATTCATCCCACAAGGTCATAGGCATACAGCCTGGCTCGAGTAGCAAGATAGGAGGTCCATGCCGTGCAATTTTGGGCACCAGAATTAGAAAATTATGGAATTAAAACGAAAAGAACAGGAGTACGCAACAAAATTAATAAGGAAAATGAAAATAAAGTGTCTCAGACAGCTTGTGATGACATTATACAAATACATATAGTGCCAGTGCCATAAGCTCTCTGGTAACATTACATTAGCAAAACATTAAATCTACCCCATTCTGATAGTTCTGTTTTAACACGTTGCAGAAAAGATCCAGAGAACTTGTCCTTTCCGAGCTCTCTCACTATACTATTGTCAAACCATAAGAAGGAGCAGCCGCAGGACTTGTCATCCCTATCCATTGAGTTAGGCATTTTGGAAATATCGGCACAAATGTGCTGGAGAACTGCATGTTGCCCAGCTACATTTTGTATGTATGTATGATGGAGTAAGTCATGTAACCAGTTCTAAATACATCTTTTTTGTTGTTGATTTTCTACACCCGGAGCGTTACAAAGATCATTATGCCCTATAACACCTGCCCTGAAATCTGGGGCACCGTTTACAAGGTAACCATAACTCCAACAATTTTTTACTTCGGTTAACTGTACAAACTGCCCATATATTTCAATAATGACACTACCGTCCCTAAGGGACGACCCTCCCAACTATGGCGTCAAAATAAACGTTCCTGTGCAGGATTGTCTTCCTGATTGCCATGCAGATGGTTGGGGATTTTCTCCATGTGCCTGTTTTAAATTCAATTACAGATGTGTGTGAAGACACATGGTTATTCTATGTGTCAACAGCACCAGGCTAGAAAAACAGAAAAACAAACCCAATGTTCGGTCATCTGTGCCAAAGACCATTCACCATCAATGTCCAATTGAGACAAAATACTGACTTATTGGAGTACTGTACTGACATTTAAAAGAAGTGCCGGTATTATTCTATTTAGTATTTCAGCTAATTAAAAACCACAACAAACAGAGCATGTCCGTATGTTGAATGATTTTTGTTAGAATTGTTTGTCTTGTTTTATCTAGTGTTGGGCGCTGCTGAATATTTTATATTATATGGATAATCATACAAATATTGGCACTTTTTATTTTAGGGTATTATTTTTTTATTTTTTTTAAGACAGTGACTTTACTTCTCTAGGTGTGTACTAATTTCCCTGATCCATCAGACTCTCACTCAGACTCCATTCCGTTACAGAAAATTTAAATAACTAAATAAATAAAATTAAAAATAAATCAGTCTCCAAGAAGACATATCAATTAAACTGTTAAGAGCTTTCACCCCACCTACCTTGCTTCCTATCCTGCAACTATGTCATCTAAAAGACTAAGCCTTCTTCGTTAACTCTACTAGCAATCTATTTTTCCAATACATTGAATACATTTTACCCTTTGCACTTGGGTCATTTTGCCCCACTCCTATTAGAATGTAAGCTCATTTGAGTAGGGCACTCTGACCAATCTTCCGCCAACTACTTGTTATTCAATCTATTGTACAGAACTGCTAAATTTTTGGGCTTTTTAAAAAAATGATAGTAATATTAGTAGTAATAATAATAAAATCATTATAATGTTATGAACTAAAACCAAACTTACAAAGAGCATTGACTAAAAGAAGAGTAAGATATAAATTTATATAATCTCTGCTTTATTTGACCACAATGTGATGTTGACTATTGGTTTTGAGAAACTGGATTTCATATTTTTCCAACATACAGTATACGAAAAAGCAAGCAGAATCAAGCTATTTTTTGCTTACGCTGTCACAAAATAGTGCCCATTCATTCTCTTGCTCTGTGATGCTTCCATACAGCAATCATAACAAGGCTACTTACATTCTCACTGGCTCCGGCTGCCAAATGCTTTACATTTTTGTAAATGAGAAAACAGCTGTGGTCCAAATTAAGCCCTTTCCTTCCCTAATAGCTGTGGCATCTGGTACTTTTGTTTCTCTAAGGAACCTTGCAAGTTTTATTTTTCTTTGACAAGAAAAACATATCTAATTAAATCAGATAAATGGGAACAGCAACCGATTCACAAAAATGAAATGAGTAAAAGGCCAGCTATAGGAAATGTGAAAGGAATGTGGAATTCGGAAAAACGTACAGCGAAGTTTTGGAAATGGGATGATTTCAGTAAAATACCAGGGTACATTGAATCCTCACACTATACACGGGTCTGGTGAACTTCACAGACTGTCCAATGACCTCGTGAACTTCCTAGGTTGAACATTGACCTCTAAATTTTCCAAAGTTGTCCAATGACCTCCTGAACTGCAAACACAGCAGGAACACCAAATATACTACAACCTCATGAACTGACAAATTTGTACAACAAATCTCCTTGGCTGCCAGGATAATACGGTATAATGACCATATGAACTGCTCGGACAGTAGTGACAGATGTACGGGTAGAACTGGTGCACAGTTACGTGACTTGATGGAATCTGAAGATTGAAGGACTCATTATATCTCTTTTTTTAAGTTAAATAATCATAAAATCTACTAAAATGAATCTATAATCCATTAAAATGTAGTTCTTAATAAATTCGTGGCTATGTTAACACTCTGCTTATAACTAGTCTGATGGTCACCACAGAACACACTTGCCAAGTCCATATGAAAGATGAAAAATGGAAGGTTAGTGCTTAAACATAGTTTATATATTAATAACATTCTATGCATGGTTTATTTGTCCTCATTTGCATGTCTCTTCCCGATGTGCATTTCAATCATCACCACTATTTAAATTCAAGTGTATTCTTCCTTAATTGCTACACTTACACCTGAGGGTATCTTATTACGATTGCTAGGAGGAAGAAAGAGCACAACTTGTGTCTCCATTCATAGGATTTGCTCAAAAGTAGGTGAAATGCTACAGATCTAAAAGTAGCCCCAAGGGTTAAGGATTTATTCCAACTTCTTCCAAATAGCAAACACCACAATGCACCAATCAGCAGTCCTACATATAGCCTCTGGGTAAATCCAGAAAGTTCCTATGTCTAACTAGCCTTTCATTTTCTAGACATCTAGAAAGGATCAAAGAAATTCAAAATCAATAAAGTTCCAATGCAATTACTCAACTATAGTCACAGATATGCAAAACAGGCAGTATATAAATTACAACATCTGACGTAATGCCAAATAATTAGGAAGAACAAACCACAAAAGAAACAGTTAACTAATAAATAAATGAGGAAGGGGAACAAACCCCGCTAACAAAAACATTAAAAAAAAGTCTAATATTTTTTATATAGACTAAAATGTAGTTTAGCTTTACACAAAGATACAAAAATATAGATTAGAAGCATCACAGATCTGTCTAGTTTATACTTTGTGAAAATGAATAATGAATTTAATATTGCCAACAAAAGACATGTGTTAATGACAATATGATCGGTTACCAGTTTGTAAAAACAAAATCCTTTATGACCTAATTCCTGTGTGTACTTTGCAAGTATGTGAGAACCGTGCAGTGTTTCTTAACATCAAACGCAACAATGCAGTGAATCCACCTAGCACGAACCCATTTTGCATCACAAGTTGTGTTAGTTTATACAATACTTAATCATTCATATACCTTCCTGTAGCGGTACTTACCCAGTTCTCGTCGGCCGGGTCCTCCACTTGAGCTGCACGCTGCTCAAACACTCCTGACGGGCTGCAAGCACCAAACCTTTTTATTTCTGATCGGGCGCACAGCCCATACAGTATTAGGAACGCTGCTCGCGTTGCGAGCACATTCTTAAAGTGTAAATGGGAGCCTAATCTTGCTGTTGGCTCCCATTAGCCTAAGTCATTCTGGGGCTCCCATTCGCACACATTTTGGGGTGCAGGCATGACGTGGACCAATCAAATAAAACCCAGTAGTATTTAAAAACTTACCTGGCCCAAGATTCTGTGCCCTATTGTGGTTTCTGTTCACAGTACCCTTTAGTGAATTCCTTAAGTTCTCGTATTATATTCTGGTATTGACTTTGGCTTGGTTTCCTGACTGAGTTTCTCTTTAACCCTTTCCGGTCTTGTTTTCCCATCTGATTAATTACTGTGTACCCTATTTTAGCTAGTTCACATTTTTGCTGTCTCTCCGTTACCCAGACCTCGACTTGTATTTTTACTATGTTTTACTCTGTCTAACGTTAAGTCCGGCCACTCTAAGGCCCAATAATATGTTTATTTTCCTTTGTCCGTTTCTTGCTATCCTAAATTCTGCATTTTAGAGTTATACTTCGTGACACTTACCTAATTATTGTGATAGGAACAACAAACCCACTATCATCAATGTCACTATAATCAATGTCACATCCTAATCCCAAGCTACAATTGAGGGAGGTAGAGGAAGGGGTCTTGTTCCCCAATCCTCCTTCAACAGTATTGGCATGGCCTCTACAAGCTGGAACAACTCTTTCTTGGGCTTTAGGACTGCTGACATCTGTCACCACCCCGGCACCATATTACTAGTATTCTGTCACAAGATAATGGGATTAGCAGCATGTCCATTACATCTGATTCAACATCCAGGAGACAATTGTTTACCATGATTTTCATGCTGCAACAACTTTTACTGCCACTTCCACTGCAGCTCCTTCTTCCATAGGTAGTTCAAGCGTTATTCCTTTTTGGTACTAAGGGAGAGTGCAGCAGAGTCTACTTTGTGGTAGTCATCAGAACCACTCTTTTGTGAGGACATAGTGTACCCAATGACTGATGGTGGCCGTAATGAATCCAGTGACGAGAATTCTGTTTCCTCCACCACTGCAGACATAGCACTTTTACATCTGGACCAAGAGCTACTCAACTATTATTAGAATTAGAAAAAAGGAGAGTTTGGTTTAGTGTTTTGAAGTTATATTTTATAGTGGAGACAAAAACAGTTTTGGTTTTTTTTACCCCCAAAAAATAAAAAAAATAAATAAATAAAAAAAAATCATCAAAAAAGATCCAGACTGAAAAATACCCCCGCCCCCTCCCCCCCCAAAAAAGACAAAAACTAAGGCGGCGACCTCTTGTTACATGGATGAAGATACTGAGAGTACTAAATGAACAGTTGATAAGGCAATGTTTTTAAACTGTTCTAGGTAATAGATCAGTAAAGGTGTATAAATATAACAAAATTTTGCAGTTCTAAACTAGAATAACATACCCCCTCACCTCTAACATCCTGCTGCTGCACAGTTGGACTGACTCATGCTAATACTAGAGCCTGGGGTCACTTGGATTTAAAACTGTGATTTAAACCTGAGTCAACCCACTTCAAAAGGCGACGGAATTACTGTGAAGTCCAATAAAAACGCTTGCAGGGAGTTGTAACGAGTGTCATATCACAGTCAGGTGAAGTTTACAGTATGTGGACTTCTGCTTCCACTGATGTCGGGTTAAATCTTTCAAATAAAACCACTCAGTAAGTTTATTACACGAGCAGTTTCCCAGTGCCACATGCAAGTGGAAAGTTAAGAACATGTAGTAGCTGGATTTAAAACACATGTTTGGAAATTCCAGCTTTCGTCCCAAGATTTCACTAAGCCATAGACGGAAGCACAGATGAAAGATGGCAGTGGTGAATGAATACAGCCAAGGAGGACAGACCCCTGTGGTTTTACCACCCCAGAGAAGTTTAACTGTTCCAGTCTAATGCTGGATGCAAACCACACCAACTTGAGAACTTGGGGTGGGGGTTGCAGCGTGTGCAAGCAGGTGTGGTGGGGTAAAGTGAGAGCATGAGGGGGTCAGACATGTTATTTACAGGAACACCTGAATGAATTTAGGTAAAGTGTCAGACTCTAATTAAAGAGGATCAGTCCCTTTTAAAATTAAGATTAATATTAAAGTCAGCAGCTTCCCCGCCACCCTGGGGCTAGAAAATATCCATTCATAAATAAATAAATAAAAATAAATAACAACAACAACAACAACAACAACAACATAAATTGGTTAGCCTGGGGAAAAAAATAATATGGTCTGGATGAAAAAAGTGTTTCATCCATGTGGTGTTTCGGTTTCGTACAAATATTTTCTCAGTTTGATTATTTCAGGGAAAACTACTTGCACAAACCAAAAGGGGGACAGTGTGTCTAATGTACTGCAATGGAAAAATGCCTCAAATATCGCCTAGCCTAATGGCTATGTAATATTAAGTATTGTTGCAATGCCAATTGTGAGTTGTCATATCAAAATCTATATTAAATATGTATTAAGTAAGAACTTAATGACTGTTATAAATTATATTTCTTTTGCAGTCTTGTATATTGATGGGAAAAAAAGTGAAGCAGCAGCAACAGATGTCATTTTAATTTGAAAATAAGGTTATTTTTTTTTTTAAATGACAGATAAAAGTGAATGAGCAGTTAACAACCCACTCACATGTTCCACCTTACAAAGAACATGGCTTTCCCACACACCGAGTCTGCAGTGTAGTGACTATCCGCCTACTGGCTTCTACCAGCTGTAAATGGTAGAAAACGTAACCATACTCAAGCAGGAAGAAACAACTACAATTAAAAGCCTTTTAATTTAAATATCCTTAAACGCAATTTTCTGTTTCAGAGGTAGCTGGCATATTCATACAACAATAAAAATAAAAAAAAATGTAAAACATTTCAAATAAAAAGTTGCACCACAAGACTCAGCAAGGCAGGACAAAACCCCTGATACTAACGGCATTTTAAAAGAATACAGCCACCAACACTAAAAATATATACATAAAAAAATAAAAAAATTAACTTTAAGGTGCATGCAAGAGTCAGCAAGGCAGGACAAAACAACTCAGAATTAAGGTTGGTGTAAGTGGCATTGGTTCGGCATAGCAGTAAGCTATCCGCATCAGTCTTATCTCCCATTCCCGCACAGTCAACGTTTCTAGAGGAATTCTGCTTGAAAGTATATACAAAAGGTTTTCGGCTTCCCCTACACCCCCTTGCTAAATTCCTGTGTATTACTTGTAGTTACTATTCTAATTCTATTTACAAAAAAAACACAAACTTTACTATCAGAGTTATTCACTGAAATTAGAATTTTCTAGAAATCTAGAAATTCCCACTCTGGTGAATAGCCCATAATAACCTACTTAAAAACAATCGATCACATTACACAGCTTAACTTTTCCCATTATTTCCTGGTGCAATGAACGTGTACTAGTGCATTTTTTTATGATATTTGCGGGTTTTCTTGAAAGGATTCTATTTTAGCGTCATTACGCACTCAATTTTAATCTCAAGGTTTAATCTTGACAAAGACAGAGAACTCAACACTAATTTAAGATAACAAAACAAAAAGCCAGTAAAACTAACGCTTTGGGCTTGATGATTTGCGTTCGCACAGCAAGTTTAGCTAGCTTCATTGCATGAGGTTTATTAAGAATATTTGTTATTAAATTAAAAGGTATTCTGTCAACAGCAAATCAGACCTACCTCTTATTTTATAGGAGGTATGGGATTGTTTATGTACAGTATATTGTGCGATCAAGGGGTTTAAGCATGCGTGGGATAGGCATAAGAATATTTGTTATTAAATTAAAAGGTATTCTGTCAACAGCAAATCAAATGTAATATTTTTTTAACATTGGGTCAAGCTTATTGTGTGCTACTCTTCTGTGATTACATATAATGAATAATAACCGTTAAACCGGATTATTCCTACGGATTTTAAAATTGTATGTCACATTAATCAAGTTACAATACAATTTAAAAAAAAAAAAAAAACCCACTTAGCAGGGCCCAGAGAATATCCTGTACTTTATATGAATGCAAGAATATAATTAATTGTGATCGGAAACCTGCTTGGAAAGTTTTTAGCATATTATGCTTTGTATTTTTTCACTTTGTTTCTTCTGTTATGTTTCTATTTACAAAGAGGTGATGCTATTGAACATGTATCAAAAATGACAAGAACAGCCAAAGAGGTTGAAGTAAATGCTTGAGGTGATACGATAAGTGGACCACACCCCAAATATACACCTCACCCTTTGAGGACACACCAAAGACAACAATTAGGTTCAGGATAGGCCGAGCGTCCTAAAGATAGAAGACACCTTACTGACCATTACCTGGGTCTTGAACCCAACTACGTAGGTTATGGTTTTCTATAAAATTCTCGTATATTGAAGGCTGTAATGTGAACATGTTATGTGCATGGACGTATTCTTCAGTATGCTACGACTCCCTGATCTCGTGTTTTGACCTGTGACGCAATGTACAATTACCTGTATATCTGTAATATCTTCTTGGATCAAGAATAACATTTTTCATAGATCTGGCTTCCTACAGTCTGCCTAAAGACCTACCTCTTATTTTATAGGAGGTATGGGATTGTTTATGTACAGTATATTGTGCGATCAAGGGGTTTAAGCATGCGTGGGATAGGCATAAGGCTATCCTAACTATAAGAATAGGCCAGAGACTAATGAAAGTATTTAGAAAATTGGGCAGACTAGATGGGCCGAATGGTTCTTATCTGCTGTCACATTCTATGTTTCTATGTTACCCAATCACCTACATTTTGAAGTCTTTGGAAAGCATTGGGGAGCAATGGCAAATGCATTCTTAACCCTATAAGGGTTCCTTTAAAATAAACCATGCATGCTCAAGGAACTTTCTCACAGAAGAGATAAAATAGGTATAATTAAATCTGAACTCTGAAATTTAGGCTTGAATAGCTGCTCTGGAAAAATTCTCCAATTTAGCAATATAGTTACAAACAGACTATAATAAAATGAAAAAAAAAATAATAACCAAACACATGTAAGTAACGGCCATATAAATGCCAATCGAGAAGTTATATCTATCCAGAAGATGCTGCACTGTACACTGTGACTGCAATGTTTGCATGTGAAGGCTAGTATAAATATTTATTTATTCAGCGTATTTCTCTCCTAGCGAGTTTAAAGGGCTTAGCACACACTTTCAAACTAATTGGCAGGTTGTAAATAGATCTTACTATTTGCCAACTTAATGGCATTTATTTAGAACAAAAATGGATTAAGATTTAATGGCTAACAACAACAACTGCAGAGAAAGGGATTAATGAGTTATTTAAGAAGACTTAAAAGGTTAATGGGCAGTGTGGTAAATTCCGTAGAATATATGCTTGTACAGGAAAAAAATAGTAATAGCTTTAACTTTTTGAGATATATGGAATAGCCTTCCATTGACACCACATTTCAAAGAGTCCTTTTTAAACAAAAACAACCTCTTACAGCTGTGCCCCTCTTTTCTAGAAACTTACATTAGAATCTCACCAAAACAAATCTCAATAATGGTCTAAGCCAGCGTTTCCTAATTGGTGTTCTTCCGCAGAACACTAATTGGGGTTCGGCAAAAAAAAAGTTTAAAACAAAATGGCCGCGGGCAGTGAGGGAGCAGTGATCTCCATGCTCCGCTCCCTCGCGCTCACAGCAGTGATGCCGGAGCCAGAATATGACGTCACATTTCAGCTCTGGCATCACTAAGAGGCTCGCAAGGGAGCAGAGCAGGGAGATCACTGCTCCCTCGCCACCCGCACGTCAGCCGCTCAGCAGCCCCACTGGACCCCAGGGACTGCTCTCCAGCCACCCAGCAGCCCCACTGGACCACAGGGACTCCATGTCAGCACTCCTAAAGGTAGGGGGGCTGGGTGGAGTAAAATGTTAAACAAATAAATTATAATGGTATGTGTGTTTGTATGTGCCTGTGTGTATCTGAGTGTGTCAGTGTGTATCTGTGTGTCAAAGGGTTCCACAGGTAAAATTAATTGGAAACCCCTGGTCTAAACTATAATGGATTTAGAAAATATGTTTTAAATAAGTTAGATCTGTCCTGCTCTAAATTACATTTTCAACAAAAATAATTTTGTGTCAACATTTCATGGAGCGACCAAAATAGTCTGGATAAACTAGACCCCTGATCATACCTCCAGGCAAACCCCTACATAATTTTGTTTAATTTTTTTTTTTTTTAAACCCTTATTGGTGATTTGATTGCACAATATACTGTACATAAACAATCCCATACCTACTATAAAATAAGAGGTAGGTCTTTAGGCAGACTGGAGGAAGCCAGATCTATCATGTATCCATCAAAATATCCAACTGAATGTAGTCTCGAGATGCATTTCTCAAAGAGTTTCTATAAAGTGGTACAAAAATGTAAAATGCATAATGTTTCCATGGTGATGGCACCCATTTTGATTACTTTACACCACTTTTTAGAACAAAATACTTTGAGAAGTCCCCCCCTTAGTGTTCTGTCTCTATCCCATGAGGTTAGATGACCAGAGAATCTTTGGGTTACAATAAAGGACTACTAAAGTCACACTTCATTTCAATGCAGTGGCCTAGGTGCTGGGCCCTGTAGGTTTAACCCTGCAACGTCAAACATTGCGTTTTTACATTTATTTTAGTTTAACCCCTTAAGGACACAGTTACAAAAGCTTGTCTTACCTTTAAGGACACAAGCCATTTTTGCATTTTTTGCTGTTGTGTTCAAATGCAATTTGCATCTCTGTCATTTATATTTGTTAATAGTAACAACCCCTGGGTGTTGGGCTGTAACATCCCCTGGATGTACTAGAGTAATCTGAATGTACCTTTCCTGGTTAAATACTTTATCATCATTATTTATTGCACCAAAACATATAAGATACCATTTTTACGGGGCAAAATGGGCTTTAATTTCATGTCACATATACATAGATAAATTCTCAATAATTATAAAACATTAAAAAAAGCCCCAGAAATGGGGTGGGGGACGACGACTATTTTTTCCCCAGTTTTTGGCAATAATAGCATGTGTATAATATGTCCAGCTTACAAAAAGAAATTCATAATAAATTCATTTATGTCTCTTGATTTATAGACTTCATAATAGGTGTAGGATTTCAGTTTCTTTTGATAGTTACAGGACACAAAATACAAGGACCTAGAATAAAATTTCAATGTGAAACAATTTTAGAAGTTGGTATGTTTGTCTTGTAGGTTTAGTAGCCATCACAGAAAACAAAATTGCCACAGAAAAGTAAAGTAGATATCACAGGCTATTTACCTAGTGTTATTTTCACACTTTTTACGTAGCCATTTCATCGCCAATCTCTGCTAAATATTGGAGTAAAACTGTGTTTTTGCTCTATTTTGGCATATATACATAAAACAAGGTTTTTGTAATGTGTTTTTCGTAAAGCTGGTGTGTGCTATTCCTACACAGAGCCCCATATTGTATTCAGCTACATCTGCTGAGTATAATGATACCCTATTGCATGCCTTTGGCACTATTATGTGAAGCTACAATGCCAGAGACTAGGCTATTTCAGTTTCTTTAGTTAAAATTTCCATAGATGGATTTGACTGGCCTATGTCTCATATTGGGGTATTATAGCAGTTTGACTGCTTTATCAAATGGAAGGCCTTTGTGGGGTTATTTAAACAGACACCCCAGGGTATCTTATATGGCGTATATTGTGCCTTAACTTGTCACCATTTTTTCCACCAATTTATGTCAATGTTTGTGCTGAGGGGGAGAAAAATGGCATTTACACATACATGTTGCATTTGTATGTGTATTTCTTACACTTGATATGTGCCACTGTCATGAAATCCCCCAAATTATGCTTAGTTACATCTTCTGAGTAAAACAGTATGCCCAATGTATGACCCAGGCACTATTTTGTGAAGTTACAGTGCTGTAAAAGAGACGTGAAGTTCATGTTTTTGAGTTTTAATTTTCATGGAGGGTTTTGATGCGTCAGTGTCCCACTTTGGAGCACTTTAGCATGCTACATATTCCAACTACACCATAAAGGCATGCCATTTCTTAAAGTCATCCCCAGGTATTTCAAAAGGCATATTTTGAACCTTAGCGTGGGATCATTTTTCCCACTAGCTTGTACCAAGTATAGTGGTAATAAGCATTTTTTCTGTCTTTTTGACACACAAAGTGAGTTTGCACAGTATATTTTGCAAATCTTATGTGTGCTACGGCTGTAAAATACTTGATATGTTGCCCAGCTATGCTGTCTGAATACAGCATGTATGTACCTTTGTCAGTTGTAGGTGCACATTTGAGACACAGACAGTTTTTTTCTAACCTTTGAAGTTTTACGCTGTGTCAATGTTACATTTTGGAGTAGTTTTAAGCTGGTTGGTTATTCAAACTACCCCACAAACACTATTAAAGAATACACCCTGGGGTATTTCAAAAGGCATATTTTGAACCTTAGCGTGGGATCATTTTTTTCTCTAGTTTGTTCCAGGTGTAGTGGTAATGAGCATTTTTTAATGTATGTATTTACTCCTTTAAACTTTACTTTTACTTTTTAAAACTTGTTTTAGAACTTTTTTTTTTACTCATTAAATTTTTTCAACTTTTTTAAAAAAAAACTCTTAAAACTTTACCATTAACCCCTAACTAGCAGCAAGCAGCACTAACAGTAAATTCCCAAATTTCCCATAACTTCCACCCACCCCAGCTAGCAAAATATATAATTTTAAAATTAAATAAATTGAACCCCTGAGGTTAAAAAAATAAAAAAAAAATTAACCTTTAGGGGTTTAAAAAATTTTTTTTAAAAATCATATCACAGTATAATACTGTGATCTGTATTTTGATTACTGTAGGCAGTGATCAACTGGCAGACCAGAGGAGCATTAACCCCGCAATCTGGGGTTAACTTTAGTAAATGACGGAAATTTTCCGTTATGCAACCTTAACGCAAGGACAAGCATGACAGAAAATTTCTGTCTAGCGTCGCAAAAGGGTTCAGAAATTGCAACGTTTACATTGCATGATTAAACACACTGTATCAATGCTTTCCTGTCATGTGACTGCAGCAGGAAGTGCTCCCATTGGCTGTCAGTAGGACAGTACTTCCTGCTTCAATAATGGAGTAAAACTCTGTCATGTGACTTCATTCAGGGCTTTCCTATGGGGCATTTTGATTCATACATAGCACTTGCCTAAAGCTCTATTAGGAACATGTTAGTGTTCGTTAAGGAAAATGTTCCTGATTACATAGGATTAAATACGCACACTGCAAATCATTATTTTATAAATAGAAGCACAAGCCATGTCAGATAAACTTACACTGAAGTTCAGCTGTTCAAATGAAAATAAAAGCACATTGTTATTTTAAGGATAGCCAATTCTTAGGTTACAGAAATTTGAAATACGTAACCTGAAATATTATACACTAAAAGAAAAAAAAAAGAAAATTGTACAAACATGGTTACTTGATCTTTTGTTGATACAATGATGGATTGTGCTAGGGAAAAGTAAGAGTAAAACTCTTATCAGCAAAATCATTTTTTAAATCACGATTATGTGGTTATTATTTGATAGCTTACTTTGAAACACCAATGTCATAATTGGGAATAGGCAGATGTGCCAGAACCTTACACAACAAGGCCCTGAAACGGTTTACATAGTGTGATATATTTAATGCTACAGCAAGAATACAGAATTATGTTGGTTGTACAGAGAAATAAGAAAAGAATTAAAATGTTTTGTTTTTTTTAAAAGTGATCTAACCACTAATAACGGTTATAATGTGCATGTGTCGATCAGGATTTTATTTAGTAATAATAATTGTGGCACTGAGGAAACGTGGCATTCTTTATGATAAATGATTAATAAAAATATATAGTTTTGCTTTAGCAGTAACAGGCTAGCTTAGAAAGATTATTCAATTAATAAACACGTCAATATTTTGGTGTCGTATAGGAACTTTCTCAAGGATGGTAAAAACTGTGCATAAAAAATCTGCAGGCTTGTAGTTTAGCAACACTACATGTATTTTTAATAAGTGCTTTTTATTACACTGTTATGTCAGTCTCAACTAATTGGCTGTCTGAAATCTTATCCTTCAATGCCTGTGTGTGGTCCGCAGAGACATTATCCTCTTCACTCCAAAACAGACATTTCCTACAGGCATGCCTTAATGCGTTACAAAAACAAACAATTTTTAAAGAAAAGGGGGGGAAAAATGAAATTCGGTTTCAAAATGTAACCCACAATTCTTTGTACAAAAAAATTTAAAACACGAGAGAATACTGTATCAATGATATAATATGGTTTTATAAGAAAAAAAAAAAAAATTACGTAACTCGCCAAAATATTAACCACATGCAATTTTTTTTTAAATCAGATGCGAATTCAACATAATTGCTCTGTGCCGCAATCTTTTGGGTGGTCAGATTGGATCAGATCTGTAGTGAAATACGCTTTGTTAGTCCTGCTGTACAGACAGTGTCTGGGTTTAATTAACATATGTATAGCAAAGGCTCTCTCTCAACAGTTAGAAGTTCTCTAGGACAGCAATTAACTAAACTCACCTTAGCTTTATATAAAATACACCAGCTCCTACCCCCCAATACTGCAGGAAATGCACACAGCAGGTACACGCCAACTACAACAACGCTTACCTATGACAACTGCAGGAAATGCACACAGCAGGTACATGCCAACTACAACAACGCTTACCTATGACAACTGGAGGAAATGCACACAGCAGGTACATGCCAACTACAACAACGCTTACCTATGACAACTGGAGGAAATGCACACAGCAGGTACACGCCAACTACAACAACGCTTACCTATGACAACTGCAGGAAATGCACACAGCAGGTACACGCCAACTACAACAACGCTTACCTATGACAACTGGAGGAAATGCACACAGCAGGTACATGCACAATACACCAACTCTTTCACTTTAACTTGAATTAAAGCACACAACAGGTACATGCCAATGCCAAATTAAAAGCTGCAGGGTTCAACTTTCTGTAAATCAATACTGCAAGATTCCACAGGGGAAAATGGAAGATTTAACAAAGATATACACATCCTGTAATGCAATCACAAAGGCAACTGAACCACCGCCATATGGTCTCATTTATGGAAATGTATTATTATGCACACTCGGGAACTCAAATGTAACAAAATATAATTAGTGTTGCTTGATTGTGAATGTAGAGGTAAAAGAAAAAAACTGAAAGTGGAAAAAAAAAATCTTGAAAGAGGGACTAGTACTTCCCATGATTTTTAACGTTATGTTTACTTATTGCCCAAGTTTTGCAAATATGTATTTGCGAGGTATGCAATATACATTTATCTACAGAAAGCTAGATTTTTTCCTGCAACTGGGCACCTCCATCTTAGCTCCTGTCAAATCACTGTTATAAACGCTGTCCTTGGAACTTGGCATAGAGAAAGCAGAGGAGAACTTAAACTAATATTTCTATTTCTCCACCTCCTCTTGGATTGAATTGGATTATAATGTGATTTGCTAAAGCTTTAACAAAAATAAATACAAATGTTAACACTCCCCCCCTCCCAGCCAAAAAAAAACCAAAACAAACAAACCCATAGCATCACAAAAAAAAGAAAAAATATGGGGGAGGGGGGAGGGAGGGCAGAGAAATACTAAAAAACCCAAAACCATGGGGTTAACACTAATTATAGTTGTATTCCAATGTTTTATTCAATGGCGTAATGCAACGGTTCCCCTTTAATGAAATGAATACATGTATCTGATTAACAAAATATGCATTTTTCATTGAAGGTTCATTGGTGCTGCAATGCAGGTCTGCAGATAGGCCTTCATTCATTATCAAGTAACGTAAAGTGAAAATATACACAATGCCCATTCCATGTTTATTTTCCATTCTAAATCCTGAAGTGTACTGCTGTAATCTGTGGCACAAATCCTAGCTTCCTCTGCAGGAAAGGAACAGCCTAAGGATAGCATATTTAGAATTCAAATCCCATCTGAAGCACATGCTAATAGCTTCCATTAATGTTATTCAGAATGTCACCTGATCTACCCAGACACTGCCTTCCATTCTGGATACAAAAGATAGTGGAAGCTTTAAAAAAACACACACTTAACCTTATCATGTGACAATATCAAGTACTGTGGCAATCATCACATATTTCTGAAGGTTTAGTGCATTATTCCCACGTGTCCCTCTTAGTACCCAATGTGATATATTAGGGCAAGAAAACTATTTCGGGAGGTGACGAACGTGTTTTTAGTTAGTTATACGAGACAATACTACTTTCTACTCAAGGACATGTAGTATGTGTGGTGTATTGCCTCCATACATAGTGTATGATTGACTAGGATTATGGAGAAACAATAGAAGACTAGAACTCTTAATAGTGGTATAAATCTATTAATGCAAGAAAGAATATCTTATTAAGAACACTTTAACATTACAATTTTAGTGGCAATTTACAATTGTTTGCCATTAATCACACTTAAATTGAATATATATAAAACAGTTGCTATTCTACTTTTATCAAGGTGGAATTGGCCGGTTTTAACTGATAGGAAAAGAAGGCAAGATATATTGTTCGAAAAAAATTTAATTGTTAAGACTGATACAGGATTTAGAACATTGCATGACTAAAACACACACACACACACGCGTGTGTGTGTGTGTTTTAGTCATGCAATGTTCTAAATCCTGTATCAGTCTTAACAATTCAATTTTTGTGTGTGTGTGTGTGTTTTAGTCATGCAATGTTCTAAATCCTGTATCAGTCTTAACAATTCAATTTTTGTGTGTGTGTGTGTGTGTGTGTGTTTTAGTCATGCAATGTTCTAAATCCTGTATCAGTCTTAACAATTCAATTTTTGTGCGTGTGTGTGTGTGTTTTAGTCATGCAATGTTCTAAATCCTATATCAGTCTTAACAATTCAATTTTTGTGCGTGTGTGTGTGTGTTTTAGTCATGCAATGTTCTAAATCCTATATCAGTCTTAACAATTCAATTTGTGTGTGTGTGTGTGTGTGTGTCTGTGTGTGTGTGTGTTTTAGTCATGCAATGTTCTAAATCCTGTATCAGTCTTAACAATTCAATTTTTTTCGAACAATATATCTTGCCTTCTTTTCCTATCAGTTAAAACCGGCCAATTCCACCTTGATAAAAGTAGAATAGCAACTGTTAATGGATCCTGTTTTCTAAAGATATTAATTATCAAATGTAAACATACCACTAGCTATATCTTGTAAGTGGCATCTATGTTTTAATCACAAATGTAAAATATACACATCTGATTCTCAATTGCAGATACATTTTTTCCTAATAATGTGGGAGTTTGAAACTTTGTGAAAGAGTCGAACCACATGTTGAACGAAAACAGATCACATTTAATAAGCAAAAGGCATCTGACATTCTGAAATAATCTCAGAGCATTTAGGTCTTCTCAGCAATGCTATTTGGAAATAAAATGTTAACATCACGATAATTATATTTACACTTCGCTACTCCCTTCAGAGATGAATGTTGGTGCAAGGTCAATCTCTTCCATAAAAGGTCACCAGTCTGGTTAGCATATTTTTACAATTATACATGGATGCTCTGTGACTCCTTTATCCGGGGTAATTTTGAAACCCAAATTATAATGATTGCATTCCGCATAATTCCTTCAGCCAGGATATGAGGGGAGCCACCCTGCATATTTCTGTGCCGTGATTCAAGAACACTGCACAAAAAGAGAGTATATCGTCCAGTAAGATAGGAAGATTTTGTAAGGGTCAACCGGAATTTCACTGAAAAGACAACAAAGTCATAATAACAAAGTGAGCCCTATTGACAAAATGTATGCAATATTCCAGTATTTGCAGCCAAGTGAAATTTCACAGAAATTAAAAGATGCATACTTTATAGACATGGGGAGGAAAACAAACAAACAAAAAAAATAGTTAAAAATGAAATAAAAATAAAATAAAAAATTAATTAATGGCCGACAACTACATCAAGATCCATCATTTTCACAATATGCACATATCAATTTATCTTAATCCAGCACTGGGCTCCCTTTGCGCTGGTGACCTCTCCTCCCCCTGCTGACGACAGTTCCCAAGTGGAGCAGAATGCGCGGCAGGAGCCGCACGCATTCATACCGCCCATAGGAAAGCATTATTCAATGCTTTCCTATGGGGATCTGAACTCACACTGCGTGAGTTCAATGTGATTTTCACACGGAGAATCGCGGAAGCGGCTTTCAGGGACACAGCCACTAGAGGCTGGATTAGCCCTGCAGTGTAAAAGCGAAACTGCTATGGTTTTAGCTGCAGGGTTAAAACTAGGGGGACCTGCTGAAAACATTTCACTCAGACCACTTCATTGAGCTGAAGTGGTCTGGGTGCCTATAGTGATCGTTTAAGTACTCTGTAGATTTATTTAAGACTATTTGCAGGTTACACAAGTGGAGAAAGAAAATGACGAGATCACGGATTACAGTTCAACTAGATTATTCACTAAACTGTGAAGTGCTGGTAATTGAAAGAGAATACAAATAACCCATTTCTAAAGTTAGACTAGACTACCCAAGCTGAAAAAACCATACATAGCCAACTTGGAAGAGCTTCAAATTCAGCCATTTTGACTTAGTCAAATTTCTTTTGCTTTCCTGTTAATGCACAATTTGAAATTATCAGTGTTGTCTTAAGTAAGAGAATGGCAGCTTTAAGAGAACATAAATAAATTCACTATTTTTCATACTTGTATCACAAAATGTTGTTGAAATTCTTCAAAAAATGTCCAACCTCGATCATTCTTTGATCTCAATCATTGGAAAACAATAAAAGACATTTCTGGGCCATTTATAGTGAACTTTATAAAAAAAAAAATAAAAAAAAAGTTAATTCTCTGAGCAAATACAAAACACGAATAAACTGCCTTTGTAGGGTCCAACAGATATTTTACATGGAAGATACAAAAGAAGTGATGGTGTGCAATAATTAATAAAATACTCACTATGGGTGTCTTTAAAGGATAAAACCTCTATGCAATATATAATACAATTAACAATCAGCATCCGTGTCACAAACCTAGGTGCATTAATATTAAAAATTGGTGCAAAAAGTGGTTTATGTGACCAACAAAGTGAGATTATTGTGTCCAAATTTCATTACCGGGATTTGTTTGTTGGTTACTTGCTGCACTTATTAGATCTATTGTATTTTGCGCCATTCTATTTATTTAGGTTTATACTGTTTACATGGAAGATGTCAATTGAGGGAATTAAAGCAACATTCATAAAGAACGTTTCAACCCACAGAGAATTTAGAACTTTGGTTTGTTTTTTACATTGATAAAGGTCTCAAGAAAAGAACAAAAAAAAAATCCATTGCATTACTTTCTATAAGTTATATTCCTGTACACAGGAGGGAATTTATTAAAGTGCTCTGTTCTAAAGAGTGGACTTCAAGTACAAATAAAACCAGTAGGAACAGCTAACATTTGGTGACTTCACATTTTTCATAGTTTTTGCACCACTTTTGATCATATTCTCCTAAAAACTGTATTACAGGCTGGCATGGATTGGGTACCAAGTGTGATCAACAATAAACCCAGCGGTCAAGAGAACCAGTAGGGACTTCAAAATAACACATGATACAGATTTTCACACATTGATACAATCCAGTACCTTTTAAATGATTGTGTTCTTTTACTGAATGTGATACCGCAGTAGGTAAGTTCTACAGAGTTTCTATGAGGGATAGGTATAGCTTGGCGTTAACCTGAAGAATGGATACGAACAATAGTATCTTTGTAATAGCTCCATTAGTCCTGACGGGGATCACCTTAACAAGGTTATTATTAACAACAAGTTACACCGTGGACTATATAAACCGGATAAACAGATCAAAAAGTAAATTATTACAAGCAAATGTAGTTGCATGGAAACAGAGGGGAAACAAAGACTCGGCTTAAACGTGCTTGCAATTTTTAATCTCAAAAATATGAATATTTTTCAGGACCTCTGTCTAACCTCGGGCCGCTAGGCAGTTCCCTAGGGTCGCCTTATATTTAATCCTGTTCTGCTGTGACATGTGCATGTCTGGGTTCTAAATGTGCTAAAATGTGTATTTGCTAGTCATTTAGCTGCTGACTGGATAGACTGGCAGATATTGTAAAAATTAAATGTTGTAACGTGGGTTTATGGTTTGCAAAACACACGCATGGCCAAGCTATGGCTACAGCAACATTGGAGAGTTTCCCCAATTCAGCTGTTGTGGACTATGGTAGCGTTTCTATGTTGCTTAGAAATTAATTTAACTAGTAAGTTAAGCAAATGTGCATGAATTCCCTTTTTCAACACTTCCAAAAATAAATAGCATAGGTGAGTGTGAACACTGGTACAAGCCAAGTTTAGAAATTCAGCCTACGTTAAAGGTGCAGCACAAGAAAACCCACTCACACAGACGTTTGCATGGATATTAAAAACTGTCTGTTACTAGTATGTGGCAAACAATACTGAACAGGTCATTGTTGACGAACGTTGACACATGAAACAGGCAGGAATGTAATGCCATAGAGTTCCACTGTATACAATGCTTCCACTTACTGTAAGGACACACAAATGACTATCATTTCAACTATTTATTCAGCTTATTAACAGGGAGCACCATGAAATTATCCTGACCCTTTCTCCACTGATACAACCACAGCACCAGAGCTCCAGTGAAGAGACAGAGCAGAAGGCAATGTTTGCCTCTGCTGTGGTCACATGGAGATGTAGGGACCAAGACAATAGGGAATTGCAGTGACACACAAAGGACATTGGTGGGGTTAAGAGGTAGACAACAAACAGGGGACCTAATGCCAAGGTGGTCAAATGTAATCACTGGGATAGATTAGAGGCCACAACTAGGAGACTCAGGGGAGAAAGATGAGGCAGAAGGACGCAACTAGGACAAAAATACAGAAGGGAAACTTGAATAGGGAAGGGATATGAAGAGAGTGGTAGGAGGGGCAAGGGGTGGAGAAACAAGTACACAGGTATAAAAGGTAGAGAGGCATTGGTAGAGGTGAGGGAAACATACAAATAATACATACCTCATTCATAACATACTACAAACAAGCCATCTAAACTGACATGCCACACAAATAAGACTACAGAAAAGGGTTAACAGTGAAGGACTGCACACTTGAATCCTGCTATACTCTGTACAAATATATCGTAACACAAAATGTCTGCCAGTGCAGAAACCCTGACAATGGAAAATTAGGAAGTAAAAATTCCCCGTTTTTGTAAAACTAAATTAACATGGTTTGACGAAAGAAAAGAAAAATCATGAATGGACTGTATCCATAACTTCCCTGTCCCTTACCTACTACAATAACTCTTTGTAGCTATGATACTTGGAATGTCACTTTAAATTTAAATTTTTTGCAGCTACACGGGCTCCCAACAGATGTATTTATGCCAGGCACAACTGAAGAATATATCTATTCTATATATTTTTTTTTCTTAAGGCTTCTGTAACAACTTTTCGACAGACATTTTCAATATGAAAAGAAGTTAGAGGAGTATTGTTACTAAAATAAAGTCCGAATATATGGATTAACATTTGGTAAAAATCTTTAGTTCAGCTGTACGTCACCCCTGCGACTGTGACATGGATCTCTGTGGGAAATTGGTGGAGTTCCTCTATACTACTGTATTGCATGCTATGTTAAGTATCACTGCAAAGTGTGAGCCAATTTCCTTATTTATCAGAACACACAGCACAATAGAACACTGGAGCTTTTTACAGCCGCTCCTCAGCTGAATACACAAGAACAAACGCTGTGATCGGGACAGAGCTGCCTGTCTTACTGCAATTAGATTTAGATTTAACCCATCATAAAATAAGCCTCCATAATCAGGGAACTGACAAGTACTCTCAAAAAACAAATTAATGTATGCCTTTCATGTCAAACATAACCTGTGACACAGAGAAGGATTAAGATCCCGCAAGGTCCTAGGCAGGTGAGCAGTGCCCCCTTCATTCTTCACATAGGGATGGTTAATGGAGCCAAACAAATCCATGGTTTCAGGACCTCTGTCTAACCTCGGGCTGCTAGGCAGTTCCCTAGGGTCGCCTTATATTTAATCCTGTTCTGCTGTGACATGTGCATGTCTAGGTTCTAAATGTGCTAAAATGTGTATTTGCTAGTCATTTAGCTGCTTACTGGATAGACTGGCAGAAATTGTAAAAATTAAATGTTGTAATGTGGGTTTATGGTTTGCAAAACACATGCATGGCCAAGCTATGGCTACGTCAACATTGGAGAGTTTTTCCAATTCAGCTATTGTGGACTATGGTTTTATTTTCACTTCACTACAATTTTAGTATATAAACTCCACAGTGGTACTTGCAGTTCATGGTCTAGCTAGAATTAGCCTGCACGTTTCCTAGGGTTTTTTTTTGTAATCTGTCCCAGAATGCTTTGCTCCCATATTTCTCTCGAAAGTTGAAATAACTAGAAACAAAACATTTTTTTCCTTTCTTATGTGGTTCCAAATATCTTCTCAGGGAACCTTTAACAATACCTGAACAGTATCTTTTTCCAGCTCCCACCACCTCTATGGCCTCTAATTCTGCACCTTACTTTCCATTGCCAATTTCAAACAGGAGGTGGGCAGAGTAGCGTTCCCCTGTAGAACTCCCCATACAGAGAATTGTCTGTCAGATAATATGAAACCTGCCACCTGAAATTGTCTACATCATCTGCATTCAAACAAAAAGCATCTGCCCTCATCGTTAATTTATAACAGTATTGTATAGGTCTTCTATTATGTGCATATTGTGCGCCACAGGACATAAAGACAAGCCAAATCTCACGTGCCCTTATTGGTAAAACATTTTATACATAAACTGGATTCTGGGGAAGTCATATATGCATTCAATCACAAAGTTAAAAAGGAGGGGAGAGTTTAAAAAAAAAAAAACAAGACTGATGTTAGCAACAACAAAAGTCATTACACATCTAAAAAAAATAAAAATGTTTGCATAAGTAAACCACAAGGCGAACATTTTTATGCTGGTTCAACCTTTGGTCACTCCGTCCCATTTTACAGCACCTAAACGACAAACTACTATAAAAATGTACCATTCTTTTAAAAGAGCACTTTATAGTGTCCTCCTGCCGCTGTGCTCCTCTTCGTTGCTTCAATTAAAAATAACCCTATCCCAGCGCCAATGTCCCATGTTGCTGGCTCCATGTCCTCAGACGTCAGTGCAAGGTGGACACCTGATTCGCAGTGAATGCTTTCCTATGGGATTTCGCAAAACACTGGACATTCTCATGCAAAAGCACTGTTTCAAGGACTTAAACACTGCGAAAAGTCAGGAAGTGCCTCTAGTGGCTGTCTGCCCTTTAATAACTTAATGTAAACATTGCAGTTTCTTTGAAAATCAATAAGATGAAGTGTTCTGGGCGCCTATAGTTTATAGTTTCCTTTTAAGTAAACATCTAGCATTTAACAGTAGCTATACAGCATTACTTGCTTAAATCAGGTAATAAAGGACTAATTAAACCACAAAGGGCAAACAGAGTTGCAAAACACAAACAGAACAAATCCACTGATCCAGACAATATCTTTATTTACACTAGGTTTGGTTCATACCTCTGTAGTGCAGAGATAGCATACTAAAGTTAATACATGGCTTTGTCATGTTAAATCCTCCACAAAACACATAAAATACACTATCAGGGTTAGTCACAAACATTATTTGTTGGGAATTAACCAGGGAATTGAAAAATGTAGGCCATAATCGATGAATCAGAATCTCACATTTTGGCATAAATTTGCACTTACCTGATCAATTATTTGCAATTCACCTATGTTGGCCTAAACTTTACAAATCCATGGTCAGTTCATGATTTTGTGAATAATCGTTTAAGGGACATGCCAAAATAAGGAAATACAACACCACCAAAAAAAATACAGTCACTCACCTAGTAGAACTTTCTTCAAACAACAACATACATGCAGGTTTTATTAACCTAAACATATTGGGATTAAAAATGAAATAAAAATTACTAGGTCCATTCACTCTCACAAACTTCCATTGGCCCAAAGTCATGCAGTAGTGTTACCCCTCTCTCATTTTATTTCATCCACTATCACGATACAAAGTTTTGTTTAGATACTGACTCATAGAAACAACCCATTCCCAATGAGATAAACACAAAAACCATCCATTTTTCTTTTAACTGGAAGTAGTACAATAATGAATTATTACTTACTCAACGCATGAAAGTGTGTCTAAATTACTATGTAATTATGGATGTTGGGCAAATCTTGGCAAATCAACTGCTTCCCCGTAGAGTAGCATTGAAGGCCCTGCTACACATGAGTGGACATCTCTGCACTGCACCAACGGGATTCTCGTAATAGAAAAGCATTATAATGCTTCCCTATAGGAGACTAAGCTGCAGTTGACATTGAATTAAATGCCAAATGGAATCATTGCCATTTGTCACAGTGAAGAATCAGCATCTAGAATCAAACCCATTATGTTATAGAGTGTCCTTTTAAGCAGTCACAAGTTATATAAAAAAATATAATTGACTCAATTCTACTTTTTAAATGTTTTTACATATATCCATCTGGAATGGCTGCATGACGTTATTCAATAGGGTTAACAAATGAACACATCTTATAAAGAGTTGCGATGGCGAAATATTGTCAAACAAAATAATTAATCTACTGTGATAGCTGCCAAAACAAAAGAACATTGTGTTAACATATGGTAACAAAGCATCAACATTTGTCATATACTCAGCTTACATATTTGGTGTGTGATTATAAAAAAGGTAATTGTATTTATGTACCAATTTATATATAATTCATTAGAAATAATAAAAAAAAAATTTTAAAAAAATTTTAAAAAAAAGTTACCCAACTTTTAAATAGTCAATTGGAACACTAGTGGGTCTGCCTACATATCGCTCCTTATAACCAAAAGGCAGCTCAAATTATCACATAGGATAATTTGAATTGATCTTTAAGTTAATAGACATAGCTGCAGTCAATAAAGATTTAGCATTGGTATGGCTATTCCTGAAAGAGGGGAGAAAGCCCGGATTGACAGTTCTTGTGAACAGTCTATAGCCGCAGTGATATACAGAGAATTCTACATGCTTATTGTTGCTACTGTAAAAAAACAAAAAAAAAACACACACCTTTCCCTTATACTAAATCTCCTTTCTTCCAGTCTAAATGCGTGACCATAACCCCTGTCAGGCGCCGTTTTTCTTAATTAAAACAGATTTAAATTTGTTAATATTTATTCATAACTAAATTATTCCATTCCTTTTATCTAAATTATTCCATTCCTTTTATTGATTTTGCGGCACGTCTACATTTTTAGTGGCATTATTTCCTTTTTCAGAAGAGTTGCCCAAAGGACCACATACAAGGTGTGGTCTTACCTGTGATTTATAAAGAGGCAAAAAAAATAAAAAAATATTTTCATCCTGAGAATGAATGCCCCTATTTATACATGACAAAAAAAAAAAAAAAAAAACTTTACTGACCTTAGCAACTGCTGATTCACATTGCATATTGTTTCCTAGTCTGTTGTCTATAACAATTCCCAAATCCTTCTCGTGTGCTATCCCTAATTCACTACCATTTAGGGTGTAAGTTGCTTGTGCATTCTTTACCCCAAAGTGCATAACTTTGCATTTTTCTACATTAAATTTCATCTGCCATTTGTGCCCCAATCTATCTAAATCCCCTTTGCAGTAAAGCAATATCCTGCTCATATTCTATTACTTTACAAGTAACAGATTACAATGGTCACCACTAGAATGTATTAGCAGATGACAATGGAACAACATGTTTCCCACTGTCTAGTGAGTAGAGAACACAAGTGTCAGCTACCACTTTGACCAATTCATCCTAAAAACATGAAAAATCACTTTGAATTCCCAACAATGCACATTAAGTGAACAACCCTGTTTGAATCCTTGGCAAATCACACTTTAGTGAATAACTGGATAAGGGTTAGTAAAGCAACACTTTAGTGTTAGGAATACAAAGCTGTATTCGTATTACTACAATGTCCTTTTGCCCCCGTCCCCCTTTGAGAGGGTTAATTAAATGAAAGTTCACTTGGTGATGTGTCCATTTCCACCTCCACAGATGTCGGTACGAGGGGGGAACCGAATGCGTTTCGCACACGCATTATGCCTTCCCCACAGGAAAGCATTGAATCAATTTTCAAGTTACTGTACGTCCTCATGCACAGCATCCAGTGTTGCTTCACGGAGTTCACGGTTGTTTCACAGCGTCTCTAGAGACTGTCTGGTAAACAGCCACTAGAAGCAGTCATAACCCTTCAAAGAAAACACTGCAGTTTCTATAAAACTACACAGTGTTTTTACATTGCAGGATAAGGGGGACAGGGACATTGCACCAAGACCACTTCAATGAGATGCGTGCCTGAAGTGTCCTTTTAATAATGTGTGAATTTTTGAGAACTGGCTTTAAATTCCTCCTTGAGTGAACAACCCATGTCTTAAATCAAATATAGTTCACTAAATTATTTAATTGAATAAATCAGTGTGGACATCTTGAATTTAGGTAATTAGGTAAGATTGGTAAATTGGTGGAAAATCTTGTTTTTTCACTTAGTAAAAACAAAGTGATACAAATGCCTACTTTAGTTTGTATATAATGTATTGAGTTGTAATATTATGCATGGAGCTGTTGCACACCCTTGGGATATTCTGAATAATACCCTTTTGGGGGCTACATAGAAATGGAAATCCAGGTGGGTATTTTTTAAAAAGGAAAGCACACAGTGGGGGGTACCCCACTGGCTTATATGATGCAATTCAGATTTAAAAAAAAAAAAAAACACCCAGGTAGAAGAATATGTTAGTTATTGCTACTACTTTGTAAAAATTATTTTAAATCTGTGCATTTGACTTGGAATTTGGAGCTTAGTCCAAGTGCAATGATGGATTGGTGGTTGTCCTTCAGAAAAAAGGTTTAAATGGATAAAAAAAACACAGCACATATTATACACTATATATACACACACACACACACACACACACACACACACACATTTTTTGTTACTGCTGATTAAATAAAAGGTTTGTTGAACAATGAGATCATTGCTTTATTTCTAACCCCAGGTTCTCAATTACAGAAAAAAATGCCAAGTGTAATACAGAACTGATAACGATATTATAATGTATATTTTATGGCGACTAAGGTGCATTAGCACTCAAAAGATTAAGAGCGGATAAAGCAACAGATCTGTACAATGTCTGTTTCACGTCATGCGTGAAGCTATATGGAGTTAGTGATCCAAGTACAGCTTGCACTATGTATTTAAAAAAAAAAAAAAAAAAAACTGGTGCAAAGAAAGTTGAAGAAGTGGATAAATCATCATAGAACATTGTCATTTGCTTGCTTTGCTTTTACAATATGACCTTTGGAGACCCTGATGATATAAGTATCTGGAACCATCGACAGAAACATTGCATTTATTGCTCCCCATTTAAACCTTCGGACCCAAAAATCACTCCATATAAAATTTGTTTCTATGAGATATTCAAGAAAGACCCAAACTTTGTACCAGTGACAGATTGCCATGTGGTTTCTACATTCACAGGCTGCCAAACAAACACCTTATTACCATAACTTGATAGATATATTTGTGGAAATGAAGCTTTATAAAAACTATAAAAAAAAAAACCCTGTTGCACAAAAGAGCAGATGTGCATTAAAGTCTATGTTAACAAGACTTCCATTGTTGAAAATTGGATATATACATACACACACACACACATTACCGTGGTTATAAACAAATTACAGTTTTATCATCATCTTTAAAAATAAACATGTTCTCTTGATTTACTACTATGATCCGTATATATCTTGAATAGAAGGATATAGCATTAGTCTGTGCTGCCTTTGTGATAAACAGTGAAGTGATAAAATGGCTCAATAACATAATGAAGGTTTGCATGGAGATAATGTAAATATAAACCTGGCATTCATTAATTAGCAAAAAATGGGCCTTTATTTAGTTTATTTTTAATAGAAAAGCTACACATCTTCTGATGGTAGATTTTAGTTTTTTTTTTTTTTACATAATCCAAAAACCATTTAAAAAAATAAAAAAATAAAACTAGTACACCCAATTTCTTATTTAGCATTGAATATTATGAGCCTTAGTTATTTACTGAACAGAGATACTACTGATCCAACTCCAGAACAGTCTATCCTTCACCTCATAAAATATCCATCACAATGTGTTGTAGATGAGCAATAGCAGCCTTATGATAACAGTTACTGCTATATTACTAGCCGGGTATCAGATCAGATTGCTCTGAAACCCTAGAGACCCATGGATTTTATTAGAGGATTAATCCGTTTGATACAGAGCCCACTTACAAGAAAGACTCCATTACACACCATCCATTCCAGTTAAGCCCTTTGAAATAACAGTCAATTCCCCTTTAAATCCTTGTAATCCAGGCAAGTCATTTGTTATAGAAAGGTTAGTGTTTATTCCAGGTCTACACGGATACTTCCAAATCCTAAGCAAGACAAACAAGGACCCTCATCTTGCCCCCAGCACAGCACCTCTAAACAATGACTACAAACAAACACTGTAAACTATCATTTCCCACAGCACAAGAGAAATTATAGTAGACAGTAAAAACTTAAAACATGTAAAAGATAAACTTAAAGATCTATGTATAGAAGATCTATTTCTTTGCAAGTTTGATAATACATAAAAAAGGGATTACACATTGTTATCAAGAGCCAAAAACAAAATTGCATTACACCATGAGCATTGGATCAACAAGAATTACATCCAAAGGGAATATATTTTAAGACATTTAGCCACTGGCACTCAGAGACTCGAAAATCAAATAACCATTGGGACTCTACAGGGGTCACCAAACATGTAGCCAGGGACACTCAATGGGGGTTCTCAAAGAATGTAGCCTCTGGCAACCATATGACGTTCCACTGATAAATGTACACACAGATACTTTGAGAGACTCACAAAAAAGTAGCCATTGTCACTCTAGCTAGTGGCAATCTATTGGGAACCCACCAAGTTATGGAGAAGTAGCTTGCTGCAATGATCTCAATAAGAAATGTAACTGGTGGGCAACAAAAGGGATTTAACTGTATCTATAGCCAGACAGAGCAAAGACAACCATATATAACAGAAAGATTAAGCCATAGCATTAACACTATTCCAGAAACAAGGGGCTCACACGTGTGCTATAGTGTCTGTGTGTCAATATACCAGAAACACATGCCAAACATATTAAAAAATAAATTTAAAAAAGCCACAAATAGCAGACCAGATAAAAACATGTAACCAATTCTACCAGATTCAGAGCTCCTAGCAACAAGCGGTTACCCATCTACCGGGTTAATGAATTAATATTAAAGTTAATAAATGCAATGTTACCATAGTAGCCCTGCCTCCACATTCACATCAGGGTCTCCCCATCTACACCAATATCTACTCACTCATGCCAGGGGTCTCCTCATACAGACCAGGGTCTACTCACTCACACCAGTGGTCTCTGAATCCAGGTCAGTATCTACTCACTCCCACCTGCTCACTCCAGTGTCCACTCACTCTCAGAGCAGCAGTTGTTCACTCAGTGTGTACTCACCCAGTGTCCACTCACTCTCAGAGCAGCACTTGCTCACTCACTCAGTGTGTACTCACCCAGTGTCCATTCACTCTCAGAGCAGCACTTGCTCACTCACTCAGTGTGTACTCACCCAGTGTCCACTCACTCACAGAGCAGCACTTGCTCACTCACTCAGTGTGTACTCACCCAGTGTCCACTCACTCAGTGTGTACTCACCCAGTGTCCACTCACCCAGTGTCCACTCACCCAGTGTCCACTCACCCAGTGTCCACTCACCCAGTGTCCACTCACCCAGTGTCCACTCACTCAGTGTGTAATCACCCAGTGTCCACTCAATCACTCAGTGTGTACTCACCCAGTGCAGTGATGAGGAATCCCCTGGGGGGTCTCAGGGCTCTCCTGACCCAGGCATCTCTCAGCACCTCCAGGCTGGTACTCTGCCCCTGGACCAGCAGCACCCAGCTCTCCAGCCAGCCCTGGTAGCACACCTCGGACACGGCCCGGACCAGCCTCTGGTTCCAGAAACACCGAGCATTGGCCGCCTGGAAGTCCTGGAAGACCTGCCTGCCCCTCTCCTCGTCCCCATGGCCGCCTCTCTCCTCGGCCAGCCTGCACAGCACCAAGGCCATGGAGCTGGGGGCCAGCTGGACCACCCTGTCCCGGGACATCCTGCTCCTAGCGCCCGTCCGCTCCGTACATGGGATCGTGAATAGCGAGCGCCGCGCAGAGTATCGCTTACACTGCAGCCCGGGTTACAGAACGTGTCAATCATCCTCGGGCCGGCCAATGGGGAGCGGGGGCGGGGCCAAGCTGAACACCTTGGGCTGTGCAGGGATGAAGTGTGGGGACAGGAGGTGGGAGGTGTAATGGGGGGGCTCCTTGTGTGGGACTGGCAGGGAGAGAGTGGTGGAGGAAGGTCTATCAGAGGGAAGGTTACAGTCTGCCTCCATGCATGTGTGTACACAAATTATATATATATATTTTTCATTTATTCCTTTTTACTTCTTGTTTGGAATGCCAAATAGCCATTAACATACACATAAATAAAAACTAAAACTATGCCAAGAATTGGTTAATTACCTCCCCACACCCCTATGTTTATTATAGTGCAATATGATTGTGGGAGCAGGAAGTAGTAGGCATCACATGGCACATTATTTATTAATTTAAAGGGACACTCCACTGCCCAAATACAATAAAAACACTGTTTAGTAGATTTGCCAATATGGAAACATGCATGCATTTAAAAATAATTATGCATTTTTTTCACTGAGGTTATATCTACAAACAGCTTTCAAAAACGGCAGATCTCTTTTCTAAAGCCTTTACAAGCCTTCTGCATCTTACCCAGCCCAGCCTTTATGTGGCTGTCCAATAATAGCTTTAAAAATACAGCTCAATGTGAAAGCTAAAGTGCTTTAAGGGTCTGGAGTGTCCCTTTAAAAAGTTTTGGTTAAAAAAACAACAAAACACATTTATTAGCCTTGTGCTCAAATTCCCAGCATTGCTCCACAGATAAATTGTTAATTGCTCTAGTATTTAAGTCCTTTTACAGGCCAGCTACCTACTTTAGGGTCAATTACTTTGTAGAGATTTATAAGGGGGGGAAAAAAAGACACTTTTCAGATATTTTTGTTAAACTCCCACTGGAATCAAAATATAATCCTAATGACAAAATAACATTTTGTCTAAAACAGCTGGTATGATAAGTTTTAGCCTTTGTCATTTGGATTTCAATTGACTATAATTCAGAACTGGGTGGATAATCAATTCAAGTGAGAATTCAAAGGTAATTTTATATTTAATGCCAAAACACTCAACTTACAAGGCAGACGTGATGCTATTTTTCCAGCTCGGCACAGAAGGCAAACAAATCTGGATACACTGGGTCCGCTGAGCACCCAAGACCCACTTCGCAAAGCATGAGGACTACGGAGATGCCATTTGGAACACCAAGAATATTCTTCAGTAGGATGACCAATCACCATAAATAAATTACTGTTCTATCAGACAGCAAGTTGAACTTTAACTAATGAAAACAGAAAATGCTCATTCTATAAACAAATGTACAATTTACCTATTTTCTACCCCTCTCTTGTTTTTGGGTATGATCATGACTGTCAGACATAACACAAAGTCACCATTATGGTGGAATTGCATTATAGACACAAATATTGAGCAATAACGGTTATTCTGAAGAATATGAGTAGACACTTTGTCTTTTGGAAGAGATCTGGTCCTTGTCCATTACATATTATGCTATTTTTTTACTTTTTCTTTTTTTATATACGGTTGCTAACGTCATTACATCTTCCAACCAAAATATAAATATTCATAAGTTGCGTTTTCTAACACGAAATTGTTTTACTTTTGCGCATACACATTTTTCTTCTTTTTATTTGTCTTATTCGGTGTTTACAAGCATTTTTTGAAGCACTAATCACTGTTTGGTTGATATTAGCGACCTTTATTTCACCTTAATATTTTGCACACTTTTTTTTCTTTTGTCTCTGTTTGTTGTTGTTATGATTGAATGAATCAGTGAATTTATCTCAAATAAAACAATGATCCCAGACAGATGGCTGTTTAAAGTATTATACTTATCTGCAGTTTTGGTGATTACAAGTGAAAAAAAAATTGGAAACAAAGAAAGTACCCAGCATGATTAGAGAATCTATCTTTAAGGATTGACAAACAGTGGTATAACGCAGAGATTAGATAAACACTCAATTAGCATGTGTTTATGTAGTAGGTGCTTAAAGAAAATACTGATGTCTAACTGGTTTGAAATATGTCGTTCAGCTGTTACAAGATGTCAGTTACGATGTCAAGGAGGCCATGGCTTTTATTTATATTCATGATTATAGACTGTTAATTGAGTAACACCACAGAGTGTTAGAATGTTGGAATATTCTATTGAAGTGAAAGAGTACTGACCTACAAATCAGGTCATTATTTTAATCATCTGTTTGTCTCCCCATAATCCCTATCCGTTATCTGAATTCATCAGCTGTCTCTTTTTGTCAAGTGTATTTATGGATTGTAATTTACACTAAATCACAGCTGTGTCTGTTGTAATCTGACTTTTTGTTTAAATTAAACTCCAAATACATGTAGCAGTTCTACATACAATTTATGTGTCCTTTGACATAAAACACACTTTGCTGCTAGGGTATGACGGGAGTGAATGTATAGTAAAATGAGAACACAGATTATGGGTTTAAGACCGCAAACAGCTTCTTATTTACGTGGTATAGTACAAAAAAGAATCTATACTTCATGTTGTTAAAGGTGCTAGAAAATATATAAGTTTAGCAAAAATCTGTTTAACCATATATGCCTCTCAACTATCAATCTATTGTCCATATTGAAAAAGAAGATTTAAAGTCTGACTCCATCTGACAGATTATTCACTAAACTGTAAATTATAGGAAAGTGAAAGAACTATCACTAGGCCAAAATGGAAAAACTGGAAGCAACTTATGTTTTAAGCTTGGCTGGTTTTGCTTAAAATGCACAAATCGTAGACAATAACACACATGAGATTATTAAAAATAATAAATATATATATCAGGAAGACTGAATAGATTTTACTACAGATCTGGCCAACCTCTGCCATCTTATAAAGTGTAGATTTTAAAACTGTCTGGCAGAGGTTACAGCCCCAGTGTTTTTATGTCTTCTGAAGTAGTTTTGCTCTTAAAGTAACACACTCCAGGGTGGCACCATAGCAATGTCAGAATTAAGTTGTTATGGTGCCAGGGACCTCTAGGGGTTAAACCACTTATGAATGGCTTCATTAAAAAATCTTAAATCCAGTGCAGTTTAATTGTGCCCTTGTCCTTCCACTTCTGTGAGATTCTTGCAAAAGGAAGCCTCAGACTGAACGCCACATGAAAAACACCATAGGTCCTCAAGCCTTTTTGTGAACTGGGACCGACTGCTTGGCTTAGACTTTCTCAGCCAATCGGCAGCACCTCTGTCCGAGGATTCCTCTTTCAACAATTTCAGAGAAGTGAAAGGACATGGAAAGAGCTAAATGGCGCTACATTCATCACTTTGAGGTTAAAATGTTGGACAGTGTAACTACTAAAGGTAAGCCAGCACCAGGGACCTTCTGGCTGGCACTATAACATCTTTGTTCCAATTGAGTTTTTATGTTGCCAGGAGTGTTCCTTTAAGAAGTCCAAAAGATCTGCCATTTTCACTGCCAACCTTGCTGCATTGTGCTATAGTGTAGGCACTGGCAGGTATTGCTCAATACTCAGCAAGGAACAAGAATGTTTGCAGCTGAATGCTATAGGGCAGGTTTCTGCAACCTATGGCACGTAGACCATGCATGGCACTCAAGGCTGCCAGAGCCAGACTCTGACCTCTCAGGAGTCCCAGTGGGACTTGAGATATCTGTTAGTTAAACCTGCAGGTTGTAAGGGACAATACCCCACATACACACAAATACAACACTTCAAAGCAACTGCAGCACTCATAAATAACACAAACAGAATATGACAACATACACACCTCAATTTAAAATAACAGTACCGGCACGCCGAGATCTTGTTTTGACACACTACTACTGAAAGGTTGACTACCCGTGCTCTAGGGTATTATGTTTGAGTGAAACTGTAACTTTACAGGTGAGGCTGTGTACTGTAATATATACCCTGTACAATGAAAATATTCTCAAATTATTTCGTTTATTATTATTATTATTTTTAATCGCAGCATTTAAGAACAGCTGGATATCGTTATCGTTATTGTATCTCCCCTGCCACATTTACCTTTCCTGTCATTTGTGAGACAGTTTCTATATTACATCTGCCATAGCTCTATGGTCTAGCTCAGTGCTCGGCAACCTCCAGCACTTCAGCTGTTGTGAATTACATCCTCCATAATGCTCTTACAGCCATAAGGCAGATTATGTAGGCCACAACATCTGGAGAGTTGCAGGTTGCCTAGCTCTGCTTTACCTATAGTAACCTATAGCTATACCTTTACACACACATATATATATATGTGTATACACATCTGTGTTTATATATCTGTATATATCTGTGGATCAAACACCCTGAAGAAAGTCCTAGATGCAGGACTGAAACGTTGATCTTTTAATGTATACCCAATAAATGTAAGTTTTAACCCCTTAACGCCGTTACGGCGTTCTATGCCGTCGCGGCTTTAAAGGGCTTTAATGCCGTTGCGGCCACATAGAACGCCCTCGGGAGGTCCAATTTATTTACCTCCGCCGCGATCCTCTTCGGGAGGATTTAATATATATACATATTATATATATATATATATATATATATATATATAACGTCATACGTTGTGTATTTTAATACTAATATTAGTATATATTAATATTAAAATACACTTAGAATGGCTACTAAAAAAGACTAAACATACCCCACTTTCAATACCTTGGGTTGTCTACTTTTTCAAATGGTATGCCATTATGGGGGTAATTCTCATTCCTGGGCTACCACATCGTCTCAAAGGTAACATTACTAATCTGCCAAATTTCAATTTGAAAATGGAACCAGGCCCGGACTGGCCATCAGGCATACTGGGCAAATGCCCGGTGGGCCGCGATGGCCGTGGGGCCGAGGCTGGCAGGGAGATCACAGGATCTCCCCTGCCAACCCGTGCAGGGCCAGAGCTACCCGAG